CCATATCCCTTTTTCGGAAAGGGTACTGAAGCAGGAAATTACAGCAGTCTCGAAACGCATGAATATTATGAATAATTTACACATCGCATTCATGACAGACTCCTTGTCAGTTTCTAATCAGAAAAGTAAACAACTGGCAGATATCACAAGCTAGAATGGGAGCTAGAGAACAATATCAATATCTATTGTGGTTCTGTTGGTATAGTTTGAACTCAACTTACCTAAAGAACTCAACTTACCTAAAGAATCAGTATCCTTTGACATCTCTCTCTTTTGAATATTTTTTTGAAGGAAAGATTTATGTGTGGTCTATTCTTTTCACCAGGAGTTTTTTTTCTTGAAAATCAGCAGGTGTAGAATATAATAACAACTTGCATTTATATAATGCCCTTCATACAGGATAGTGTCTTGGAGCTCTGCACAGAGGAGGGCTTGGATTCTGAGCAAGAGAGAAGGGGAGGTACCCGTAGATGTGGTTGAAAAGGTAGGTCTTTAGGTGGGATTTAAATAGATAAAGAGCGGAGAGGCAGAGAGATTGAACCAGACATTGGCTTTGTGGCTGAAGGCATGGCCATCAAAGGTGGGGTGGCGGGGTCAGGTCAGTGCAGTAGGCTTGTAGTAACTGAATGAATAGGGTGGGCAGAGGAGTGAGATACGAGCAAGTCAGAGAGGTAGGGAAGTGCTGGGGCATGAAGGGATTTGTGTGTGAAGTTGAGGATCTTGAAGTTGATCTGTTCGGAGATAGGGTGTCAGTGGAGTACGTGGAATTTGGTGTGTCAGAGGATAAGGGCCTTTAGCCCTCTGACTCAATCCCTCCACCTCACACTCCTCTCCACAGGTGTAGATTCTAGGTCCTGGCCCAGCTCCCACTTTGGCTGAAACTCCTGCAATGGGGTGATACAGCTGACCCTAATTCTGTTCTCCCCAACATACACCATCCAATTTTCTTAATACATTTCCTCAATTCATCACATCTCAATATCTGTGCAACTACTTCCATAAACTGACAACACAGGATGTGATATCCAAATGGTGTTGGACACGCACACACATATCTTTGTGTTTTGTGTGAAAATATATCTAGAATCTAGACACGGATACAGATATGTAAGGTCACAGATACTAGTCCCTTGCCTCCACAACAGCAGCAAGTCTGCGTTGTACTGGACTAACCATGAGAATATAGGACAGAGCGGATCAAGGTCACTGCTTATTTAGATATTATATTCCTGGATTGATATGAAGGGACTTATGATGGGTTTCACACAGTGCCTCAGGGTAGCTCAGTTCAGAGCTGCATTTCAATGTTTGCATATCAATGCTTGCTTTGGTTCTTTCTCTTCTAACCACTTTGCTGGTTTGTTCCATATCTATATCTCTTCATGTCACTGTCTTATCTTGCATGAACACTTGTTTTGTTCTGATTCTTGCCCCCATTTACTTGCCAGGTCTGTTCCCTAGTTTGGTGTTCTGTTAATTCTCGTGTCCTCATTTGATTGGCAGCCAGTTCTCTGTTTCACTTGGGTCTCCTTTTCCTGACCAACAGTCTTTAATTATGTCTTTTATTATTTTATATATCTCAGTAAAGATCTCATTTTGACCTAAAACGGCTATATTTTGAACACCATCACTCACCAGTTCATATAGGCAAGTCCAGTTGTTGTTACCTTTGTTTACAACTTCCCCTTTAGAGGATTACCCTAAGATATATAGCTGTTGGTTAAGCAATTCTTTATCCAGAGGGTTATCTGGTTAATTACAGCGCAGAGTATATCAGACAAGACAACAATAACAACAAGTTTACATTTGTATAGCACTTTTCACGTCGGGAGGACGTCCCAAGGCGCTGGACAGAGTACAGTATTTCAGACCTGAGCTGGGGTTGGGTGGGTAAGGGAGGGGAGGGGAAGGGGGGTGGCCGATGGCATGATCGAAGCGGAGGGTCTTTAGGTGGGACTTGAAAGAGGCTAAGGAGGAGCACGAGGCAGAGTGACTGGGGGATGGAATTTCAGAGGTTGGGGGCAGAGTGGCTGAAGGCTCTCCCGCCAATGGTGGGTCGGGTGGGTCGGGGGATGTGGAGCAGGCCAGAGCCGGCTGAGCGGAGGGAACGGGTGGGTTGGTAGGGGGTTAGGAGGTTGCAGAGCTAGGGTGGGGCGAGGCCATGGAGGGCTTTGTATGTGAGGACTAGGATCTCGAACTGGATCCTCTGAAGGATAGGGAGCCAGTGGAGTCGGGCGAGAGTGGGGGAGATGGGGTCACGGAGTTTGGTGCGGGAGAGGACACGGGCTGCAGAGTTCTGGATTATCTGCAGCCTGTGGAGGGAGGAGTTGGGAAGACCCTCCTGTTGTTATTGGTACATGACCAAGATTCTTTCAGTTACGTAAAAGAATGCAATGTCTCCTGATTTGCATCCAGCTAGTTGTATATAGGGCAACGCATAGCCTGCAGTATCCTCCAAAGCAGTAACAGTTCAAGGAAATGAGGCATGTTCCAAACCTTATCAATGTCATCTTAACCTCAAGATGTGTTACTCATTCGAATCACGCTTCAACCTATTATTCGTTCTGATAAATGTGTGGCAACACATGGGCACTTGTATTCCATTCAGTGCCACGTTTTTTAGCAGACTGCAGCAGGTTCTCACGGATTAAATATGAGATTGGATCTGGAGCACTGCTGTAATATGTAATTTTGAACTTAAGTGATTCTGTATCACATGATATCTGTAGAGTCCTGTAGTGTATCGGTTAGACCACTTGCCTCGCAAGCGAGAGGACTTGGGTTCGATTCCCAGGGAGAGCGAAACCTTAGGCAAGTTTTCATTCCATTTCTATTCCAAATAAACCATTCATAGAATCAGAGAATTACACAGCACAGAAGGAGGCCGTTCGGCCCGTAATGTCTGTGCCGGCTTTTTGAAAAGAGCTATCCAATTCAATCCCACTCCCCTGCTCTCTCCCCATAGCTCTGCAAACTTGTCCTCCTCAAATAATTATCTATCATTATGTCTCATACACCTCAATCCATTTCTTCACCCCTCTTAATTTGCTGACACAATATGCCTCCACTGCCTACCATCTGTTCCACATATTCACCATTAAGCTGTTCACATTCCTTCCTTGGAGCTTGAATTCATATTCACTTGTAGCAGAATTTACAGCCATGTTAAACATTATTAAAATTTAGTTTATTGATATTCTATAGGTTCTTGTCAATATGTCAATAAGATCTTCTCTGAGCTTTCTCTTGTCACATCCAGTGTTATGTTCCCAGGTTCTGTAACTATTACTTATAACACATGTATTAATAATAATTTGGTCATTCAATCCACAGCTGTTTGTGGACATTGCTGTGCGCAATTAGCTGCTGCATTTGCCAACAAAATATAGTCAATTCACGAGACCCTCATACACACATTCATAGCATCCAGGCATAACATAACATCTACTCAAACTCCTTGCTTGTCGGCCTCCCCAACTCCACCTTCCATAGGCTGCAGAGCATCGAGAACTCTGCAGCCCATTTCCTCTCATGCACCAGGCTCCGTGACCCTATCACCCCCATCCTTGCCCAATTTCACTGCTTCCCATCACACAGAGGATACAGTTCAAGATCCTGGTCCTCACCTTCAAAGCTCTCCGAGGCCTTGGTCACCTCTACCTCTGCGACCTCCTAACCCCCTACCAACCTGCCCGCTCCCTCCGCTCAGTAGGCTCCGGCCTGCTTCACGTCCCCCACCTCGCTTGCCCCACCATTAATGGGCGGGCCTTCTGCCACTCTGTCCCCACCCTCTGGAACTCCATCCTGAAGTCTGTCCGCCTCACACCTTCCCTTGACTCCGTCAAGACCTGTCTCAAGATCCTCCTCTTTGACCGTGCCTTCGGTCACCCTGCTTCTCCCCCTGCCCTCCACCCTCCCCAATCCCAAACCCCAGCTTGGGTCCGAAACACTGACTGTCCAGCGCCTTGGGTCATCCTCCCAACGTGAAAGGCGCTATACAAATGTAATTTTGTTATTGTTGTTTACAATATATTCTATGAAGCGCTTTGAGATGTCTCGAAGACTTGATAAGGCGCTATATCAAATTCAAGAATTATTATTTTTATTAATTCCAACTATCAATTTAGTTGTGGTATCCTTTCTAATTCTTCCAAAACAATGCATTTTGAAAAACAATTATGATCATTGAATAACATAACTTTACACCTCAGAAGGAGGCCAAAGTCACTGATGACTTTCTGCGATCAATCATTCAATTAATAGCTGTTTGTGTGAATTTGTTCTTCGCAAAATAGCTGCTATGTTTGCCTCCAAATAGTCACAACATTTGACAGCAGTGTCCCACAAAAAGTCATGGATTGAAGTGACCAATTTTATAAATTTTTGTCATGAGGGATTATTATTAAGAGTGCTCCCTCCTTTGCATATGTGCACATAGAAGAAACTGCTCTTATGGATTCTGTTGATTGATTGTGCATTAGTTGTGCAAATTTTCAATTTGCTGCAGTGACTTTCCGGAAGATGAGAAAAAAGCCGGAAACCTGAAAGAAGAGTACAAATTCACAGTGTGTAAATTAGCATCTAAGAGAGAACGAGAAGTTAATGCTACGGGTGCAAACTTAGGACCATTCTCTTCCAGATGCTCCTCAGCCCGATCATGTTTTGCGGTTGCAACAACAAATCACAACAACAACTTGCATGTATACAGCGCCCGTCACACACAGGGCAACATCTGGGAGCGCTTAACATTACATTTCGTTAAGCGCCTTTCACCCCGGGAGGGCATCCCAAAGTTGCTGTGGTGGTTCAAGCATGCTGAGTTCGTTTAAACAACTGTATGCAAAAGGAATAGAGGCTGTTAGTGTGCGTGTGGGGGGGGTGGATTGTGTAAAAAGGCAAGGATTTTGTGCGCCTCCCCTTGCTCCTCAGACACTGGGAGCTAAAATGCAGGCTGGCCAGTGGTGGGTGGAGTGATTGACGTGCAGGCAGCATTCCTGCAGCGGGTGGAGAGCACAAGGTAGTGGGAAGACCGTCTGCTGAGTGCATTGAGTGGGGGGAAATGATTGCTGTTTGTGCTGGTAAGCCATTCTCAGCTTGAAACCGTGCTAAAGCGATCAGAGGAATTGCTCGCCTGCATTTGATGGAGTGCAAACTTCTCATTTGAAATGAATTGGTTTGTGTGTGTGTGTGAGAGAGAGAGAGAGCAGGAGGGGTGGTGGAGGGGAGCAAGGCTGTGCTGGGTGCACACACACACACACACACACTGAGCTGCTGGTGATTGCTTTGTGCAAGCGGATTGTGAGGGCATATTGATGGGGGTGGAGACCTTTGATGCTAAGAGCATTGGGATGTCCTCATGATGTGAAAGGCTCTATAACAAATGTAATTTTGTATTGTATTGTAAGGGGGAACCAGGAAAGACACGTGGACAGATGGGAGGAGACTTATATTGCTACCAGGACAACCAAGTCGATCATAACAAGCCCCAGATCAAGTAGGTGCAGAAACCAACTCTTTATCACTAACCGCAAACAAGGACCCTGCAACCTCAAGACAAAAGGCGCATTGATCAAGAAGGGTTTGATAGCTTCGGTTTCGATTCATGTGTTCGAGTGAGGAGTGTCTTTGCAACCTTTTGTTCTCACAAGGGTGGTTATTCTTCCCGACGGGAAAGGTGCTATACAAATATAATTCATTCTTGTTGTTCGGTGTATTCCTAATGTATTTGGCTTTAATTAAGTTCCTTTGGTTTTGCAGCAAAATCAAATGTTAGTGTTCAGTCATCGAACAGTTGAACTGGTTCTTTTTTGCCTCTAAAATTACAATGCGAGTCATGAAGGTTGGAGTGCAAAACAACAGGAACGACGAGAACTAGTTCCTAATGTGCAAGCAACATTGCCGTGCAATACAACAACAACAACAAGATTCCATTTATAGAGCGCCTTTCACGTCGGGAGGACGTCCCAAGGCGCTGAAATACATTGGGAGTCACCAACGTGTTATGTCATTGGTTCGGATTCCTAGCCTTATGCAGTGCTTTATAACAAATAATAATAATCCTTGCGTTTAATATAGCGCCTTATCACGTCTTCGAGTCATCTCAAAGCGCTTCACAGAATATACTGTAAAGTAAATTGACTGTATATTTTGTGGGATAAACACAGCAGCCAATTGCGCACAGCAGTGTCCCACAAACAGTCGTGGATTGAAGTGACCTTTTTTTTTGAAGGAATTATTACCCCCAGAAAAGCGATCCGCCAATCGACTAACAACCGAGTTCCAACTTACTGCTAAATAAACAGGTGCGTGGAGTAAGGAAACTTACCTAAGGTTTCGCCCTGCCTGGGAATCTCGCTTGCGGGGCAAGTGCTCTTAACCAATACACTGCAGGACTCCCAAAGAACATTCCTCCAGCTACTTCCTTCATCAATCAAGTGTAGGGGGACAAAAAAGGAAAATAATATATTTAAAAATGTAAATGAAGTAATTGAGCTTTATTCAGCCTCCTTCATGTGCTTTGTCCCCTCCACTCCACCATCGGCGGCCATGCCTTAAGCCACTACACTCCAAAACTAAGGAACGCTCTGCTTCAGTCTCTCCACTTTGCCCCCTCCTTGCCTGTCTTCAGATCACACCTTCCTCTGTAACCATGCCCTCGGTCACCTCCCCTCGCTCCATGGCTCGACATCAAGCTCCGCACTGTTAAACACTCCGAGATGCTATCCTGCGGGAACGGCGCTTTATAAATGCAAGTTGTTTTTTCTATAAAACTGCAAACAAATGTCTCTAATTTCTTTCAGTTTATCTATAATTTATTGATTCAAAACAGATAGCGGAACAGATTGATTTCAAGATCTTCACATTTGTCTATAAATCGCTTCATGCTCTGACACCTCCCAGTCTACACTTCATGCTCTGACACCTCCCTGTCTACACTTCATGCTCTGACACCTCCCTATCTCTCCAACCTGCTTAGACCCTATTTATTTATGCCCCTCCCTCTTCACTCATTGACAGAGTTGTATCCTTTCGATGAGACCTTAAACTGATCCCATATTGGGGGGAAAAAAGGGAATTTTTCTTGTGTCTCGGCCAACAATCCTCCAGCTTATTTGGTCACTGACTTCATAGCTGTTTGTGTGAAATTATTGTCTACAAAATAGCTGCCACATTTGTCAACTAATTTAACAATTTTCTGTGAAGCACGTTGAGAAATTTTAATGTTGTAGGCGCAATAACAAGTGCAAGGATTATTATTTAAGTAATCCTTGTGTTTGATTACATTCTTATGAGGCAAAGCATTTGAAACATCTTGAAGCACTTTGAGACGACCTCCCAAGTGAAAGGTTCTATACAGACATAATTTTACTGATATATCACTTTATGTCGTCAATGTCAGAAAACATTTTAGAGTTTTTTTCCTGTAATGTGTAGGACTGAGTTTGTAGATGGACACAGCAGTTTACACTCAGCAGTGCCACACAACAGCCATGAAGTGAATGACCAACTTATTTGGTCGCTCGAGCGCAGATGGCAGAAATCCACCCTCACGATTCACTGCCATCTGTGGCTCGAGCATCTCCGCACCCACCGCCTCTCCCTTTCACAGGTCAAAACTGACTTTTACTCCACTCCCTCCTCAAGTCATCCTGGAGGCAAAAAACAACTTAAAGACGCTGTATTCTACCATCCCATCACCTCCGTTCACCCACTCAAGCTCCCTCTATCCTCACATCAAACACCAAGTGCGAAGAGGTTCTTGACGTTTTTGCCTCAAAGATTGAAAATTTTGGCTGCATCGTCCTCCCCCCTCCCCTCCATGTCTCTTTCCACCCCACCCAGACCATCCACACCCCATTCTCCCTCCGCACGGCTACTGCCACTCTCCCCTCCTTACACTCTTTTGCCCCCATTTCTCCCTCCCTCTCAACCACAATCACCCACATGAAGTTCACCACCTGCTGCCTAGACCCTCTCCCCAACCAGCTGCTGGTCATTCAACTCCCCCTCCTCTCCCCCTGCTGGCCGACACCGTCAACCAATCTCTCCTCAGGCTCTGTTCCAATCCCCCTGAAAACCGCTGTTATCACACCCCTCCTCAAAAAACCCACCTCTCACACTACCGTCCCATTTCCAGCCTACCCTTCCTTGCTAAAGTCCTGGAACACATTATTGCAGGTCAACTTTGGTCACACCTCTCCCTCCAACTCCCTCCTCGAGCCCCTGCAGTCTGGTTTTTGCCGACTGCCCACAGCACAGAGACAGAGCTTGTCAAAGTCACAAACAACGTCTTCTCTATCTGTGACCAGGGCTCCCTCTGCCTCCTCGTCCTCCTGATCTCTCTGCTATGTACACAGTCGACCACGCCATCCTTCTCCACCGCCTCCTCCCTCATCCACTTTATGGGACTGCACTCGCATGGTTCGAATCCTACTGAAACCAACCGCCTCCACTTCATCTCAGCAAATTTTCTCCTCCCATCCCTGCCCAGTAACCTGTGGGGTACCCCAGGGCTCCATCGTTGACCCTCTTCTTTTCCTCATCTATATGCTCCCTCTTGGCAATGTCATCTGCAGACACGGGGTAAACGTCCACATGTATGCGGATGATGTACAAATCTACTTTGCCTCCTTAAGTACCAACTCCAGGTCTGCCAATGTTCTATGAGCTTGTCTGGCAGACATCAGGACCTGGATGAGTGTAAACTTCCTGCAGCTGAATGTGGACAAGATGGACGCCATGCTTCTTGACTCCTGTCAACGTCTTCACTCCTGTGGATCTGAGCTCCCCAACCTCCCTTGGCTCTCCCTCAGACTCACTGAACCAGTGCACAATCTAGGCGTCTGGTTTGACCCTCAGCTGTCCTTCCTCCCCCACATCTAGTGCCTGACCAGGAACGCTTTCTTCCATCTCCACCCTATTGTCCGCCTCCGACCATACCTTACACCAAATGCAGCCAAAATCCTCGTGCATGCATTTATCACCTCCTGCCTGGATTACTCAAGCGCAAGTCCTCGCCGGTCTCCCCAGCTCCACCATTCAAAAAAAATCCTCCTCATTCAGAACTCTGTTGCCTGTATACTGACCCGGACCGAACACCATACCCAGTTCTGGCCAGGCTCCACTGGCTCCCCAACGGACACTCGTGTTCAAATCTCTTCACTCTCTGGCACCTCCCTACCTCTCCAACCTCCTCACTCCCCAATCTACCACCGCTCCGCCTGACTGGAACTGATCTCCTGCTCGTCCCTCGCACCCTCCATCCCACCATCGGAGGTCGCGCTTTCAGTCACTATGTTCCGAACCGCTGGAAAGCTCTCTTCAATCCTTCCGCCTTGCCCCTCCCTCTTCCCTTTTTCGAGTCCCGCCTGGAAACCTTTCTTTTCGACCGTGCTGACGGTCACCTACCCCCACCTCCACCCTGGCTCGGAGTCAGGCTTCGCCGCTGTTAAGGGGGCTGAGATGCTGCACTGCATGGAGGGCGCTATATAAGTGCAACTTGTTGTTGCTGTTATTTGAAGGGAGGGGAATTGTTGGACACTGGGATAAACAGCCTTCTCTTTTCAAATAATGCTATGGATCTTTAACCTGAACAAACACACAGGATCTCGGTTTAATGTCTCATCTGAAGGACGGAACCTCCAACAATGCAGTGTTTCCCCCATTCTTGTATTGCAGTGTCAACCCCAAATTCAAAGCCCAGCTTGGGGCTTGAACCTAGAACCTTTTGACTAAGAGACTACCAAACCAGTCAGGCTGACACCATATTAACTATAATTGTTTCATCCAGAAAATATACAGTCATTTCACTTTACAGTATATTCTGTGAAGTGCTTTGAGACATCTCGAAGACATGATAAGGCGTTGTAGAAAATGCAAGGATTATTATTATTATTTGTTATTGCACTTTTAGCAGTAAGTTGTTGCCAAACTTACAGCCATTTTACTGCTAAACATGCAGAATAAACACAACATGCGGAATCCTGTAGCTTAGCGTTTAGAGCACTTGCCTCGCAAGCGAGAGGACCTGCGTTTGACTCCCGGGCAGGGCGAAACATTAGGTAAGTTTCCTTACTTGAAATGCCGCTGTTTATGCCGCAGTAAATAGGAACCCGATTGTTTAGTCGATAGGGGGATCATTTTTCCAGGGGTAACAATCCATTCAAAACATTTTTTAAAAATAATAATTTGGTCACTCAATCCACGACTGTTTGTGGGACACTGCTGTGCGCAATTGGCTGCCGCGTTTCACCCACAAAACATACAGTCAATTCACTTTACAGTATATTCTGTGAAGCGTTTTAGACGTCTCGAAGACGTTAAAAGACGCTACATCAAATGCAAGGATTATTATTATAATAGTTGGAGGAAGCTGGTAGCCACCACTATGCTTGAGTTTTTTTTTAAATATAAGAAAGCATGTATCCACCATCTGGGGTAGGCATATGTACTTCATAATATCAATTATGGATGGTGTCCTATTTTGTTTCTACCAGTACCTATCCTTGTGTGGCCAGGATAATTATTTTTACCTTCGTAACTCTATTTAAATAGACTTGTCCTGGCTAACAATTCCCCTGGATAAAATTGGTCATTCACTTCATGGCTGCTTGTTGGGCGTTGCTGTGTGCAAATTGGCTGCTGTGTTCGCCTACAAATGCAGTCAGTAAAACTCCAATGAAACACTGCGAAATCTCAACTACATGATAAGGTGCTACATCAAAATGCTAGGATTACTGTTATTATCAATAAATAAATTTAGTTTCGCAATGTGACTCTGCTGTTGCAGTAAGTATCATTGGATGGAAAGTCCATTGTTTAAAGCTCGACACCAGCAGAAGAGATCAAAATCTGGGCTGATACTGCAGTACAGCGTTGTTAGAGTTCCAATCCTTCAGGTGAGATAATAATAATAGTAATAATAATCCTTGCATTTGATATAGCACCTTATCACGTCTTCGAGAAGTCTCAAAGCGCTTCACAGAATATGCTGTAAAGTGAATTGACTGTATATTTTGTGGGTGGCAGCCAATTGTGCACAGTGGTGTCCCACAAACAATCATGGATTGAGTGGCCAAACTATTTTTCTTTTTGGAGGGTTTATTACCTTCCAAAAAATGTTTAACTGTGGTCCTGTCTGCCTGTTTAGTCAGTGTTCATACCCTATCTTTGCTATCGCCTCCACATATATTCTCCCAATCGTGCCTTCTGCTCTTTTGATCCTGGTCCAGACACCCTATCCTCACTCGGCTCCTGTGGCTCCCATCCCTCAGCAGATTGAATTCCAGATCCTCATCCTTGCATTCAAATCCCTTCCTGGGGTTCGCATGCACACATGTCCCAAACTACCTATGTACTATATCCCATAATGTTATTTCCTAAAAGAAAACTATCTAATCTGTGTTGAAAGAATCAACACTTCCCTCTTCAACCGTCTTCCGAGGGAGCCTGTTCCCCAGGTTCACTATTCGCTCACTGAAATAGTGTTTGCATAGATTTGTTCTGAATTTACCCCCCTTCAATTGCAAGCTGTGACTGCAAGTGAATATGCAATTCACTTGAGCAAACAGATTACTATAAATTGTACTCGCTTGAATACTGTGTTTTGTCTTAAGCGCACGGTCATACACTTTACAGAAAAACTTTGTGAAATGCTTGGAGAGATTCTCGATGCTATATCAAATGCAAGAATTATTATTAACATTGAAAGTATTTAATAAATAATTGGTGTTTTGAAGAGATCCTGAGCAAAATTCCCAGATTTATTTGACCCATATAATGGGTTAATGCATTTTTGTTCCACAGAAATAATTAAGGGAAGGGGAAAGGAAAGGAGAGCGAATAGACAGAAGGGGCTGGAAGCTGATTCTCTCTCTAGAAATGCGACATGCTGCTGGGCAGAACATTGTTTGCATACAGATGAGCCCCCGATGTTTTATTTCAACGAAAATCAGTCATTCAGGGCAAGAGCAGGATTTCTCAAAGTCACCATCTCAATGTTAATGAATGCCTCTTCTTCTTGTAGGAGATTGCGATTCCATTGAGTACTTACCCGGAAAGAGATCAATAAAAGAGCTGGTTTGGCTTTACAGCAAGGAGGTGGTAAGTAATTACTGCAGCAAACCTTAACTTAAATGCTATATTTTTGCTCGATTGCTTGCATATTCATTGTATTTCCTCTCTTGCCTGTCACAGTTTATTCAAGTGATAGCTAGATTTGTTGATATTGAGGTGAATAATCTATGCTATGATGCACTTATTTTCTCAAATCATGATCCTCTTTGAAGTGACTAAATAAAGCAACACAAATGACTAAATGTCCGATATCTAATTTTATATTTGAAATCGTGAAACTACAGTATCAGTTAATTAATGTAAATGCATATGAGGAAACAAATGTTTAATTTGCCCTCTTGCTCCTGTGGATATCTTGTGCAGATGTACTGCTGTCTCTGGTATAGGAATCGNTTTTTTTCTACCACCAGTCAGCCTCTTTGCTGATTAATCTAGAACCTGTTTTAATGAATTCATCCATGAATAATGTGCTTGTACTTTACCAAGGTGATGGTAATAAATGATCACATCCTGTGGTATGCTTTTTGATACACTGCAGTGAGTGAATTAGCTTATATATCACATAGTTAGGTGTAGATTTGCAACGCATTGTTGCCAACCAACTTCGAGCACATCTGTCCCTCCACTCCCTACTCAAACCCCTCGAGTCTGGTTTCCGCCCTGACCACAGTACAGAGACAGTGCTTGTGAAAGTCACAAACGGTGTCCTCTCTATCTGTGACCAAGGCTCTCTCTGCCTCCTCATCCTCCTGGACCTCTCCGCCGCGTTCGACACAGTCGATCATGTCATCCTCCTTCACCGCCTGTTCTCCATTATCCACCTCAGTGAGACCGCACTCGCCTGGTTCGAGTCCTACTTTACAAACTGCCAGCACTACATTTCCGCAAATGTTTTTTCTTCTTGCCCCGGTCACCTGCGGGGTATCCCAAGGCTCCATCCTTGGCCCCTTTCTCTTCCTCATCTGTAAGCTCCCTCTCGGTGATGTCATTCCCAGACACAGGGTTAATTTCCACATGTTCGTGGATGACACTCGACTCTACTTTTCCACCTCCAGCTGTGATCCCCAGGCCTTTGATGTTCTGTCAGCTTGTCTGATAGACATCAAGGCTTGGATGAGCACAAACTTCTTGCAGTTAAACGTCAACAAGACGGAAGCCATGCTCTTTGGCTCCCATCAAAGTCTTCTGTCCTGCGGTTCAGACCTCCTCAACCTACCCGATCTGCCCTTAAAACTCTGAACCCATGTACCCCAGTTATCCTTCCTCTCCAGTCCCTGGCCAGGACAGCTCTCCTCCACCAGCGCCATATTGCCCATCTCTGACAATACTTCACTCGGCAAGCTGCTGAAACCCTTGTCCACGCCTTCGTTACCTCTTGGCTAGACTACTCTAACACCTTCCTCGCCGGTCTCCCCTCCTCCACTATTCACGAAATTCAACTCATCCAAAACTGCACCGCCTGCATTCTCACCCGGACTAAACTCTGCACCCCGATTACCCCAGTCCTTGCCAAACTCCACACCTTGGCACCCCCCTATTTCTCCAACCTCTCTCCTCACAGCACAATCCGCTGTCTCCGCTGTACTGGCTCCAGCCTCCTACTTGTCCCTCAAATCCTCTACTCCACCATCGGCAGCCGTGCTTTCAGCCATTACACCCCAAAGCTATGGACTCCTTCCTTCAATCCCTTTGCCTTGCTGCCTCTTTCCCCATTGTCAAGTTGTGACTAAGGACCTTCCTCTTTGACCATACCTATAGACACTGCCTGGTGTGGAGGGCGCTATATAAATGCATGTTATTGTTGTAGATGCAATTTGTTTAAGCATTTGAGCCTGAAAAGGCCTAACAAGTTTTCTCTTCCCTGGCTTATTTATTATTTATTTGTCAGCCTTGCTCAGCTGATCTCTCACCTCAGAGTCAGAAGGCTGTGGGTTCAAATCCCACGATGAAACTTTGAGCTCACAGTTTTAACTGACACCCTAGTGCAGAGCATTGAGTTGTCAGAGGTACAGTTTTTTTAATGAGATGTTAAACCAAGGTCTGTAGAGTCTGCCCATTCAGGGAGACGTAAACAATTCTATGACAGTATTAAAAAAAAAACAGAGTTTTTCCTGGTGTCTTGGCCAACAATCCTCCAGATAATAATAATAATAATAATAATAATAATAATCCTTGCATTTGATATTGCATATGATATAGCAATGACTGTATATTTTGTGGGCGAAAGTTTACATCAGCTTTATTTAGGAAAGCAAAACACAAAAACAGAACATCATAACTGTAGATCAGCTTCCAACAGCAGTTACAATCCCAGGACAGTCAAACTGTCACAAAACCAATGAATGATGGCATTTGTGTGTTCAAATAATTGTTTATCCTGTTTTGGTAATTATAAGATCACCATTAAATTCCAGCCCTCTGCTTTATCCGCCCGAAGCCTTATCATGTCTTGAGGCGTCTCAAAGCGCTTTACAGAATAAACTGTAAAGTGAATTGACTGTATATTTCGTAGGCGAAACGTGGCAGCAAAGATAAAATTTATCCATGAATAGAAATCTTCCGTAATCATAGGTCTGGTGGAGTCCTGTAGCTCAGAGGTTAGAGTACTCGCCTCGCAAGCGAGAGACCTGGGTTCGATTCCCGGCAGGGTGAAATGTTGGGTAAGTTTCCTGCTCCACACGCCTCTGTTTACCTAGCAGTAAGTAGGAATCCAGTTGTTAGTTGATCGGCAAATCGCTTTTCCGGGTGTAATAATTCCTTCAAAAAAAAATTGATCACTTAATCCAAGACTGTTTGTGGGACACTGCTGTGCGCAATTGGCTGCCGCATTTTGCCCAGAAAATATAAAGTTAAACCACTTTACTGTGTATTCTGTGAAGTGCTTTGAGATGTCTCGAAGAGGTGATAAGGCACTATATCAAATGAAAGGATTATTCTTATTATATTATAAATAATTCACAAAATGGAATTTAAATCCTCTCTAATTCTAATCCTCTTACTTGCAAAGTAGATGGATCTATTAGGGTCAAGTAACGCTTGAAACCAACAGCATTTAGTTCAAAATAAGAACCTGACCTATTTCTGACAACTTCAATTTCATGAAAAGACAGTTTTGTGGATAGCACATGCATGATTGAATATCTAATTTCTGACTGTCCAGTTCATTGGGGTGGAAGAGGGTGAGATGTGTTTAATCCCTGATAGTCCAGGAGGCAAGCTGGAATAGATGTGGTTTTGTGGAAGAGGGGAATATTGGTTCCCTGTCACACCAACGTGGACAAAAGGAGGAATATTATCCTTAATATTCTCTGGGGAGATTGAGGAGAATGTGCCCTACTCTTGGCAGTCAGTCAGTGACATGTGCAGTTGTGTAAGTACAGTTGGCCTCTTTTTCTATGAACTCTGGATTTTAAGACAAAGTCGAGATCCTCTCAATTCAATATCTGAATGGTTCCTTCTGCTTGTGCCTTATCTTCAACTGGACGAGTTGGTTCATTTTGAGTGGATCAGCCACATAAGTAGAAAAATCTACTGAGAAATGTTCATCACTTGAAATGACTGAATTTTGTATTTTCTTTGTTCTTCTCAGTTTCCATCCTGGGACAATGGATACCATTTCCATCATGAGGAATTTAAAAGGCGCCAGTGAAACCTTCTTGCCCAACGGCATGAGTAGCTTTAAGGAGACATCCAAATTTGCCGTAGGAATTTTAGGAAGTGGAGACTTTGCCAAGTGCCTGGCAATCAGACTTATTCGGTCCGGGCACTCTGTTGTAATAGGAAGCAGAAACCCTAAACAAGCTGCAGGATTCTTCCCTCCTCTTGTAGATGTCACGCACCAGGAGGACGCTGTAACAAAAACCAATCTCCTATTTGTTGCTATACATCGTGAACACTATGCTTCCTTGTGGGACCTCAAGCACTTGCTGGTAGGCAAACTCCTTGTGGACGTGAGTAACAATGTGCGAATAAACCAATACCCGGAATCCAATGCAGAATATCTTGCTTCACTATTCCCAGATTCCACGGTGGTAAAGGGCTTTAATGTAATATCTGCCTGGGCACTCCAGTCTGGACCAAAAGATGCTAATCGCCAGGTAAGATTACGTTCTATTGACTTATTGGCAGTAAATCTGTTCTGTTCAGCGTTTTTTGAAAACAAATAGTACATTACAGAGTAAAGAATAATTCACTCACAGTTGAGGGGTTTCAGCATTCATTAAACATGACCAAAGTTTTTGGATGTAGAGCTATTCATCCGTACATACCCAGGAAGGTAACGCAAGCTTGTGTTCAGTAGATTTGTTATTGCTCCAGGTGAAAGCAAGTTACTGAATCATCTTGTAAAATTGTCTTTGTTCTAAGGTTTTTAACTTTTAATCTGTAAACCGTTTCCAACACATGAATTTCCAACTTCATGTAAGAGGTACACCATGTAATGCACGTAAGCCAAATGCAATTGGCTTGATCAAATCTGATCTGCAATGCATTTTGCTTTGTTTCCAAACGACTATTGAGCTGTCATTCTCAATTTCTTATAATAATTTTTCCCTTTTTGTGCTGAGAACTTCGCCCACAAAAAATACAGTCATTGCAATTACAGTATATCTGTGAAGTGCTTTGAGACATCTCAACAACGTGATACGGTACTATATCAAATGCAATGATTAATATTATTAACAACACCAAATTGCAAGTATTTAGAGCCTTTCATGTCGGGAGGACATCCCAAGGGACTGAACAGTTGGGGGTTTTGCGCCTGGCCTGGGGGTTGGATTTGTGAGGGGGGGTGGGGTCAGGAGGGGTGGGGAAAGGATGACTGAAGGCACGGTCAAAGAGGAAGGTCATGAGAGGGGAGAGGTGGGTGGACTCTGGCATGGAGTCCCAGAGTGTGGAGGCCACATAGGTTGAAGGCCCAATCACCAGTGGTGGGGTGGGCAGGGTGGAGGGACATGAAGCAGGCTAGGGAAGCAGGCAGGTTCATAGAGTTTTAGAAAGGTGAAGTGGGTGCAGAGATTGGGTGAGGCAAGACCATGAAGACATTAAAAATGAAGACGGGGATCTTGAACGCAATCCTCTGTAGGATGGGGAGCCATTGGAGCCGAACGAGGATGGGGGTGATAGCCTCTTTTTGCCTCGGTGTTCCAAACGTGTTGAGTACAAACCCTTCTTGTTGCATTTATTTTTGAATTTGTGTTGCCATAGCTTGCTGCACAACGAAGTTATTGGGTCATGTATTTTTATCCTCCAGTCCTTTGCGAATCTTTTGAGCTGTTCTGGGGTCAATGTTGAAGTTAGTGGAATTTTCCGTCTAATCCATGTTAGCCATGACTACTGAATCCAAATCCTGGAGGTAAATTTCAGTTGCTCGCAGCATAACAGGACTGGATTGTAGGAGTGCCCATGTTTTACTTGTCAGAGTTTCATGATTCTCTGCTTACCCCCATTGTTACAAATGTGCATTCCATTGCAGAAACAAATTCCCATGTGTAGGCGGCACACATATGTGGAACTCTGTCTGGTTCGGATATTGTACTTTTAAAATCGGATACTTTTAAACCTGAACCACAGATACCTGGCTGACCCCCCGAAATTGTTGCCAATCAAATAAGAAAGGAGCAGTGCATTGCAGCCAGTCCTAGCCTAATGGAAGATGTTTGCTGTCTAAGATTAAACTGTGGTATGTGCTTCATGTTTGAAACCAAATCAAAATTGATTATAACTGAGGTGCATAAATTTGTGCATTAAAATTATAGGTTAACAACAAAATGATATGTTGATTATGTATTTACAAATACAATTTATAAAATCGCAGAATACTTTTAAGATTCTGTGGTCAGAACAAGCAGCCTGTAGCATATTGGTTAGAGCATATTGGTTACTCACCTCGCAAGCGAGATTCCATTTGTGGGACACTGCTGTGCTCAATTCTCTGTCGCGTTTTGCCCAGAAAATATACAGTCAATTCACTTTACAGTGGATTCTGTGAAGCACTTTGAGACATCAACGACGTGATAAGCCGCTGTATCAAATGCAAGGATTATTATCACCAGCTAACTATCAACCAAACGTAGCTGCTGCGTGTACTAGAAATTAGATTAGAGAGAGAAATCCATAAATAGTGTTTGGCATGCTTTGTAATGAAGGGTTAAAGCCTGCATACTTCATTCTTCGATCTATGACCTATTGTGAACCCTTTCCATTGGTATACAAGCAGTGGTATTCCTCTGTAACATAATTGAAATTAATCTCAGTATCTCTACTGTTAAAATCACTGTTAAAAGGACCTGCTGAACTTCAGTTCAAGGCACATGATTGTCACAGTAGTCGCTGTCCAGTGGCAAAAGGCAAAAATAGAAAACTGAACCTATTATATGAGATAATGTTAATTGGTACAGAGTAGTGTGTTTCATGACATTAAGGCATTAACACATCAAGGGATGGCTATGCTGTGGTCCAGCATTCATGCTCCATTCTTGCAATTTGTGATGTCTTCTCGACCTTCGATGTTTGATAGTCTTGTTAAGGCTAAGCTATGATTTGTAAATATAAGACGCCCAATTACTTGAAGGGCTTAGCTAAATATTTTTTTTACCCAGTAGAACAAAGGAAACTGATAGGATACAGGTGATAGAGGAATTAGGATTTTAAAGGCATGACCTGTTATAAGGGAAAAGACTATTAGTGGGGAAATCGATGACAAGCGGCCATTGTCTCAGGAAAATTAGGGGAGAAGCCAGAAATAATGTCTTTGCTCAGAAGTTTGTTAGATTATGGATTTCATTACCATAAGTGACTATTCAGGGAGATCAGGTGGATCATTCAGAAGGGAACTGGATAAGCGTCTCAGTATTAAAAAAAATTAAGCGATTATGGGGAACAAGGTAGAAAGTGGAATTGATAAAACCAAAGGGCAATTTAGGAAAATAGTAGCATTGGCTTAGTTATAATGGGCGAGGGGCACCCTTCTGGACTAAAAAAAATTGTTTCAATCCTGAAGTCAAACACTCTTTAAATAGTGAATACGTGACTGGATTGGAAGACTAGGTGATTGAATCATGTCAAGCAATACTCTGAAGGGTGAAGGCGTTGTACAGGCATATCTCACTCTGAACGAGTGAAAGTAAGTACAAGCTTTAGCACAAACTGGGCCAATTCCTAAGGTTATCGTATCAGAAAGCTCCAGGTTGACAGTAACTCAGAGGAAGTGAGTTTACCACCGGTAGGGGAAGGATCCAATCACTAATAAGCTAAATAAATAAGACTTAGCACCATTTGAATAAAAGAAAGGAGTTCATCTCCCAAGTGTCCTGGCCAACAATTCCCTCAAAATAAAATTGGTCATTCACTTCATGGCTCTTTGTGGGACATTACTGTTCACAAATTGGCTGCCATGTTCTCCAACAAATACAAAGTTATTTCAGTTCAGAGTATATCCTGTGAAGCACTTTAGGATGTCCTCCTGACGTGAAAGGCGATATACCAAAAGCAAGGACTAATACATTATTACAGTGGAGCCACTTTAACCGGATGCCAGTTAACCTTGGACGATGTATAAATTGGACAAAACGCTTGGGCCTGTAGCTCTTGGACTATTAGGGCTTTGGCTTGCAGGGTTAACAAATGCTGAGTGGGAGGATTCCCTGCCCCAAGTGGCTGGTCTGCCCTTCCAGGTCCTGCTGATGAGCCAGGCTGGCTGCATTGACATCAGCAGTGCTCTGGGATATTGCGGACACCTGGCTCAGGATCTGGACTACCGAGTCCGCCACAGAGGGCTGGCTCAATTCTGACATTGCGTTGCCAAACATGTCACCTTCGAGTCAGTTCAGCTCCAAGGAGACCCTGCTTACCTCCCCAAAAGGAGGTTAGTCACTTACCGCTACTATATTAAATCTAGTTTAATGAATAGTTACAGACCCTTCTCCCTGTTGGTTTGTTCATTGATGTCATTGCTGGGAAATAGTACACTCACAACTTAACGTGCCAGCAAGCACTCACAGATCCATTAAAGCACAATTTTAGGTATCAAGTGAAACTATGCTCCAAAAAGTGTCCCTTGGACACAATATCATAATCTCTCCCCCCCACCCCATCCCCACTGTTGCAAAGTAACCTACTGTTTATTTTGTACCAGCCATTCTTGTGGCTCTCTCAATGAGTTGTTGCTTTGGCAGGTTTATGCTATGGGCCCACCTGGACTGGGATCTAAGCTGAGGTCACCCTAACACATTTCACGTAGAATGCTGGCAAGCAGCAGAAAAAGGAGACCTTTAACCAATCCGTGTGGGCTAGATTTGTCCTCTGGACTACGTGCTAAGCCTCAGCACCACCCAGTTTATGAATCTGTGATCTTAACGATGGCAACTCCGTGCCAACATTCACCCTTTGCAACCTCAAAGACATGTCACATCTATCAATTATCTGCTAATGGAACCAATATCATAAGAACTCCTGCCACTAAACTCAGAATTCCTCATTTATGCAATGTCAGGGACACTCTGATCTTTACAAATCACTGTTCCTTTTGTTTTAAACTTTATTTGATAGTCCATTCTCTTACATTCCATTCCCTTTGTTTCTCTATTGCAGTGGTGGCCAACCTTTATGTCCACCACTGCTCTATTGTTTTATTTACTTTGTTTTATCTTTCAGCTTACAGGGTCTATTGAACACACTGAAATTGAGGAACCCCACACCCCATTGATTCAGCAAAAACTAGTTAAATCCTTCAGGAAAGGTAGTACGAAACAGCTTCTCCACATCACAGGGTCCCAATTGAAAATTCTTTACCCCTAGGCAGATTGTGTTTGTGAGGTGGATTGCCTCTTTAATTGCAGGTGGGATCTCGCCATACCTTCTTCTCATCTTTCAATGGGGAGGGTGAGGGAGGAGGAGATATCTATCCTGCCATTGAAAGTTGTTGCAGCTGATCTTCCCCAGGGCACTCCTGTACAATGGCACAGTGTGTGGATGTCCAAGCTTTCTTTGAAGCATTCACATGGTCACTGTTGACCAGGGTGCCCGAACGAGAATTCTACAAGAGAAGTTCCAGTCGGGTAAGGAGAGTGAGGTGAGAGAGTGAAGCCAGAGCTCTTTTTAGCTCTAATTCTTAAAATGGGAGTAAGTGTTCCCTACCAGCAGAGGGAATCAAATATTCAATCCCTGGCCCCTGACAAGGAAGGCTTTGATCTCCCAGATAAAATTGGTCATTCACTTCATCACTGCTTGTGAGATATTGCCGTACGCAAATTGGCTGCCTCATTTTCTTACCAATACAGTCACTCCACATGAGAGTAAAATCCTGTGAAACACTTTGAGACGGCTCAATGACTTGATAAAGCGCTATACCAAATGGAAGGAATATTATTATAATACAGGCCAGAGCCCAGAGATCAGCCCTGTGGCCATACGTATAACATATGTAAGCCTGGAGCTAGAGCATGGCTGGAGGTGCAGGCTAGCAGAAGTGTCTGAATTGAACTGTGCCTCTCTTATAAAATACCCTGACACAAACCCCATTCATTCCTGGAATTCTTGACTAAAGCTGTCCTGCACGTACCACAAAATCTCCCCATCTTAAAGCACGTGACTTAGGAGCCTACGTGTGTGGTGTGAGCCTTGCCTGACCATATACATCAGTGAACATATACAGCAGCTCCCAAACACTAGGACGGCCAGCTGCAATTCCACCTCATCATTCTGGATTGACTGAGATGAACTGACATTTCACACCACTCTTCTTGTTTGGGAACTCTCTCCAGACAGTGTTATCACCCGGAGCTCTCCTTGTTTGCAGAAGTTTAAACGCTGCTAAGCATCAGTTGCTCAGCCAAGAATGTGAAAGCATCTATTTCAATCCTGAAAGCAGCACCATCAATCATCAGTTGCTTTGAGCTATGGGCAGTTTTAGACTTGCCTATCCATTGTTGCTGCACTCTTAGCAAACAACCAGTATCAAATAAATGAGACTTTGTTTCCTATTGTTGTGTTAATATTAGCCTCTCTGTCATTTGTGTAGTGATTCACAATGATTGGAATCCTGTAGCTCAGTGGTTAGAGCACTCGGGTTCAGTTCCAGGCAGAGGGCGAAACTTTGGCCAAGTTTCCTTACTCCACGCGCCTAATAATAATTCCTCCAAAACAAAACAATAATAAATTAGTCATTTTCAATCCACGACTATTTGTGGGACACTGCTGTGTGCAATTGGCTGCCGCGTTTCGCCCACAAATATACGGTTAATTCACTTTACAGTCTATTCTGTGACGCGCTTTGAGATGTCGAGAAGACGTGAAAAGTGCTATATCAAATGCAAGGATTATTATTATATATTATTATATGAGATTAGCAGTCTGAATCAGGGCTAACGCAGTTAGTGCGCAGAGCTGGTTTCAGTAGCACATCTTCACATTGTACCAAAATGAATGAAGTTTCTCCGGGCCCCAATCTGAAATATTGTAATAATAAGAAAAATAATCCTTGCATTTGATATTACACCTTATCATATTGTTGAAACGTCGCAAAGCTCTTCACAGAATATACTGTATATATCTATACATATATACAACTTGCACTTGTATAACGCCCTTCACGCAGGGTAGCATTTCAAAGCGCATGAAATATATATATATTACTTTTCTTGAGTCACCCACAAACTTTTAAGATACTACATATACTTTATATATTTGAATAAAGTATATGTAGTATCTGAAAAGTTTGTGGGTGACCCAGGAAAGTTTACAGGCAGCTTTTACAATGTTATAAATAAGGTTAGTAGAAATTTATTTTACTTTTTTTCAGATTTTTGTTGAGCAATACTTTATTCAAAATTATTTATTGTTTTTTTGGCATTTTATTTTTTCTCTCAATAATTTTTTGCCCTTCGAGGTCACATAACAGAAAAATAGTAATCATAATTTATCTAAATTATTGCCAAATAAAATGGTGACCTGGACAAAGAGACTCGACCTCCTCTCACTGTAACTGCAAAGGACACCCTTGGCTCCTGCACTGAATAAATGTGAACAAATGTGAATTCTCCACTAATACATACACACCATTATTCATGTTTCAAATTAGTCCAAACATGTGTTTTTCTGCTGTGCATAATTTTCATGGGTAATAATCCCTTAAAACAAGTGTGGTCACTCAATCCAGACTGTTTGTGGGACACTGTTGTGCACAATTGGCTGCCACTAAATATACAGTCCACAAAATATACAGTCAATTACTTTACAGTATATTCTGTGAAGAGCTTTGGGACGTCTTGAAGACGTGATAAGGCACTATTATCAAATGCAAGGATGATTATTATCATTATTGGACACCATTGGTCCTGTAAGCTGTTGGTTGTTCTTCTTGATCTCACTGCTGCCTTCAACAATCCTTTTCCACCGCCTTTCCTCTGAGCTCCACCTTCACGGTTCTATTTTTCCTGGTTTCATTCTAACCTATCCAAAATCTCCACTTTGTATCTGCTTATGGCTTCTCCTCCCGCACCACCTCTGCCACATACAGCATTCCACAGAGCTGTGCGGTTGGTCTTCTCATTATAATATCTTCATGCTTCCGTTTGGTGATATCATCTACAGACACATTATCTTTTATTTGCCTCTATGGTCTTGCCCCATACTACCTCTGTGACCTCCTCAAAACCTACAAACCGAGTTGCTGCCTCCATCAGTGATCGGGAGTTGAGCATATTTGCTCCCACTCTGGGATCTTCATCCCAGATCTTCATCCCAGAGTCCCTTCACTCTTCACTCGCCTCCTTCACGACCTGCATCACCTTTGATCTCGGTGCACTCTGAATTTCAGACTACAGTTCATTTCTTTCTCAATTCTTTGCCTTCCAGCATCATAAACTATCAATTTTTAATCAGTAAAAATGAATTTGCGATGGATTGCAGATCATCATTAAATAATTATTTGGGGAGGACAAGTTTGCAGGACTACAGGGAGAGAGCGGGGGAGTGGGATTGAATTGGATTGCTCTGTTCAAGAGCTGGCACAGACACGAATGGCCTCCTTCTGTGCTGTATAATTCTATGATTCTTTGATTTCATTTATTTCATTTATAGAGTGACTTTCACGTCGGGAGGACGTCCCAAGGAGCTGGACAGTTGGGTCAGGACCCGAGCAGGGGGAAAATGGTCAGGGTGAGGGGAGGGAAGGGAGGGAGCGAGGAGGGGGTAGAGGGTCGAGAGGGGAGTTGAAGGCACGATCAAAGAGAAAGGTCTTGATACCGGCCTTGAAGGAGGAAAGGTAGGAATGATCTTTCCAATGATCATAAAAACCGAGTAGTATTGATGTTTCTGATTTTTATGGAATCCCGGCAAGCCTAGTTATATAACATGACCTTCTCTTTTTCAACATTTACTTAACACCCAAATCAGAGTTTTTTCGGCATACAGTTTGTACAAAGCTCTTCTGAGGCCAAGGCCAATGTGATTTGGAGCAGGAAGTGTAAATAGAACCATAAAAATGTCCAGCACAGAAGAAGGCTATTCAGCCCATCATGTCTGTGCTGCCTTTTTTTAAGAGCAAAGCATTTACCTGCCAATTTCCCATACCCCTGTAATTTATTCCTTTTTAGGTATTTACCTAGTTCCCTTTTGAAAGCCAATATTGATTCTGCATCATTCACTGCTCCTTGAAGGGCATTCCATACCCTAATTACTCTGTGCGTGGAAACATTTCTCTTAACCTACCTATAAATCATGCTTCTGACTCCTAATCGTTTTACTGTTGGAAGCGATATTGCTTCTCTTGTAGCAGTATAAACTGGAGATTTATGTATTTGCAAAATGTGCATTGTATTGGAGTGTGTTATAGAAATTATAACATACCAAAACAGGTAGTCTGTTCGACCCATTTTATATATTATAATTCTTTTGGCATTGATAGGATTATGGTAACATTGTGCAGAGTACAGAGTTTAGGATTCATGATGGTCAGACATGAGTTTTATGGCAGTGGTTTTAATAGTAGTGTGGGAACAATCAAAATCTAGGGCCACAATTATGCCTAATATCATTTATACTAAGAGAGACAAAATGTCTGCCTGCCTGCCTGCCAATAACCGTAGATTGATGTAGAGGGATGATTTATACTTCATCGGAAAGGTCTTGCATGGGAGAGCGTCATGGGCATATTTCTTTCCGATGATCTCCTATCGTTGATGAGCTATAGTAAAGAATATATTAAAAAATGCTTTAATTAAGCCCCCCAAAAGGTATTCTGCAACAAAGTAGTGACAGGGGTCACAACCCCTTCTATAGAGATTCGTCTTCTATACTAATAAAGACGATATATCTGTCTGTGTGTCTGTCTAACCGATTGACATAGAGACATTATTTATACCTCCCAACAGGAGTCCTCCCAACAGGAGTCTGTGTGCAAATATGTGAACAAGGGATGTTAACGAGTTCAATAGCACATTTTCTTAATCTTAAGGAATAAAGATGCCTAAGAAGCGAAGATCAAGCCTTTCAAGGTCAAATAAAAATGCCGGACGAAAGAGAGAACGCTAATTAAATGAAACTAGTTGCAAGCGTAGGTACAGCTACTCTATAGATAAAAGACTTATGTAAAAAGAATAGGTACACATAAAAGTAACATACCAGCTGGGATATTTTACAAGAATCATAATACATCAATGAGTTGTTGACATCAGAGACTGGAGCTGAGAGTTGTTTACTAATGTTACCTCTAGCCTGAGATATGTTTAAACTTTTAACTTGGCGAAAGAATAATCTATATAGAGGTAAACTTTTATACTCTTCTTTCCCTTTTTGTTTTTGCTGGCAGGGCTGTTAAAGGTGATGCGGTGTGATTTGAACAGCCCCTACAACGGGATTTATTTCAGTGTTTCTTGTGGGGGAATGTTATAGCTTGTCTATATTATATGCACGATTTCAGCTCAAAAGTGGGCATATTGCATTTCCTAAGTAGCTATTAAATAGTGAACTGGAAGGGATTGTGGTTTTGCTAACAGCTGCTCTGTTGTTTGACAGGTGTACATTTGCAGCAATGTAGTGGAAGCTCGACAACAGGTTATTGAACTTGCTCGCCAGCTGGACTTCATTCCAGTCGACATGGGGACATTGTCTTCAGCGAGGGAGATCGAGAATATGCCTCTGCACCTCTTCACTCTCTGGAAAGGCCCTGTACTTGTGGCAATTGGCTTGGCCACCTTCTTCTACATTTACTCGTTCATCCGAGACATTGTGCACCCCTACGTGAAGAACAAACAGAGCGACTTCTATAAGATTCCCATTGAGATTGTGAACAAAACGTTGCCGGTTGTTGCTATTACTCTCCTCTCCCTCGTGTACCTGGCAGGATTGCTGGCCTCTGCTTTCCAGCTGAACTATGGAACTAAATATCGTCGATTCCCAATGTGGCTGGAACACTGGCTCCAGTGTCGCAAGCAGCTCGGGCTTCTCAGTTTCTTTTTTGCTTCCGTCCACACGGTCTACAGCCTTTGCCTTCCAATGAGACGTTCGGAAAGGTACTTCTACCTCAACATGGCTTATCAGCAGGTAACAACAACAACAAAATTACATTTGTAAAGCGTCTTTCACGTCGGAAGGACGTCCCAAGACGCTGGACAGACAGAGTTATGGACCAGAGCTGAGGGTCGGGGTGGGGGAGGGGGGAGGGCAGTGGGGGAAGCAGGGAGATCCAAAGCACGGTCAAAGAGGAGAGTCTTGAGGTGGGAATTGAAGGTGGCAAGGGAGGGGGCAAGATTGAGGGACTGCTGGATGGAGTTCCAGAGGGTGGGAGCAGAATGGTGGGGGACCCGCCCGCAGATAGTGGGGCAAGCAAGGCGGGGAAACGTGAAGCAGGCCGGAGCCCGCTGAGCGTAGGGAGCGAGCAGGATGGACAAATTGATGTGGGGTCAGCAGGTCGCAGAGGTAGGGAGGGGCAGGACATGGATGGATACAAAATGGGGGTGGGTGGGGGAGAATGGGGAGGGGAAGTGACCATAGGTGTGGATGAAGAGGTAGGTTTGAAACCGATAGAGAGAAGACAAAGTGGTAGCGGGAGCAGTTCCAGAGGTTAGCCAGTTGTAACGTGGGTAGATGAGTGCCAGCAGAGGTGTTAGGTGCGAGTGAAACAAATGTGAGGAATTTGAGATGCAGCTTGTGTTCTTTTTTTCTCACCTCTGATACTGACCTACTTGCAGGTTGTTGTATAGGCTAACACTGGGGGAGGGTTGCACTATCAGAGGTGCTGCCTTTTAGATGAATAATTAAATCCAGGACCTGTTTTGTCAGTTTAGGTGGACGATAAAAGATCCCAGAGATAGGTTTGAAAACCGATGGAGAGGAGACAAAAGGGTTAGGGGAGCAATTCCAGAGGTTGGCCCATAAAAAGGGAATTGGAGTCTCTCCCTCTCTCTGTATCCAAGACAACAATCTACCAGTTGAAATTCGCTGGGAACGCTCAGCAGGTCAGGCAAATTCTATGGAGAAAGGAAAGTGAGTCAACATTTTGGGTCCATGACCCTTCGTCAGAACAGTTCGGGATACAGAGAGAAAGACTCCTTTGTCAGAACAGTTCTGACGAAGGGTCATGGACCCGAAATGTTGACTCACTTTCTTTTCTCCATGGATGCTGCCTGACCTACTGAGTGTTCCCAGCAACTTCTGTTTTTGTTTTCAGATTTCCAGCATCTGCAGTATTTTGTGTTTTGTTACCAGTTCAATTGATCATTCTATTGGAATGGCTGTTTGTGGGACCCTTATGGTGCAAGTAGCTGCTGTGTTTGCCTACAAAAACAATGTATATCCTTCATGACAGTTTTCTGGGGTATTTTGGGAAGTATCAATGTAAGGCTTGAAAAATTCCTCCTTTCTACTAAACAAGGCATATACTCTTGTCTCTCCCCTTGCAGATTTCATTCCCTTTCTTCCTGCCCTCCCCCAAATGTTCCTTGTGCCCAAGAAGGGACTACTTAACTCCCACATTCCCGAGTCAATGGATGAACATGCCACTCAAGATCTCAGCATTGAATTGAATGACCAATTTATCTGGAGGATTGTTGGCCAGGACTCACTGGGAGAACCAACCCTCTTCTCTTTTAACATGTCCCTGTAGACAGGAAACTAGATTTATTGTCTCATTCCAAGGAGAGGACCTCCAACATTGCAGCACTTCCCTAGCATTGGAATATCAATCCAGACTATGAGCTCAAGTCCTGACAAGGGGCTTGAACCAATAACCTTTTTCCCAGAGACAAGAGTCCCTATCAACTGAACCAGCTGACTCCTTGTACAAAGAATAATACAGTGACTTATCAAATCAATTCATATGTTCTCTATTTTCCCACTATCTGAAAATATCAGTTTATATTCTAAGTACAATCTTTGCAAATAGTGGCCTGGGTGGACCTCATGTTGACACAAGTGTCTGTCCTTCCTTATTTTTCAAGCTTCTGGTACAAGATGAAAATAACAAGAATGTGGGAGAAGGAGAGATTTTATTTATAAATAGTTGTTGAATTTGCATTAATCAAAGTGAGAAGAATGGTCCTGGGAAATGAGAAACTTTCTAATTTTGGTCACCAGTGCAATTACATAAGAATCAAAGTATTCTGTGCTCTGGCCGAGACATAGAACTCTTATAGCTAATATATTTTCATCAGTTAAATCAAGGCTGGATTTTACAGGTCAGTTGATTAACCCACTTTAGCACTCAGTTCTCTCTGAAGAGATCATTTTAACCCCAATCGTGCATGTTGTTTGCCAGCTGAGTTTTCAAGGTGCCCTGAAGTTCTGTATTCTGACCTTCTCCTACCCTACTCCTCCGCTCACCCTCTCCACTCAGCTAACTCAGGCTTGTTACGTATCCTTGCCCCCACCATTGGTGGCTCAGCCTTCAGTTCCTACACCCCTAACCTCTGGAACTCACTCCCTACCTATTAGATTTAAGTTGTTGCCTGATTTTCATTCATCTACACATATACCATCACTGCAGAGATTTCCCAGTGAATCATTTTTAAGACATTTTGGTGACGTGAATAGGTATTATTGCATTTGTAAAGATTTTATTATTTATTCATTTTATTCTTGATGATTATCTGCAACTTCAGTGTTGAAGAAAACTATAAATTTTCCTCTGAACTTTTATGAGATTATACCTCACTTTTAAAACTTTGGGCATAAAGTTATTGTTTTTGATATATAGTCATTTATGATTTTTTTTACAGGTTCATGTCAATATTGAAAATTCTTGGAATGAAGAAGAGGTTTGGAGGATGGAAATGTACATCTCCTTTGGAATAATGAGTCTGGGCCTTCTCTCATTGCTGGCAGTTACATCAATACCATCAGTCAGCAATGCTATGAATTGGAGAGAGTTCAGCTTTATTCATGTATGTGTCGACCCTATTTTCTAATTTTTTTTGGTCTTACTGATACATGTAGAAATCCATTACCATGCATATGACTATCCAAACCAGACTGAGAGTTACACATACGCACGCCAGGCTGACTGGTCCGGTAGCAGAGCAGTTACATTGCCAAGTATATCAACCTGGAGCCAACTCAGTTCCAAGGAGACCTCTCTTCCTCTCCCACCCCCCCAAAAAAATCAGTAGTTGGTCCGATGATCTTATGTAGATACTCCGTAGTGATTTTTCTTCTTTTTTTTTACACTAAATCTGATTTTCAATTAATTTTTATTTTCTGACAATTAATGCTCACTGAATACATTAGAAGTACATTTTGACAAAGTATATCTGAAAACATCGTTAAGGTGTCAGCCTGACTCAGTTGGTAGCACTCTTGCTTCTGAGTCAAGAAGGTTATGGGTTCAAGCCCCACATCAGGACTAGGCACTCCATTGAAATGCTGGTGGGGGGGGCGGGTGCGGTGTTGCACTGTTGGAGGTGCTGTCTTTCAGATGAGACGTTAAACCAAAGTCCCTTCTGCTTGTTCAAGTGGACATTAAAGATCCAATTGCACTATTCAGAAAGAGAAGGGAGTTTCTCCTAATGTCCTGGCCAACAATCCCTGAAATAATCAAATTAGTTAATTTACTTCATGGCTGTTTGTGGGACATTGCTGATTTACAAATTGGCTGTCGTGGTTCCCTACAAAACAACAACAACTTGCATTTATATAGCGCCCTCCATGAGGGGTAGTGTCCGGGAGGTCTTAAAACACACAGTCACTGCACTTGATAGTGAATCTGTAAAGTCTTTTGGGATGTCCTCCTGATGTGAAAGATGCTGTACCAAATTTAAGGATAATTATTTTTTCATTGCTATCCTCACCAGATAATTGTCGGATGCTCACTTTAAATATAGGGGGAGAGCCTCTGTGCGCCCACCTAACAGAATAATGGTGCACCATTATCCACCTACAGTGATATCCTTTATAATCCCATATAATAACATTAGTATCACAGAGTGGAGGAAGTAACACACAGCACCTCATCTCCTACCTAATAGGAGTGAGTCCTCATGCTTCTGAGGATTACGTTCTAGTGCTGCCAACTGGATTCATAATTTGCTTTCATTGGCTTCAACCCACAAATGCTCCAAAGGCAACATTAGTGGTCAACATTTCCATTTTGTTAAGACATAAAAATCCCTTTCTTTGGCTGCTTCATAGCTATTGATTCCCAGTGCCCTCATTCAATTATCTGGCAGCATGTTGCAAAATGTTGAGGGCTGAGGTGCCTGGAATAATCAATTGTATTTGTTTCAAGTCCTCTGTATGGCATCTTTTGTTGGCAAATGTTTGTATCCTGCATTGGTTTTTAGAATTATTCAGTGATCTTGTGTTTATATGTCACCATATTGGTCAGCTCTGGTCAGCCAGGTCTTTGACACATGTGGAAACCCATCACCGTACTTAAAAGTATCCAAACCAAACTACGATTGCCATGCATCCCACCTACACATAGAAATCCCAGAGATAGATTGTTGGAATGGAGTGCTCTCCCTTACTCTCTCCCTGGAGGGATGCATCCTGCTTACCTAATTCCAGAAAGTATTAGGCACGTTGTTGTGACTGCAAAAAAAAAGTCACAGTCTTGGTATAAATTGGCATTTTTCCAGGAATAAAGATTAAGATTTAGGGTGAAAAGATTACAAAGATTTGCAAAGAGTGTACAGCAAGTAAAAGCCACTTGGCCCAACCAGTCCGTGCCAGTGTTTATACTTCACACGAGTCTCCACCTATTCCTTACTCCATCCCATACCCTCCTATCCCCCCTCATATGAAGGTCTAGCTTTCTTTCAAATGCATAAAATGTGAGGTAAGTTGTCATAATTAACAGCTTGAATTTTGCAGTGATGCATTAGCCCATTGTTATATCACAGGGCGAAACCTTGGGCAAGTTTCATTACTCCACACGCCTAATAATAATCCCTCCAAAAAAACAAAACAATAATAAATTGATCATTTTCAATCCTGACTGTTTGTGGGACACTGCTGTGAGCAATTGGCTGCCGCGTTTCGCCCACAAATATACAGTCAATTCACTTTACAGCACATTGTGTGAAGCGCTTTGTGACGTCTAGAAGATGTGAAAAGCACTATATCAAATGCAAGGATTATTATTATTATTATTAATATTATTATTATTATTATTATTCCAGCAGGGAATATATTAGATTCTGAATGTGACATAAATACATTGAAAAAATAAAATCTCATTACTCCATCCACTTAAGTTCCTTTCTAGGTCCTCCCAACTCTCTCTTTCTCTGCTTGAACTTCAAACAAACCTGATTGGAGTCCAATCCTTGTTAGTTACCTTGATTGAGGCACCTTCCTCTCTCCAACACCCCTATATTCCCTTCCCCCTCATGCATGTATCAATATTTTTCCTAAACCCATTGATACTTTCCACTTCAACCACAGCTTCCAGCAGTGAGTTCCATATTCTCACCAATTGCTTCCCAGTGATTAACAAAATGAATTCTCCCCATTAACAAAATGGATGTGAAAAAGATTGCTGCAAAAAAATAACATCTTTTCTTTTCTTTTGAAGTCCAGACTGGGGTACGTGGCTCTCCTTATCAGTACGTTCCATGTCCTGATTTTTGGATGGAAGCGAGCTTTTGAGGAGCAGTATTACAGATTTTACACACCGCCAAACTTTGTGCTGGCTCTTATTTTGCCTTTCATTGTTATCCTCGGGAAACTTATTGTACTGATTCCATGCATTAAGAGAAGGTTACGGAAAATCCGCAAGGGATGGGAAAAGAACCAATTCGCCGACGACACTTCAGCAATAGTTCCTCAATCGTCTCCTGAAAGGGTAACCATTATGTGAGACTTTGTGACAATCAATTGTGACTCTTTAAGCCATTTAATGAGCTGGAGACTTTTAGCGACAATAGTTTGTGTAACTAGCTGCAAAATATCAACAAATCATTTAAAAATCTCCAGCTCTTTGTATTTTCTTGCTTGTAGTCTAGGCATACAGTATATAGAAGGTATACAAAGGTGAACAGTAGGTGGGATAGATCCTACAAGCAAGATTAAAAACAACTTCCATTCAGAAATGGTCAGGTCCAAAGTGGGATGGACGAGAATATAAATAACTCTGAATTTCGCTGTTCTCCATTGTCTGTTCTGTTTGTGTCATGTGTAACAATGCAAATGCATTAAACAAGTCCAATGTTAAGATGAGTTATTCGCAATAATGAAACATTTTGAACATTTTAGTAAGTTGATGTCTACAATGTCAGAACTATCTGTTAAATGTGTTTACTTTAAGCAGTGTTCATGTTGTTGACCTGATCTGTCCCTAGCGTAGCTAGAACTGCTGTTTTGCCATGATGGCTCTAGGCAACCTGGCTATCTCACATGTGCTTAGTGTAGAGTAATGTATATTTTTGTTTTAAAAAATGATCATTTATAAATGTTCTAAAGAAAAATGGATTAGACTTTGCTGGTGGCTCAAGAGGGTGAATGCAGAACATTGTTCAATACTGTACAGTGAGATCTCAGATGTAATCTCTCATGGTCTGTGCCAAATTGTGGAGTTCTGTAGCATAATGTTTAGAGCACTCACCTCGCAAGCGACAAGACCCGACTTCAATTCCCAGGCAGGGAGAAACCTTAGGCTTAAGTTTCCTTACTCCACATGCCTTTGTTTACCTAAGCAGTAATAGGAACCTGGATGCTAGTCGATTGGCGGATCACTTTCTAGGGTAATAATCCCTTCATCATAAATAAATAATAAGAATTTGGTCACTCAGTCCACAACTCTTTGTAGGACATTGCTGTGTGCAATTGGCTGCCACATTTTACCAACAAAATATACAGTCCAGAAACTGTTAGAAAGGAATCTCACTTTAATTTTTTTCATTGCAGATTCTTTCATTGCAGAAATTCTTTAATGCCAAAATTCCAACTGGTGTTAGCCTGAGATTTAAGATTGCGCAGAATTGAGGAAAATACTACAAATTCAGTCTTGATTTGGAAGCCATTTTTTAACAGTTTGCACAATTTGCATACGTGTAGCGCCTCTTACATCGAGAACGCATCTCAAAGTGCTTCACACAGCTGGCTAGAAGCCCAAGTTGGAGGTGGGATGTCGGGGTGGGAGGCATCGCTGAAAAGATAGGTGTTAAAGCAGGGAGATAAGGGAAAAGTTAGTGGGAGTCCTGGGTGGAATTCCAGAGAGCAGGGGCAGAATGGCTGAAAGCATGTCCACCGATGGTGGGTCAGATTGGATGGGGGACATGAAGCAGGCTGATGTTTGCTGAGTGAAGGGGAAGGCTGAGGCTCTTAAAGAGAACCAGCTTCCAAATCAAGGCTGAATTGAAAACTTTTCCTTAATTCTGTGCAATCTTAAATTTTAAACCCAAATTATCTGAAAGGCAAAGTCTCGATGGAATTTCAAACCTCATGTGAGTCTCAAAGCTAGACATCCAACCAAACAGAAGACTTTTGCCAAGTCCAGTAGTTAGTGTTTTCACTGTCCGTTTATGTAAAATTTTACTTATGCAAATATTTGGGTACCGCTAATGAACAGCATTCATAATTACAATGTAATTGTTTTAGTAAAAGTGTGGTCGGCAGGGTCTAAATATAACATTTGCTGCTGTCTTCCTGCCTCGTTTGTTCTGTAAATGTCACTGTTTACATTCAGTCTTCAGTGTTGTACGAGCAGATTCAACTATGTATAATGTGCAATAAAGGTGAGACTGCGTTGCCAAACTTTCAATGTTTCCTTTTGTTTATTATGTTACTTCTCAATCAACAGCACTACAGTAATAAGATTTTTAAAAAAATAATTTGGTCGATTAATCCACAACTGTTTGTGGGACACTGCTGTGCGCAACGGTGCCGCGTTTCGCCCACAAAATATACAGTCAATTCACTTTACAGTATAATCTGAAGCGCTTAGAGACGTTGCGAAGACGTGATGAGGTACTATATTGAATGCAAGGATTATTATTATTAAGAAATCTGCTTTGTAACCTTGTGCTCTTTTTGTGAATGTGACTGCCTCCTGAAAGCCCATTTGATATGAAGTCCACCAGGCTCCTGTCCAAGGGGTTGTGGATGCAGCAAATTACTGCTATTTACAGAGCATAACCAGGCTGGAAGCTGGACTGACTGATGGTTTTGAATTATTAAGGCCATTCGTGTGGAAAATTCAAGCAAAAGTGACATTCTGCTGCCGATCAGCTTTGCAGAATACTGCTTTGTGGAAACGTGCACCCCTTTATGCTGACCCATCACCCTAAAGCATATTTTTAAACATCCTTTGGGTGAACTTTGCTCAGGGGCTTTTTTTTGCTCACAATCCTGCAAATAAATTATGGAAAACACCCACCGTTCCCGGTGTTTAATCAAGGGAAACGTTAGAAATGCTGCAAAATGTAAAAGTTTCTTACACACTTCAAAGTATGCTGTTGCAGTTCAAAGGATTTCTCGAGTCTTTCCCCTCCCACCTAATCCTCCAGGTTTAGTGTAAATTCTAAGTTATTTATTTACCATAATTTCATTGAATTTCTTTCACGACCAAACAGTTCTTGGTAAGAAATTTTGGAATGATTATTAGTTTATTATGAGTTTATTATTAGGGGAGTTTATCATTATTTGTCAAAAGTTGGGACTGTTGCCCTGAAGCAGAGAAAAGAGAGAGGTTTTCAGAGCTTTTGAATGATTTTAAAAGAGTGAACAGCGAGAGACCATTTCCAGTAATTGTCAAGTCGGGAATAAGAGGACGTAAATTGAGGCTTAGGACCAGAAGAAAAAGGGGATGGTTAGAACAATCTGTTTACATTGAGGATGGTCAGAACGTAGAATGCATTACTACAATGGCAGTTGCACCTGAGTCTATAGCAATAACTTGTATTTATATGGTACTTCCATGTAAACTCAAAATGCTTTACAGTGCCAAACACCAAGTGGGTGGTGGGGGATGGGGGTTGTGCATATTGGCTGAAAACTTGCCCACTAATGGTGTGGCAGAGTGATGAGGAAGTCTACATTTGCTGAACAGGTGACATTCAAGAAGATCACAGAATTAGGGAGGTGTAAGGAAATGAAGCGGTTTGTAGGTGAAGGTCCTCGAGTCTGTTTTTTATGATGACTTTTGGCACATACAAGAAATCAAGACCATGCTTAAGAGTATTCAAACTAGACTTGACAGCCACACAGGGAATCTCCCTGTGTCTGAAATGGAGTGCACACTTTCTCCCTGGAGGGCTGTATCCTCTTAATTCTGGATAGTATTCAGCACCATATTGACAAAAGCCGAAGCTTGGATGTTCTAGAGTGCGCTGTTGGATTACCACTGTAGTTTAACCATCTAAAACCACATAGCTAACCACTGAGAGCACTATCTGGTGAGCTGCTTTTCCAACTAGAACACCCTAGCTGACTCGCAGGATTAACAGGAGCCAAATTGGGAAGAATCCCTGCCTGATCTCGCCCACAAAATATACAGTCACTGCACTTTACAGTACATTCTGTGAAACGCTTTGAGACATCTCGAAGACGTGATAAGGTACTATATCAAATGCAAGGATTATTATTATTATCTGCCCCTAGAAATCCTATCGATGAGCCAGACTGGCAGGTCTGTCATTAGTTTTGTTTTGGAGTACTGAAGACCCACTGGCTCTGAACCTCAGACATCATGTCACTCTGGAGTCAGCTCAGCTGCAAGGAGACCCACTTACCCCCCCTCCCTCAGTCAAAGAGGATGGTCACTAGTTGGTTACTTGTTACGGTTACTTTGATTTATTTCTTCACAATCACCTACTTTTGCCTATTCTTTTTGCTTCCTCCCTTCTTTTTCATTTATGTTCATTTAGTTAATTCTCCCATTTTGGTAATATTCTCATCCCATTCCAGATTTTATTTTTCCCTCTCCCTGCAAACACTGTCCTGTGGTCACTTCTTCCAATTACAGTATGAAATGAATAGAGCAATTATACCGAGGAGGAACAGGTAAACAAATTGAAAATCTCAAGTCCATTGCCAATAACTGCATAAGTAAAAGCATTCTTGTAACCGAATACTGTATCTGATAAATTCTGTTGCCTTCTAGATCTCTGTTCATTGGAATCGCCTTTGTTGTTACTCGAAGATGTGATAATAATAATAATCCTTGTATTTGATATAGCGCTTCTAGACATCTCAAAGCGCTTTACAGAATGTATTGTAAAGTGAATTGACTGTATATTTGTGGGCGAAACGCGGCAGCCAATTGTGTACAGCAGTGTCTCACAAACAGTTGTGGATTGAAGTGAGCAATTTTATTGTTTTTTTTGAGGGATCATTATAAGGCGTGTGGAGTAAGGAAACTTGTCCTAGGTTTTGCCCTGCCGGGTATCGAACCTAGGTCTCTCGCTTGCAAGGCAAGTACTCTAACCACTGAGTGACAGGACTCCTACAAGGAGACGCTGTATTAAATGCAAGGATTATTATTATTATAACTTTTAGATAATGTATTGACTGAAACATAACCTTACTCTAGAAGCCTACTGGATTTCCATGGTAGACTCATTTTTATTTTCCCAGCACTGTAATTCCTTAATGAGCACAAACAATTACAAAATAGAAATTGTAGATCAGTTCACTGAGATAGACATAGACATTTAAATTAGAAATTCCTTATGAAGCTTAATGAATTTATCACGAATCCAGTAATAAGGATTAGATATACCTAGTAATTTGTGAGCTGGGTAGGAGGTGAATGTTGTCAAAAGGCAGTTTGAATCATGATAATAATAATCCATACATTTGATGTAGCTCCCATAATGTCAAAACATCTCAAAAATAATTGCTGTTGAGTTTTATAATTGTATATTTGTAGGCAAATGCAATAAGCAATTAATACAAGTAGTACCCACAAATAGACATTAAATGAATGAACAATATATGTAAAAGATTGTTCACCAGGATATCAGGAGAGTCTTCTCTTTTAAATTACGTCACAGAATAATAAAAATAATAATAATAATCCTGACATTTGGTATAGTGCTTTTTCATGTCGTTGACACGTTTGAAAACTCTTCACAGAATACATTAGAAAATGGATTGTCTGTACATTTATGGGTGAATCACAGATACCCAATTGCGCACAGCAGTGTCCCACATACAGTCGTTGATGGAGTGACCAATTGTTTAAAAAAATTTGAGCGATAGTTAATGATCTGTAGTTTTGCGTACAATTCTCTATTATAATTTCCTCCAAGAAATACGAATGGGTTGGGTTGAGTCCACGATAGAGTAGGTTTCACAGTTTATGGCTAATTCTCTGCATTTACCAATTCCCTCTAATAGCCTTCATCTGTATTTGCTTACTACGGCATCACAAGAAAGCCTCCTAAGACAGATCCTCTCCGAATCACTCATCATCCCGATTTGAACCTATAGCTCCACTCCTTCATTATCACTGGGTTAACTCCGGTTTCAAGGAAAGGCACGACAGCATATTTTCTGGTCAACAAGGGATGGGAAATAAATAAATGCAGGCCGTGCCAACCTCACCCACATTTTTCTATTACCCGAGATGAGTAATAGAAAAATGTAATTCTATTTTAAACGTAACCACCACGCTACCATTCTCCATTAACAGACTGATCATTATTATTATTATTATTATTATTATCAACCTATCCGCGCTCTCTGCTGAGCAGGTTGTGGCCTGCTCCACGCGCCCCCCCCCCCCCGCCCCGCCCCACCCCACCCGGCACACCCCACGATCGGCGGTCGGACCTTCAGTCTTTCTGCCCCCGCCCTTTGGAACCCCAACCCACATTCCCTTCGCCTCGCTCCCTCCCTCCCTTGCCTCCTTCAAGGCGCGTCTCAAAACCCTCCTCTTCGACCGAGCCTTCGGCCACCCTCACTAACCCCTTTCCCTGCCCTCCACCCTCCTCGATCCCGACCCCGAGCTCGGTCGGGTCCAGGTTCCTGACCGTCCAGCACCTTGGGACGTTCCCCCCCCACCCACCCCCCCACCCCCAGCGCGAAAGGCGTTTCACAAATGTCATTTGCATCGTAATCGGACACGGTGGAAGTGTGCTGGACTTGGTTTGATGCCCTGGTGGGAGGACAGCCGTAGGGGAGGGTACTCCTGAAAGAGGGGAGACCCCAAATGGACCTTCTCCATCATGAGCCCAACTCTCCTGTGAAGATCCTGTGAATCAGATCGCCAGGAACTAAAAGCCCAAAGTTGTAGCCCAAAGTCAACCCAATACTAAGCCCAAAGAGTAGCCCAATATTATGTGTCCCCTGATAAGGATGGCCGACTTAGGTGAGCGCTTTTTGAAACCGTGCAAGAAAAGCTCTCCAAAGGAACCAAAAAAAAAGCGTTGAAAACGTTAAAAATTAGGCAACCGCCCCCAAAAACTGCGACCTCCACCGCGCAGCACCGTCACCGGCCAACAGAAACCGCCCGATTGGGCGTGAAAGCCGCCCAACCTGGCCACGCTGGGCGGCGTGTGGCTCACGACTCGGCAGCGCCGCCTGTGGTGAGAAAGGGGACAGTCAGTCCCGTCAGCAACGCGGCGCCGGCTCCATAGCAACGGGGAGCGGTGGTGGTGGTGGTGGTGTGGGGGGGGAGAGGGGGGCAACAGGAGGCCCGAGAGCCGCCGCCGCCGCCGCCGTCGCGTCCATCCCATCCCCAGCCTTAATCTCACAAGCCGCCGGGTGTCCGACCGACCGTGAGAGGAGAAAGATGAGCGTGAGCAAGAGCGTGCCGGTGGTCAGGCACGTTATCACTGACGCCCGCATGGGGCTCAGTAAGGTCAGTCCCTCCCGCCGTTTCCCCGCACTGTGGGGTCTGTTCGCTGCCGCCATGTTGAATGAGAACTCCCATTAAACCCGATCGTGTCGTAAGTCACCGAAGTCGAGGGGCTCCCGCTCAAGAGCAGCCTCTGCCCTTCAGTCTATTACCCCCTCACACCATCCCCCCCCCCCCCTGTCCACCCCTCCCTCCACACCTTCCAACCCGTCTCCCCCTCCTCTCTCACCACCACCACCACCACCACCATAACCCGCATGAAACCCAACCACCTGCTCCCTCGACCCTACCCCTTCCCCTCACCACCTCCCCACCTCTGCCCTCTCCTCTCCTCACCTCACCTCTCCTCTCCTCACCTCTCCTCTCCCAGCTCCACCTCCCCACCCCTCTCCTCCCCTCTCCTCACCTCACCTCACCTCTCCTCTCCCAGCTCCACCTCCCCACCCCTCCCTCCCCTCCTCACCTCACCTCTCCTCTCCCAGCTCCACCTCCCCACCCCTCTCCTCTCCTCTCCTCTCCCAGCTCCACCTCCCCACCCCTCTCCTCACCTCTCCTCTCCTCTCCCAGCTCCACCTCCCCACCCCTCTCCTCACCTCACCTCACCTCACCTCTCCTCTCCCAGCTCCACCTCCCCACCCCTCTCCTCCCCTCTCCTCACCTCACCTCTCCTCTCCCAGCTCCACCTCCCCACCCCTCTCCTCTCCTCACCTCACCTCTCCTCTCCCAGCTCCACCTCCCCACCCTCCCTCTCCTCACCTCACCTCTCCTCTCCTCTTCCAGCTCCACCTCCCCCACCCCTCTCCTCACCTCTCCTCTCCCAGCTCCACCTCCCCACCCCTCTCCTCACGGAAATCATAAACCTCTCCCTGCCCTCTGGTACTGTTCCCACCCCATTAAAAACCGCCCTCATCCTTCCTATCCTTAAAAAACCCTCCCTGGACCCATCACTGCTCTTAAGCTAACGTCCCATCTCCAACCTCCCTGTCCTCTCCAAGGTCCAGGAACGAGTCGTTGGTCCCCAGCTTCGCTCCTTCCTCTCCCGCCACTCCCTTCTCGAACCCCTCCAGAAACAGCCCCGGTCAAAGTTACAAATGACATTCTGTCCATCTGCGACCAGGGCTCCCTCTACCTCCTCGTCCTCCTTGACCTCTCTGCTGTCTTCGACACCGTCGACTATTTTACCCTCATCCTCCCCCTCTCCTCTCACCTCAACCTTCACGGCTCTGTCCTTCACTGGTTCAGATCGTACCTCTCACATCCTCTCCGCTTCATCTCCACAAACCGTTTCTCCTCTAGCCCCCACACCTTCTCATGCGGCGTTCCTCAGGGCTCTGTCCTTGATCCCCTCCTCTTCAATATATATATGCTCCCTCTTGGTGACATCATCCACAGACATTGGGTCAACTTCCACATGTATGCGGATGACACCCAACTCTTATCTCTCTGCCTCCACCCTCGACTCCAGGACCACTGCTGTCCTGATAGAATGACTGTCAGACATCAAGTCCTGGATGAGAGCTACTTTCTACAGTTGAACGTCAACAAGACCGAGGCCCACCTGATAAGTTCCTGTCAGCGCTTCCTCACCTCAGGCGCTGACAGCATCACCATCCGTGGATGTGCACTCCACCTCACTGAGCCAGTCTGGAACCTTGGGGTCTTGTTTGACCCTCATCTATCCTTTCTACCCCATAACCGTGCCATGACCCGCTCTGCCTTCCCCCACCTCAGCAACATCGCCCGGCTCCACCTCTGTCTCACACCGCAGGCTCCCGAAACCCTCATACAGGTATTCATTACATCCAGGCTTGACTATGCAAACTCCCTGCTCGTGGGCCTCCCCAACTCCTCCCTCCATAGGCTGCAGGTCATCCAGAACTCTGCAGCCCGTGTCCCTCTCCTGCACCAGGTTCCGTGTCCCTATCACCTCCATCTTCGCCCAACTCCACTGGCTTCCCATCACACAGAGGACAGTTCAAGATCCTGGTCCTCACCTTCAATGCCCTCCATGGCCTTGCTCCCCCCTACCTCTGCGTTCCCCTAACGCCCTACGAACGCCCTCCTGCTTGCTTCACGACCCCGCCTCGCCCACCCCACTATTGGTGGGCAAGCCTTCAGCTATCTGCCCCATCCTCTGGAATTCCATCCCACTGTCCCCGCCCTTGCCCTCTTCAAGACCAATCTCAAGACCCTACTCTTCAACTGTGCCTGCGGTCACCATCCTTCTCCTCCTGCCCTCCACCCTGCATGATCCCGACCCCCAGCTCAGGTTCGAAACACTGACTGTCCAGCGCCTTGGGACTTTTTCCCGACGTGAATGGTGCTATCGAAATGTAATTTTGTTGTTGTTAATAATAATAATAATAATAATCCTTGTGTTTGATATAGAGCCTTGTCTTCACCCCCATCCTTGCCCGACTCCACTGGCTTCCCATCACACAGAGGATAAGGTTGAAGATCCTGGTCCTCACCTTCAAAGACCTCCATGGCCTTGCTTCCCCTTACCTCTGCGACCCCCTAACCCCCTACTAAAACTCAGTTTTAATGTCTCAGCTGAAGTGCAGCATTTCTGACAATGCAGCATACCCCAAACACTGCATTATTTAGGGTGACAGTATTTTGTAAAGCAAATCCGAGGAAATATAAAAAGAATTGAACTCACAGCAAGAATTGAACTGATGCTGGCAGTACTGGAGAAGCTTGTAGGATTAATGGATGTATTTCTCTGATGAGTGTATCTGTTTTAGGATTTTATTGTTCTTGCTCAGTTTGTTGCCGAACTCAAGACAGGGCAAATTTGTCCAGGGACACAATGCCTCATCTGGGTACTGTGCTCGGAAATCGGGAGACATATGGTCACCCTATTCAAGTGTCAGCCAAGACCATGTGTTTAATATCCCGATGTGAGGAACACATAACTTTCTGACTGAGAGGTGATAGTTCTACCAACGAAGCCAGGCTGACACTGCAATCAAACAGTGAATCTTGGAGATGGCTTAATTAACATATTCAAGATTATGAAAGGAAATGACAAAGTGATCCAGACAATGCTAATAAATGACTTAAAACAACAACTTTCATTTATATAACAGCTAGCATCTTGGAGCATCTGGAATTATCGGAGATGTCACACTTTTTTTTCCATTTTGTTTATCAGAGGTTTCGGATAAAGCCTGTGGATTTCATCCGAGTTATTAAACTAATGGAAGATCAATTTTCAGTAAGTAATTTCTTAAAAATAAACTTAAGTTTTCTTTATTTGTCAGATACAATTTAAATCAATTTTATTGTATCTTAATTTAATATAGCATAGATTATGTTTGTATTCAATTGTGTCAATAAATTGAAATAAAAGTAATGTTCTGATTTGGTTCGTTTATGGATTTTTCAATATATGATGTTAATTTGTTCTATTTGACAGAAATTCATATAAAATGTAAGTTATCTATCCATGTAACATTATTTTAAAATTTGACCGAAACTATAAAAATCTTGAATATAGATTAGAAAATAAAGTAAAGCATACTTTGGGGGAAAAAAAATAATATTGCTAATTTCCCTTTTAAATAATATCATAGTTGGTTTATAAATGTTGGCTTATGATGCCATACCCAGAATTGATTCGATTTTGGATTTTAATTTGCAAAAATGATTAAGAATACAGAATTATAATGTAAATTGGAGTGTCAGTTTCAACAATCCACTGCATAGTAAAAAAGAAAAATGCAAAGTACACAATAAAATATGGTATGTAATGTAGAGTAGGCAATTGTGAGTCCAAGATACTGGAGGAGATTATCTTAGAGCTAAGGTTCTTGAGTCAGTATGACATACTTTGCCGAAAACGCAGTTTGCAACCTGAGACACTTTTTCCAATGGTGATGTGCCTGTAACGCTATCATTTCCCTTAGGAGCATGTATATTACCTCATTGTAAAACATAGGAGACAGTAAAACCATCTCAGTTTGTTTTGTTGCATTCACATGCTGAAATCCAGTATTCCCAATATTTAGAACAGAACTAGAAGATGTAGCGAGGTTGCCAGTTCTTCCATAAGTTTGAGCCAGCGAGTTGCAGAGATTTAAGTGGTATGGCTGTTTGGGGTATAATTTTAATGCGACTCTCATGTGGAGGCATTTGCTGGGCATTAGTACGAAGAGATTAGATGTAGATGGTTTTCCAACATTCTTCCATGAAACCTGTTTCCAAATTAGAAAAAACAATGAATACAAAGATTTTTAGCATTTTGACTTCTAAAAAGACTACTGATTGTGGTATTGGTTTGTTATGGCTAAATTCATACATTGCATTTTTAGACAAGCAGCTTAAATTTCTGGATTTAACTTTTAAAAGTCTTTTTGTGGGATCTCTGGTGACAATAAGATATACAACGGTATACAACATACTACAATGACAACTTGTATTTATATAGCACCCTTCACGAACCATATGTCTGCAGTACTGACTAGAGTTCTAAAGTACTAGAGTTCTACTAGAAATGAAAGAATTGAGGTCATTCCAGTGCACAAACCAATTTTCTGTATTTCCTGCAGTGCAATCTTTTTGAGAGACATCTAATTCTTCTGAAGAGAATAGTGAAAAACTATCAGTTTGGTTTTGTATCCTTTTTCGTTGATATATGTACAGTTGAGAAAAGCAGTATTCCATTGTAAAATCAGATTTAGTGTTGTTAAGAGTAACCTGGGGCTAGGATGATCTAATACAGTAAATGCTCAGAGCTTACAGTTTAGTAAGATTGTACTATAACAACAAACCTGTGTTATAGCAAAATGCTGCAGGAAGGCGTGGGTCACACCCAGAAAACAAACCTCCACCACAGGTTTTAACAATATAAAGAAAGTTTTATTTTTGATAAGGAACTTATTCCTTTTTACAGCCATCTTCTCCACACTCTCCCTTTTCTTTCTTTCTCTCCAGCACCCAGTTATATATTGATGCTCACTCCAGTACAGCCAAGTGATTCTGTGCTGCACACTCTTCATCTCTATGATGTACTTTAGCTCCCAAAACTGAACACAATAAGAACATACGAAATGCTAGACGAAAAAAGACTAAGGTCCATCTAGTTCGTCTTCCACCTTCCTGGCGGTCGCAAGCACATATGTCCTGAGCTACCTATGTACCATATCCCATAATGTTATTTCCTAAAAGAAAATATCTAATCTGTGTTTGAAAGAATCAACACTTCCTGCTTCAACCGTCTCCCCAGGGAGCTTGTTCCACAGGTTCACTATTTGCTCACTGAATTAATGTTTGTGTAGATTGGTTCTGAATTTACCCCCCTTCAATTGCAGGCTGTATCCTCTGTTCTTCGTAGCCTAAGCAAAGTTCTATACAATTCCAATTACATTTCTACTTTTATATTCAATATATAAATTTGATAAATAAATCTTATTTACAAACAGATTACAGTTACTTTAACTGGAGGTGCAGGAGAATCCAGGTAGGTGCCTGACACTTCGCTGAGCATATGTTGCTGCCATGACTAAACAAACATGTTCTTCCACACCCGGTTCACGAGTTCAGTGCCTCATCTAACTGCACAAGATAGTTTATTGTGTTCTTTCTATTGCCTAATAGTTAAAATGCTAACAGTCATTTTTTTCACATTGCTAAAGGTAATATTTGGAAAGACTTGAAAGCTTTTTTTTAACTCTTCCACAGACAATCCAATTGCTCTTAAAGGTGTAAATTATGTGACAATACATTCAAATGAAAGGACAGCAGATAAAATAAAGTTGCCTTCAGCACCACACAGTTCAGCACATTATAATCTGACTAAATCTAAAATGGTTGGGATATGATTATTGGGTTTAAATGTGAAAAGATATTGATGTTTTTTTGCAGCCTTAACTTTATTCTTCTTAAAAGCCAATAAAAGAGTTGGTGCATATCTGTAAAATTCTAAATCTCTGTGAGGAAAAAGTCAAAGATCACGAAATCTACATGCAGTCGATATGTGAAATCCTCAGACTGTGTGGGTAAGCGGTTGTTTCTTATCATTATTCACGAATCAATGAGACATACTGTGAGATGTGATATTAAATAAGATGAGATGCTTCTTTACTATATAATGGCACAATCATGCCATCAGTAATAATAAAAAAAGTCCATGCATTTGATGTAACGCCGTTCATGTCAGGAAGATTTACTGTAAACATTTGTATAGCGCTTTTCACGTTGGGAGGATGTCCCAAGGCGCTAGACAATCAGTGTTCGGACCTGAGCTGGGGATCGGGATCAGGGAGGGTGAAGGGCAGGGAGGAAAGGAGGGTGATCCAAGGCATGGAGTCCTGTAGCTCAGTGGTTGTGGAGTCCTGTAGCTCAGTGGTTGTGGAGTCCTGTAGCTCAGTGGTTAGAGCACTCACTTTGCAAGCGAGAGACCTGAGTTCAATTCCAGGCAGAGGGCGAAACCTTGGGCAAGTTTCCTTACTCCACACGCCTAATAATAATCCCTCCAAAAACAAAACAATAATAAATTGGTCATTTTTAATCTACGACTGTTTGTGGGACATTGCTGTGCGCAATTGGCTGCCGCGTTCGCCCACAAATATACAGTCAATTCACTTTACAGTGTGTTCTGTGAAGCGCTTTGGGACGTCCTCCCGACGTGAAAAGCGCTATATCAAATGCAAGGATTATTATTATTTATGGTAAGAGGCGGGTCTTGAAGAAGGCAAGGGAGGGGCTGAGGCGGAGGGACTGTGAGATGGAGTTCCAAGGGGTGGGAGCAGAGTGTCTGAAAATCAGTGGTGGGATGGACGAGGCGGGGGACGTGAAGCAGGCTGGAGCCCACTGAGCGGAGGGAGTGGGCAGAATGGTAGTGGGTAAGGAGGTCGCAGAGGTAGGGGGGAGCAAAGTCAGGGAAGGCTTTGAAGGTAAGGACCAGGATCTTGAACTGTATCCTCAGTGTGATGGGAAGTCAGTGGAGTCAGGCGAGGATGAAAATGAAAGGGTCACGGAGCCTGGTGCGGGAGAGGACACAGCCTTCCGAGTTCTGGATGATCTGCAGCCTCTGGAGGGAAGAGTTGGGGAGGCTGACAAGCAAGGAGTTTGCGTAGTCAAACCTGGATGTTACAAATGCATGTATGAGGGTCTCAGCTGCCTGCGGTGTGAGACAGTGGTGGAGCCAGGCGATATTGCGGAGGTGGCGGGGAGGCAGAGCCGGTCATGGCACGGATGTGATATAGAAAGGATAGTTGAGCGTCAAAGAAGACGCCAAGGTTCTGGACTGGCTTAGTAAGTGGAGTGTGCATGCCTGGACAGTGAGGCTGTCAGCGCCTGAGGTGTGGAGGTGCTGACGGGAACCAATCAGTTGGTCTTGTTGACTTTTCAACTGACGAAAGTTTGCTCTCATCCAGGACTTGATGCCTGACAGACATTCTGTCAGACAGCAGTGGTCCTGGAGTCAAGGGCGGAGGCAGAGAGATAGAGTTGGGTGTCATCTGCATACATGTGGAAGTTGATCTGCGATGATGTCACCAAGAGGTGTAAAGCTTAGTGGTTGGGTAACTTGCACGCAATGCGGTAGCTAATTTGTACACAGCAATGTCCCACATACAGTCAAAGGTGAATGACCAATTTTATCTGGGGGATTGTTGGCCAGAATACTGGAAGGAATCCTCTTCTCTTTTTTGAATCTTCAATGTCTGCAATGAGACATTGCTTTTATATATCATACGATGACACCTCCGAAATAATACAAAGTCATTGCACTTTACATAAGTGCTTTGAAAGATCATGAGGTTAGAGACTCTATATTAAATACAGAAACAAATATTATTTTAACAGCAATACAATATAACTTACATTTATATAGCACTGTTTGCATCAGCAGAATGTCTCAAAGCACTTGGAAATTATTTTGGAAGCATTTTGAGATGTTTCAGTGCTATAGGGACCATATCAAATGCAGGGGATTATTATTAATTAATCTTAATTAATATGATTAATTAGTAGTAATTCATTAAATAATTAATGATGATGATGACATCATGATTGTATCACATATTTGTGAACTGCTAGATACATTTTCTCAGCAACATTATGGTTGTAGTGTCTTTAAATCCTTTTCAACCCAAAAGGATTATGATTATTATTATTATCTAAACTTGTTACTTGCTTTCACCCTTTCTTCCTCAGTTTAGGCTTCCTAAAGGAGAAGTTATCTGATGAATTAAACTTTGCCCAGATTGTGTCCGAATCCATTTCACAGATGGGTATGTAGATGAAATCATCTTGTTTTATTAGAAGCTGCGAAACACTTTTAAATTGTTAATGTAGAATAATCCACAAACTGGTATCAAGGAGAAAAACAGAACTTTAATTTTCTGGACAGTATGATTTGTATCCGGATAAATAGTTGTGATATTTTACCTTTATTTTTCTTCTCTTTGGGTCCCTGTGAGCTCTGGACTAAGGTGTACAGCGAATCTGATCTCAGTTCTCTGCTAATTTTGTTCTTTAGTTGTTTACTCAGTAAACCAGGAATTTACTGGCAATTATGCTCTTTAAGAAATGACTTGTTAACTGATTTCTTTGATTATTTTGCCACCCATGGCCATCTTTGTAAAGAAGTCTTAGACCACTGTTTTACATTCTCATCAACTGAGATCAGGAACTTGTTACAATTATAATCTTTGCAGTTGGTATAGTGCCTATCACATCGGGAAGGCATCCCAAAGCGCTCCCGAAGTCCCAAAGTGGAGTGACTGTGTATTTGCGAGCAAAAAAAAGATTAACATGGAGTTTTCTTGAATAATTCTAATGTTTGCTGACTATATTTAACCAATGATAGTTTAAAAAATAGGGATAGGGTATAAAGGCAAGTTTAGTGTATAATACACACATTTTAAAACTGCTTTGTGCTTGTTTGCTCTGCAGTAAACAAGATAAAAAGAATGGAAGCCCATTCCAATCCACTCTTTCCCACAGACCATGTGGGAGTTGTGGCTTGAGCATCTTCAGACACTTCCACACTCAAACCCAAACCACATTCTACTCCCAGGCCACCCCGAAGACCAAAAATAATCCCAAACTACACATCACCTCATCTGCACGCCCTGTCAAGCACACTTAATTCTTCGTCAAATGCCATGTGTGAAGAGGTCATGAACATCTTTTTCTCACAGATAGACCACATCTGCTTGGCCGATCTTCTTCCTTCCCATGTCCCACAGCAATTCCCCCCATATCTTCTACTTCACCCAATTTTTCACTGATGCTCCTACCATTGCCCCATCCTACTCTCCTCTGCCCAATTTCTTCCTCCTTCCTCTTAGCCATTAGCACCCATACGAAGCCCATCACTTGCTGCCTCAACTCCGAGACGCTACCCCACATGAAAGGTGCTATATAAATGGAAATTGTTCTTGTTGTATCATTTATTCTTCTGTTAATCCACCTATTAATCTTCTGAGGGAAAGTTAAGCATAAATACAGACTACCGGGGCTATGTAGAAGTCAAGTATATTCAGTCAGTCTTACACTCAGTGTTCAACCCTGGTTTGCTGCCTCCCTCAAACAGATTTTCCCCTGACAGTAGTAGTGAGAATCCTGTCTTATTGTGCCTCTTGGATTACTTAATCATCCCAGATATTTGTCCTTTTTGAAAGAGTTAATGGACTCAGACGCCACTACATTTATTGATAGATTTTTCCTCTTATCTAATGATCTGAACTACTCTGGAGTGTGAAGTGTCTTCGAATCTCTAGTGTCATTTAAGGTTTGTCCATTTTAAAGCTTTGCTTTGTATTGTACCCCGCAGTTGCCACAGTTAATTGTTGAATTTAGTATGATTTGTGTACTGACATCATTTTCTGTTGTATGCTTTTTAAATATTAAAACTTCAAAAATACATGTAGGATTTTACTGTTGGATATAGAATATTTTTTTGAAAGCATGATTTATTCTGGCAGGTTACCTACTGAGAATGCCCAGTAATGAGGTGAGAATGCAACTCTGTAACTCTATCATGAGGCTCTATAACGAAGAACCCCTTGACCAGGAAATTGAAGGTATACCTTTCATCTCTTTGAATGACTTATTATCTAATATTAAATGCATTTTATTTGTAATTGCTCACTAAGTGTTTTCAGAAAATGCTGTCAAAAATCTTGTAGTGTCCAAGGTTACATGGTTGGACCTTATTAATACAGACAGCTTTACAAGCCTCAAAACACTTCACATAATGAATTACTTTTAAAGTGTAATTATCTTGTATTTGTTAGAATAAGATGTAATTAGTATCAAATATAAGATTTAACCTGCAAACACACTGCACCACTGGGATGCTACAAGTCATATTTGTGGCAGCAAATGAGTCATTTAGACACCTGTTCGCAATTTCACGCCCTATCTGAATTATACTTTTGACTTAAGTGATTGCAGGAGTAATAAATTTATGCTCCATAGATTTATGCATTCTAATAATTCAAGCCTTTTTTAAATTGCCATAAATTTGGTCACAGGTTATTACCCCACTAAGAAGAGCTACAACATGCAGATGATTGAAGAGAGTGGAGTGGTAGAAAGCTTGGTTATGGGTCTTACCTTGGTTGAAGACCAGTTGGAGATAAAGTTGCGGATAATCCAGACCTTGCAATTTCTATCCATGTCATCAGGTATGTGGTTACTGAATCAAGTTGTAATTTTGTGTGCGTAAATATTCCTTTTTTTTAGTACATTTATATAAATATTTTAATCTTGTAGATTTTACTTATTAAACCTGCTAAATATTTTACTAAAGTATTTCCACACAACATTTTTATTTCAGATATATACTCTCACCTTGTACAACCCTATTATCTAAAAAATATATATCATTATTTCTCTAAGACTTATTAGATATGGTAATGGTATCACAACTTTTGGTAACCCTGTGGATAAGCAGGAACAGGAGAAGGTCATTCAGTCCAATCCTGTTCTATTAGTATCAGATTTTATCAGATCTTTTTATCCCAATGGCCACCCTTTCACCATACCCCTCAATGCCTTGATTTTTTATCTGTTAAATTACAGTTATGAATTGTAACTTGATGTTGAATGCACAAGCTGCAAACCGAATCTGTCACTGTCTGAATGCTCCCGACCCATCTGGACAACTACTATTTCGATCAGCTGAGATTTTATGGAATCTTCTTGAAAATGGCTCTAAGAAAGAAGTTATTAATCAGTTGTCCAACTTTGAATGTATCATGTGAGTAATTCGAAGGAACTACTGGCCATAAAGCACCAAGTAGGTGTGTTTTTTTTTAGTTGCTTGTGCTTTTTGTAGTTAAATCAGAACTGCAGTATTTCAAGTTCTTTAATTTGAATCAATCATTTAATTGAAATAATTTGAGCACACATGACTTTGATAGCAGTTAAAGTGATTCAAATTGTGACCTGACATACACCAACTAAAAATGAAAAGAGACTTGTTTCTGGATTCCCTTCAAGCAAATTGGAAGCATCACATTTAGAATAGTACATAGTCTGGAGAGTGCAGGACAAACAAAATATACAGTCAATTTACTTTACAGTATATTCTATGAAGCGCTTTGAGACGTCTGTGTATTACATCTACAATAGACACAATCTTGATTTTGTTCTTCAGGGCACTGAAAGAAACCTTCATGAACCAAGCCCTACATGGTTATCGCCATTACGATAAACAGCTTCGAAATGACTTGCTAGTCTTAGCTACTCTCGTAGCAGAATCTCCCTTGGCTCCATTTATTGTAAGTTGTGTTTTTAAATTCAAGGCAAGCATGAATTTGCCATTCCTAAGCAAAGTTTTCTTTTACTGAGATCACAGAACAACCAAACTACAAAATTAGAATATTTGCTTAACAAGAATTCACTTGAGGCAAACTTGTTGAATCCAGTCATATGATCTCTTCATTGTACAACAATTGTTGAAATATGTTTCATTTTGTTAAATTACTTCAAACTTATTACTGCTGTAATAAAAAAAACTGCAGAGATCGTCATATCCTAAAATTACTTTTTATTGTGCCTTGCTTTTATAATAGGAAACTGGCTTTGCTAAACATCTAATCATGTTTGCAGGATTCCCTGAAGGTAAGCTTCTCCCAATAGTCCAAAACAAAATAAATAACCCAGTTCTTGTTTGTCATCCATGCTTTGAACTTCTCATATAATTAATAATAATAAACAATAATTTTTCAGTACAGAAGAAGGCTATTTGGCCCAAGTGAACCAGGAATTTGATAAAGCGCCTTGAAACGTCGCAAAGTGCTTTGCAGCATTTACCATTTACTGTAAAGTGTTTGTAAGCAAATTGCAACTAACCAACATTTTCTGTGCTGTTTTTCCATGGGCAGGGTTCAAAATGGCTGGCTGTAAAATAGTCAAGTCAACCAAAATGGAACTGACAAATGGCTGCTGTTATTTTGAAATCATGGCAGTGGTTATTTTATTAGTTTCTAGCCTGGCTGATGCAAGGCTTTGTGAAGCTTCTGATTACAGTCTCATTCTAATCTTCATTTTTGACAAGGGAGAAAACTGAGGTATAAGTGGAGTAACTTCAAACTTCACCTTTTTTTTACAAAATATATCTTTATCAAAATATTTTTTCTGACAAATGTGTGGGTTCAGTTACAATCCTCTTCATACAGTAATTTCCCAGTATACACACTTGTTATTTAACTAATTTTTTGATGCTGGTTGTGTTTAGCGAGAGGATTCTTATACAGTTAGTAAGAGTGTCCAAAGCAGGAGCTCTTGACAGGATATGAATTGTTTTATAATGTAGCAACCAGCTATGTTCTGTCATAGTTTGAATTGACATGGAGCTCGTACTTGCTGTTGGACGATTGCTGTTGGACCATATAGTTTTGCAGATGCCCAAGGGCATCTAACTTCATCGTACCACTTAAGGAATCATGTCAGACATTCATGTATGTGTAATATAAATATTGGGTCAGTATAAAATGCCCCGCACTCTAAAGTGCTGCAATACTGCATTATTATTGTTTGAGTAATTTGCTTGCAATACTGTTCAGTAACCATGTACCATGCTCTTTCATATTTATGTTTTGATGCAGTTAAAAGCTTTAATCCACTGCTTTCCAACTTTAAACTTACCACGAGTCATGAGGACTTTGAAATGAAGAAATTATTGTTTAACATGATGGTTGCTTTGACTAACGATTTGGGTTCTGTACAGGTAAGCTATTACAAATAAATGTAAGCAATAGTGAAATTATAAAAATCAGGACAATATGAATCACTATGAGAACTCATAGACTCATAGAAAGTACAGCCCAGAAACAGGCCATTCAGCCCATCCAGTCTTGCCAGTGCTTATACTCCACATAAGAGAATAATAGATCAGTATTTATAGAACAAAGTGGCAGATGTAACGCTTCGTGACTTAGACCCCACCACTGGCTCTATCATTCAAGTGTGTAAAGCACTTATTAACAAACAGCAAAAATACTTAACATGAGCAAACGTCGCTTTTCAAAGTTGCTGATTTTGTTGTCTTTAATGCCATGCTCCATTCTCCAGCTGAGAAGACAACAAGCAACACAATTCCAGTTCTGTGCCAATACTGCTCTTGAACTGGCCACTAGGAGATGCAATAGAAAGGTTGGATTTGCAGAATTTCCTCTCAAAGCTCTATCTCCACAATTTAGCAAAGCTTTGGGCTTTTTTCTATTTTGGCCAAAACTGAGAACTCCTCATGTAGGTGAATTGTGAGTGTGAACCAACATTTTAAGACTCACAGACTGCCTTTATTTATAGTGTTAAGCTTGTACTCTACGAGCTTGCTTGTGTATCTATTTTTGTGCAGTATTATGCTTTTTTTGTTCGCTTTGCAGAATCATATCGGTTTGTAATTTATAAGAGCAACTTATAAGGTTTAAACTAATTGATATCTACTTTCTAAAGCTTGAAACTTGTTGCTGTGTATTTGTCTTTTTGCCTCCAGCTGCTTAGTGAAGGACAAGTACTATTGGCCCTATTTCACTATGTTAAGCCGAATGTGAAATCCAAAATTCGGGAGTGGTCTCCAGCCCAATTTGAGGAGCTACAACTTCATGCCATGGTCTGTCTGACCTTGGTAGCTCCTCTCATGGTGGATGATTACATGGAATGTCAAGGAAACACTCGCCTGCTTCTTCTACTAGATTGCTGTGTGGGGCAAGGTAAAGGTCTTCAAACATATATAATTTGTTTAGATATACACATGAGGGAGAAGGGAATAGGAGGGTATTGGAGAGAATAAGGAGCGGAGACTTCCACAGACTGGTTGGGCTGACTGGCCTGTTTCCGTGCTGTACCGTCTATGTAAATATAAAAGTGGCTAAAAGTAAAAATTGAAGAAAATAATTCATGTTTAACAATCAGGAAATAAAGAAAATATTAATATGGACCATTTTGCATTGGCAGATGTGATTCATTGCAATATGAAATTAGTCCTGAGAGTCTTTTGCTGTCACTCATAGTAGCCATAAGGTGTTTTAAGGTTAAACATGCTGATTAATGTTGAAACCCTACGCTTTGAAAATCAAAAAAAATTATTAGCCAAAGTAAACTGCAAGTTAGGTTGTTCAGAAGAAACCTATAGATAGGCCAAAGTCTCACCCTCATTGTTCTTTTTCATCCTCCCAGATCCATGCATTGGTAAAGGCAATTTGTTCCATGGTGCTAGTGGCTCTGGCAATAAACAAGTTCAAATGTACTACTGTCTAAGACTTCTGAGGTCAATGTCATCCCTTGGTGAAGAAATAGTAAACCAAAATTTAAGTGACCAAGGAGCCATTCAGCAGCTACTAGGTACAGTATAACTTTAATCCCAAATATGGTCTCTTTTAGCATTTGAAGGGATTCATTAAGGCACAATACGGTTTATCGCATGGTGAACACTAAAAATAGAAATATTTTCATTATTTGTTTTGGGTTAATGGTTAATTTCCATTTTTGTTGGCTAAAGTCCATTTTTTGGGGGGGCGTGTGTACATTGCCGGAGATGCCAGCCTTCAGATGAGACGTTAAACTTGAGATCCCATTTGCCCATTCGAGTGGACATTAAAGATTCCATGGCACGATTCGAAAAGGGAAAGGAGTTTCTCCTAGTGTCCTGGCCAACAATCTCTCAAATAAAATTGTTCACCCATTCCATGGCTGATTATCGGACATTGCTGTGTGCAAAATCAGCTGCCGTATTTCACCCACAATTAAAGCACAGTCACTCCACTTTACAGTATATCCTGTGAAGCGCTTTGAGTCGCAATGCAAGGATTATTCGTGTTATTATTAGTTTTAATTTTAATTAGGAATTCTCATCAACATGGTAAACAGCAAGAAGGAAGAAAACAAAACGCTCATTTCAATGCAGACTGACATCCTCATCATCTTGTCTGCCATTTGTGAAAATGATATCCACAGAAAGGTGGGTAAATAAAGTAAAAACAGTATTATAGCGCTGGGGAAGCACAGCATTGTTGGAGGTGCTGTCCTTCAGATTAGATGTTAATCTGAGATCCTGTCTGCCTGTTCTGGCGGACATTAAAAATTCCATGGCACTATTCATAAATTGGAGGGAGTTTCTCCCAGTATCCTGGCCAACAATCCCCCCAATAAATTTGGTCGTTCATTTCATGGCTACCACATACCACATCAGCTGCCACATTTATGTACAAATACACAGTTGCCTCACTTTACAGTAATTCCTGTGAAGCACTTTGACATGATTTTACACTGTAAGGCACTATATCAAATGCAAGGATTATAATATAATAATCTTTGCATTTGATATAGCGCTTTTCACATCTTCTAGATGTCTCAAAGCACTTCACAGAATATACTATAAAGTGTATTGACTGTATATTTGTGGGCAAAACCCAGCAGCAAATTGATTTGTTAAATATATATATTTACATTTATTTACATATATTTAACAAATAGAGATATTGAACACTCTTTTACAACTCATAGTATTTATAGTTTTACTTAAAAAAATTAAACATTTTGTTCCAATTTGAGTACACAGAAAATAAATCACTGGATAGATCTTAAACAGCTAACTGGTTATAGGTTATAGTTATAGTGTGTCTCTCTCCTGTGTGTGGTTTGTTTATGAGTGTCTCTGTGTGAGTGTATCTATGTGTCTCTCACCTCTATGTACATTTGTGAGTGTGTCTGCCTGTGTCTCTTATATGTCCAGCACAGACCGATGGGCCGAATGGCCTCCTGTGCTGTATAATTCTATGATGCGTGTGTGTTTCTGAGTGTCTCTGTGTGAATGTGTATGTGTGTCTCCCCTCTGACTGTGCGTGCGTATATTTCTTTGTGTCTATGAGTGCATGTGTGTGTCTCTCGCTCTCTGAGAATGTGTGTCTGTCAGTGAATGTGTGTGTCTCTCTGTGCCTGAGTATGTGTGTCTCTCTGTGCCTGAGTATGTGTGTCTCTCTCTGTATCTGTGTGTGTCTCTCTTTCTGGATCTTTGGGTTTGTGTGTGGTACCGCCCTGAGAGGCAGGAGGTGGTGAGCTCCTGTAGCCTCATTGGTGTTCCCCTCCCCACCCCAAAAAAAGGGCCACCCAGATTATATTAAAAAAATTTTTGCAACAATCTAATATGTGTTATTTCCTTATGTTTAGTTTTATCAATAAAGTGAAATAATGTAGTTTGGCAGTAAAATGTTTCTCAATAGCACCAACAACCCCCGCAATTTTCCGCAAAATATGGGCAAATATTTCCGCATTTTTCTATTGGCCTAGGTTATAGGTAATTGAAATGTGATTTTTTTCAGTGGTTCATTTGACAATTGAACTGTTTGACTTTTATGCCTTCATTACAAAATACGAAGGAGGTGGTTGGACAAGTGGGAGATAGGCAGGTTGGGAGGTGCTCGGGATTGAAGAGGTTTGCGAGGATCTTGAAATCAATCCATTCAGCAATAGGGAACAGTGGAGCTTGGAGAGGACTGGAGTGATGGGGATACGGAATTTGGTACGAGTGAGGATATGGACAACAGAGTTTTGAATTATTAGATTTCATGAATTGTACAAAAGCAAGTAATGCACATAACGAATACTGTTATCTTCAAAATATATATGTAGCCATTCAAAACGAAATTGTTTGATCTGAAGGCTGCTAAATATTAATAATGTATTAACAACATACATATATATAGCAAACTACAATATTAATACAAAAAGGTTATTTATTTTGCCTTTGACATTAGGAATTGTTTGGTGCTGATGGAGTAGAGGTATTGATCATGTTACTGAAGATGGACCCGGTTAAGTTTTACAGTGGTCTGGGTCACAATAGACTTGTTCTGGCTTCAGTTGACTGTGTCTGGTGAGTGTATGTTTTTGTCTTATACTGATACCTATTACACCTTAAGTTAAATTGCACTGTATTGTACACTAATCAGTACTCAAAGTACTGGTTATTCTGTTAGGTATTGGAACATTTCACATGCGCATTGTGTTAAATATGTAATGACAGATGATCAGGTAGTTCAAGTGACTGATCATTCACAAACAGGAGGCTATGCGGATGAATCCGTAGGCTGTATGTTGCTATATTCTGCTTAATTGCCCATTTATAATTTTTCATCTCAGCTATAGCTTACCAGCATGGCTCAGTTGATAACACTCTCACCTTTGAGTCAGAAGTTTGTCAGTTCAAGCCTGTGTCAGGACTTTGGACTCAGTCTCGACTGATATTAATAATAATAATAATAATCCTTGCATTTAATTTGGCGCCTTATCATGTCTTTGAGATGTTTCAAAGCGCTTCACAGAATATACTGTAAAGTGAATTCACTGTATATTCTATGGATGAAACGCAACAGCCAATTGCACCCAGCAGTGTCCAAGAACAGTCGGGGATTAAAGTGACCACTTTATTATTATTTTTTGAAGGAATCATTGCCCCCGGAAAAGTGATTGCCAATCGACAAACAACCGGGTTCCAACTTAGTGCTAGGTAAACAGAAGCGTGTGGAGTAAGGAAACTTGCCCAATATTTCACTCTGCCGGTTTCTCACTTGCGAGGCGAGCGCTCTAACCACTGAGCTACAGGACTCCAGAAGTCACAAGTGTGGATGAATCTCAAAGATGATTCCCCATTCGTAGTCTTCCTTCAAATAAATCTAGAGTTGGGAAATAGGCATCAATAACTGGCTGGTATTGATATAGTACCTTTCTGTAACACTTATATTGATAATTTTTTAAAAATTACTAAGATCAGTCACAGAAATTGGAAAAAGAAGTCTATTTTATATATATTGTAGGTGCTGCATCATTGGCTGCTATACTACAGAAGATATTCTTCCTGGAAAAAGAGGGTATTTTTTTTCTCCTGGATTTACTTGAAGTAAGTACACTGTCTAATAACAACAATTTGCATAGAAGCCTTAACATAATTTAGCATCTCAGAATGCTGAACATTTTACAGTATAAAATCCCATTAGATCATTTACTGTTGTGCCAGTAACATTCCTATAGATGGCAGAAGTCCACAGGTTGCACTTCCATAGGACTGGAGATCTCCAGAGTATTTAATCTTTTAAATCTGCAATGTACTTTTTTCTCTAATCTTTGCCAAATTATTATAAGGTACTTGGCAACATTTAAAAATTTCCATTATTAATGGTGTCTTATACCCTTAAGTTCCTTACAAAATGCTTGCCTTACGTCATTGAAATCTTTGTTAACTTTGTAAAATTATTTGGTTGAACGGTTTAAGTAAAACTTTTCCATCTTTCCATGAAAGTCGAGCCCAAAGAACATGCAGAATTTGATCCTTGGAGTCTTACTCGAGTTTTGTGACAACCCAAAAACACCTTTACACATACATGTTTGGCGTGGAGCGAAGAATCTGACAGCTGATAGTCTTCTATTAAAACTTTGGAGACAAGACGAGAAAGAGATGAAAGTAAAGCGAGATGAACTAGGGAGGATTGTAGGTGAGTGCGCTAACATATTTAGAAACAATCTTGCAAATAGTGCTTAATTATTTACACATCGATTTTATCATGCCACCACACTCTAGAGAATGGTTAACACCTATATAAAAACAAGTGGTGAATCAAAGAGAAGGCAAAGACAACAACTGTTCAGAAAGATTGTCATAATGTAGCCCGAAATGAAATTACAATCTGCTCCGTGGTTGATTGTTGTGTTCAAGAGATAATCAGCTGGAAAAGCAGGTAAAGTGGCAGAAATCCACAAGGAAACTCACCAATACTTGTCACCACCTGTAACTGATTTCTCACCTTCTCCAAAACCTGCATTTGCTCAATTGAGGAAGAATGAGGAACGAATATGGAGATGGAAAGAGTGAAATATAGATAAGATTTAGACATGAACAAAAGAGGGTGGGGGGTATATGGGAAATAGAGCAGAAGGGAAACTAAGATTTAATTATCTGAAAATTGATATTTTGGCCTGAAAGCTCAAGATTTCATAAGGAAGAAATATTGTACTACTTAAAGATTGGCTGGAACAGTGTAGGAAGCTGAAGAGGGAGAGAGCTGGGTGGGGTGATAAATGGGAGGCGATGTTGCGTGCTTAACTCTGGAAGGTCAGGATCACATTTACAGCCTGAACAGAAAGAGTTGGTAAAGCCAATATGATCTTTGTGCCCAGAGGAATAGAATGCAAAAAACATGTTAAATTTGCATTAAACTTTGGTTGCACCACATTTGGATACTGTCTATAGCTCTCGTCACCAAGGATATCGTGGCAATGGAGAGAGTGCAGCATACATTTACTCAGATGTTACCAAGGATAATTGGAAACAACTATCAAGAAAGACTGGTCATCTTAGGGCATTTTCCCTAGAGATCAGACAATTGAGGGAGGACCCAACAGGGATGTTTAAAATTTTGACAGGGTTTGATAAGGTGAACATAATTTTTTTGTATTCAGTTAGTAGATTAATATTTGTTAATTACTCCTGGGTAACCCTGCCTCAGTTGGTAGCACTATTACCTCTGGGTTAGAAGGTTGTAAATTCAAGCACCACATCGGGACTTGGAGCTCATAGTTTACCTGACTCTCCAATGAATTGTTAGGGGACTGCAGCAATGTCGGAAGTGACATCTTTAGAATGAGGCGTTAAACCAAAGTGCTATCTGCCTTTTTAGATGAATGTTAAAGATCCCATGGCACTGTTTGAAAAGAGAAGGGATGTAATATCAAATACAAGGATTAGTATTATTAATAAATGTAGTTGAGGTAACCGCTTGTCTCTACATCGCTTTCTTTCCTCTTGATCTGTTCCTTTTCTTGTTCCCCTGAAACACTGAGCCTTGCGTACCTTCTGGCTGCAGCGTTGAGCCCGTTGTTAAGTACGTCAGTGTGTGATATTTCTTGCCCTGCGATAAAATAAATCCAGCGTCCCGTCTCGCACGTAAAACCTCAACCGGTTTCTCCCAGGGTTCTGGCCTCCAGGTATAGGGGAATCCTAATAATAATAATAATAAATTGGTCATTTTCAATCTACGACTGTTTGTGGACATTGCTGTGCGCAATTGGCTGCCGCGTTCGCCCACAAATATACAGTCCATTCACTTTACAGTGTGTTCTGTGAAGCGCTTTGGGACGTCCTCCCGACGTGAAAAGCGCTATATCAAATGCAAGGATTATTATTATTATTATTGTATGACGCTGTGGTCTTTAACCAATCCAGATGCAAAGAAGCCTCTTATTGGGATTATCCAGGAGCAGCAAGGAATAGTTTCATTGCCAGCCAAAACCCAGAGTGCTGCGGTGATCGATGTGTCTGAAAATCTAAGGGCAAAGATATATTCCATTTTCTGTAAATTAGGTAAGAAAGTAATCCAAATACAATCTTATTGAACATGCCAAAGGTTCATTCACAAAATTGGTAAATTACATAATCATACATGTTACGTAACAGGTGTATACTGATAACCTGTACTTAAAATGAACTTCTAATCCAGCACTACAAAAGTATTATTTCAATACTTATTAGATACTTGAACATAAGGAATTAGATATGGGGCATGATATTGCAGGAACCAAGTGTGATTAAGATAGTATATTTGTGTTAACTTAATCGTGGCAATCTTATCCACATAAAGACTCATGGGCAAAGGGAATGCAGATCAAAGTGGGAACTTTAATGTAATTTTGTTTTATATTGCAGTGATGAAATGCAGTTAAATCATAATTCAGTTTATGTATAAATGATCTATAAATGTGTCTTCTAAGGTTTTCAAGATCTATCTTTGTGTGAACGGGATTATATCACACTTGACATCATACAGCGATATCTGGACTTCAAGGTAACATGTTTTAGAATAATTAGAAATGTGATAGTCTATAAAGCAGACAAGTTTGACAATGTCATTAACGCTCCGAATGGTACAGTATTCCACAAGGACTGATATTCAGGTAATATCCCACAATAGATGTTCCACATACTGTTTCCTGTCTGTTTGTTTGTTTTATCCAGTATAGGTTTGGAATGTCCCAATCATGTTGAAATCTACATGCAGATTTCTAAGCCATTACCAGTTTAGCCAAGCTAATTTATTGTTTTAATATTATACAATTTCATATTTAGTTATGGGTTTCTAAAATTGATTTATTAATCAGCAAGATGTATACTTGTTTAATTGGGATCTAATAGAAAGCTTTTGATCTTCACCTTTTTATTCAATATTTAAACTCTTGAAATTACTTGTTTACGTGGACTTATGAACTTTTATGCTTAAAATATTCATTTGGAACAAATATACAATATTTTTACTACAACAACAACAACAAAAATACATTTGTATACTGATTTTCATGTCAGGAGGATATCCCAAGGCGCTGGACAATCAGTGCTTCGGACCTGAGCTGGGGATCGTGGAGGGTGGATGGGGAAGCAGGGTGATCGAAAGCACAGTTGAAAAGGAGGACCTTGAGATGGGTCTTGAAGGAGGCAAAGGAGGGGGCGAAACAGAGGGACTGTGGGATGGAGTTCCAGAGGGTGGGGGCAGAGTGGCAGAAGACTCGCCCGCCATTGGTGGGGCGGGCGACACAGGGCCATGAAGCAGGCCAGAGCCCGCTGAGCGGAGGGAACGGGCAGGATGGTAGGGGGTTAGGAGGTCGCAGAGGTAGGAGGGAGCAAGACTATGGAGAGATTTGAAGGTGAGGACCAGGATCTTATACTATAGCTTTATTTGTAAATCGTGTAACTCGGTGTTGAAGGGGTAATACACAGTTAGAGGTCTGCAGGTTAGATCCTCTGCTCAGTTCATTGCCAATCTGTACAAGTCAGTCAGAAGCTATAAAAGGGAGGGAAACTCCTTCATGTGTTCCAGTAGCTGAACAAAGGAAGCCTTAACACATGGCACACCCTCTGCAGGAGAGATTCAAACCCAACCACAGCTAAGTTAAATTACAACAAATAGTACAATAAATTGATAGGAATTTAAATTTAGCATTATCACAACATTTCTGTTTTTACAAAGGAACAAAATTAAACCTCATCTATTACTTCATTGTTTTTAAACTTCGGATTCATGGTATTTTTTCCTAATTTAAGCTTTAGAATCAATTTTGAAGTAAACATTCAGTTAGGACCTAAGCCAGGATATCTCCAGTTTAAGTAAACCTTCACTCACCACCAGTTAAGGTTTCGTTAACATAATTTTGTTATCATCAGAAACTTGATGTAGACAACAACAATATCAAATCACACTTACATATAAATCACGTCAGTGGGGGCGGCACCCTAAGGCGCTGGACAGTGAAGGGTTTGATCCCGAGCTGGGGTTGGAATCAAGAGGGGTGGATGGCAAAGGGGTGGGAAGATGACTGAAGACACGGCCGAAGAAGAAGGTCTTGAGATGAGCCTGGAAGGAGGCACGAGAGGGGTCAAGCCGGAGGGACTCCAGGATGGAGTTTCAGAGGGTGGGGCTGAAGACCCAATCACCGATGGTGGAGTGGGCCGGGCGAGGGATGTCGAGAGAGTGCCCACTGAGTGGAGGCAGTGGACAAGTTTGCAAAAGTTTAGTAGGTCACAGAGGAGCAAGACCATGGAGGGCTTTAAAGTTAAGGACAAGGATCTTGAACTCGTTTCTCTGAGGGATGGGGAGCCAGTGAAGGTGAACAAGGATGGGGATCATAGGCTCACAGAGTTTAGTACGGGAGAGGACAAAAGCTGAAAAGTTCTGAATAATCTGCATCTTGTGGAAGGAAGAATTGGGAAGTCCGCTGAGCAGAGAGTTAATTAGCACAGTCAAGCCTGGACGTAATGAAGGCATGGATGAGGGTCTCAGCAGCCTGAGGGAAGAGATAGTGGTGGAAGTAGGCAATGTTGCTCCTTTTTATGTCACTGTGGTCACAAATGATTCATAAAATTGGTGACACAAAAACCCCTGGCCTCGAGGAATGAGCTATATCTATTCTCGGGGAGGTTGTCCTAGTAAAAAGATTGACACTTCATTTATCTTGCCCTGTTGGGCATTATGAGGAGGAAGTTCTAAACAAGTCTCCTGGCCTTGCAACTGGAGAACCCGGAGGCTAGTCGTGCAGATTAATTGACAATAGGAAAATAAGAGGAGGATGAATTAATTTTAATACGAACTACATTTCACTTGCTATGCAACATATTAAACATTGAGCCTGCGGAGTTTCATTTAATTGACCTTTTCTTTCAGTTATCTGTATTTTTCTGGGTCCGTTGACTCAGAAGACTTGCAGAAGGACTACATTGATATTACTTAATGGGTTGGAAACCTTTGGGTGAGCTCAGGCCAACCTCAAAAAGGTCTCCTAAAGTAGGGAAGCCCTCCTATTACCAACCATTATTGCTGGGATCTCTCAATTCATTTTAATCGGTAGTTTGGTAGTTTTGTTCTGATTGCAAACATTTTTATCCAGATTGATAGGTCCTCCCTTGTCCAAGAGACTGAGTTAAATACTGTGCAGGATTCTGTAATGAAGAACATAGTTTAAATGACCTCTTCTTCCACTTTGGATCTTCCTCTAGGCCAGCACGGACATTCTCTGCCCACCACTAACTAACCAATAACTCGCAAAGCAGCCACCCCAATTTCCCCATCTCCCGATCTTGCTGTCAGGCTACTCAACACACACCCTTGGAGCAAACATCTCCTTGCTCAACCACATCACCACTCTTGCTGATTCTCCTCCTACACACTCCCCCTCCCCGCCCCACCCCTGCCTCCTTCTGCAAACTCCTCTGTCACTTGTCACAGCATCCACTCCCTGGATAATGGCACATTTCTCCCTCCTGTTCTTCCTCAGCTTCTGCTTTGAGTATGTTCTCACCTTGGATGCTCTACTTTTGCTAACTTCTTCCCCTCCCTCTACTTCTTCAACCTCACCCTTTACATCATCTCCCTCATCCAAATTCACGGCCACCCCCTCAACCTTGTTTCGAAGAATATAGTTTAGATGACCTTAGGGCTTCCATATCTCTAATATCGTCAACAAAGCCATCTCAAACCACTTCTTTATTTTCCTTATCATTCTGCCAGGAAGCCTAGCAACATGACCTTATCTCCTCGCTCAACGTTCTGAGCACAACCCTCCACCACCAACCTCAACGTTCTTCTTTCTATCAAATCCTGAACTGCTCTTACCCCCGCAAAATCCCTGATACAAAGCTACCTCTACTCTCTGGTATAAGCTATGCATGTATGTGTGTGTGTGTATGTCACATGCTCCTTCCATGCTTGCCTTCAACTCCAAATGTAAGGAGGTGACGAATTTCCTTGATTCAAAAATGTAATAATTCAGTTGCCTCTACATGCATCGCTCCCCCTGCCCCTCTTCCCTGTCCTGCCCCCCCCCCCAACCAGCCCAGCCTCTATTCACTCCTTCTTCAACCCCTTCAACTCTCTCTTCCCCACTCGATTGCAGAATTTTGGTGACTTTTTCGACTCCCAACTATCCTTCAAACATTGCTTCAATGCCCTCACTCACTCTGTTTTCCTTCACAACCGCAAGATCACCCGTTTCCACCACTACTTCTCCCACAGCAAACTGACACCCTCATTGAACCTTCATCACATCCAGATTCACTAGCCTGCTCACTGACTTCCCAGCTGCTCTACATAAGCTGTAAACCATTCACAACTTCATAGCCAGTGTCCTCCCCACACCAGGTTCTAAAATACTCACTAGAAAAGGGAGTAGTGCCAGAGGACTGGAGGATAGCTAATGTTATACCTATGTTTAAGAAGGGAAATAGAACAAGCCCAGGGATCTATAGACCTGTCAGGTTAACATCGGTTGTAGGAAATATAATGAAATCCTTATTGAAGGAGGTAATAGAAAAACATCGAGAAATGGAAAACAGTCAGCACGAATTTCAAAAAGGAAGGTCATGGTTGACCAACCTCATTGAATTCTTTGAAGGGATAACAAAAAGAGTAGACAAGAATAATGCGGTAGATGTAATATATTTAGATTTCCAAAATGTGTTCGATATGGTACCACATAATAGACTAATGAATAAGGTCAGAGCATATGGAGTCAGGGGAAAAATAGCAAAATGGATAGAAAGTTGGCTTCAAAACAAAGAGAAAGAGAGTAGAGGTACAGGGTAGCTACTCAGATTGGCAAGGGTGGGCAGTGGTGTTCCACAAGGATCGGTATTGGACTACCATATACCTTAATGATTTGGATTTGGGAATCAGCAGTAGAATTTAAAGACTTGCAGACGACACCAAATTGGGGGGAGTAGTTAATACAGAGGAGGCCTGCCACAAATTAAAAAGCAAGATATTAATAAACTTGCTGAATGGACATTTAAATGGCAAATGCATTTCAATGTAGAAAAGTGTGAGGTGGTACATTTTGGTAGAAGGAATAAGGAAGTCACATAAATCCTGGAAAATAAAAACCTAAATGGGGTAGAGGAGCAAACGGACCTAGGGTTACACATACACAGTTCACTAAAAGTAGCAAAGGAGGTTAATAAGGTCATAAAAAAGGCAAACCAGACATTGGGGTTCATTTCTAGAGGGATATAAATGAAAAGCAGGGAAATTATGGTAAATTTCTACAGAACCTTGGTTAGACCACACTTAGAATACTGTGTGCAGTTCTGGTCCCCACATTATAGAAGGGATATAGAGGCACTGGAGAGGGTGCAAAGGAGATTTACAAGGATGATCCCAGAACTGACAAGTTATACCTATCAGGAAAGGTTGAACATACTTGGACTCTTCTCTTGAAAAGAGGAGGGTAAGGGTAAGGGGTGACCTGATAGAGGTCTTTACCGACACGGTCGACCATGCTATCCTCCTCCACCGCTTGTCCTCCCACCTCAACCTTCAAGGCCCTGTCCTTGAGTGGTTTAGGTCGTACCTCTCCCATCGTCTTCACTTTGTTTCCACGAATGGCTTTTCCTCCAGTCCCCGCACTGTCTCGTGTGGTGTCCCTCAGGGCTCTGTCCTCGGTCCCCTTCTCTTCACCCTCTATATGCTCCCCCTGTGGTGACATCATCCGCAGACATGGGGTTAACTTCCACATGTATGCGGATGACACCCAACTCTACCTTTCCTCCTCTACCCTCAACTCCACGACCACCGATGTCCTGACAGCTGCCTGTCCGACATCGAGGCCTGGACGAGAGACAACCTTCTTCAGCTCAACGTGCGTAAAACTGAGGCCCTCCTGATTGGCTCACGTCAGCGCCTCCGCACCTCTGGCGCTGACAGCATCAGCATCCAAGGCTGCACTCTCCACCTCTCAAAGCCGGTCAGGAACCTTGTGTTCTGTTCGACCCTGAGCTGTCCTTTCTCCCTCATATCTGCGCCACAACTGGCACCGCCTTCCATCACCTCTGGAATATCACCAGACTACGGCACTCCCTCACCCTCACGCTGCTGAAACTCTGGTCCACACCTTTATCACCTCAAGGCTGGACTATGGGAACTCTCTCCTCGCCGGCCTTCCCGGCACCTCCCTCCACAAGCTGCAGGTCATTCAGAACTCTGCAGCTCGTGTACTGTCCCGCACCAGGCTTCGGGAACACATCACTCCCACCCTCGCTCGCCTCCACTGGCTCCCCATCCCCCAGAGGATCGAATTCAAGATCCTCAACCTCACCTACAAGGCCATTCACGGCCTTGCTCCCTCCTACCTCTCTGACCTACTATCCCCCTACCTACCTGCGCGTACCCTCTGTTCCTCTGGCTCCGGTCTGCTCCACATTCCCCGCCCCAACCGCCCTACCATCGGTGGCCGGGCCTTCAGCCTCTCAGCCCCGAGGCTCTGGAACTCTATCCCCCAGTGCCTTCGCCGCCTCCTCCCTTTGCTCCTTCAAGGCCGGTCTCAAGACCTTTCTCTTTGACCGCGCCTTTAGCTCCCCTCTCGACTCTCTACCCCTCCTCGCTCCCTCCCCTCACCCTGACCATTTCCCCCCTGCTCGGGTCCTGACCCAACTGTACAGCGCCTTGGGACGTCCTCCCGACGTGAAAGGCGCTCTATAAATGGAATCTTGTTGTTGTTGTTTAAAATGATGAAAGGTTTTGATAGGGTAGACATAGGGAAGATGTTTCCACTTATGGGGAGACCAAAACCAGAGGCCATCAATATAAAATAGTCAGAAATAGATCAAATAGGGAAGTTAAAAGAAATTTCTTCACACAGAGAGCAGTGGGAATGTGGAACATGCTACCACAAGGAGTTCTTGAGGCAAATTGCATAGATGTATTTAAGGGAATGCTAGATAGGTACATGAGGGAGAAAGGAATAGAAGGTTACGCTTCAAGGCTTAGTTGAGGAAGGGCAGGAGGAGACTCGTGGAGTATAAACATGCATAAATATAGACCAGTTGGGTCGAATGGCCTGTTTCTGTGCAGTATATTCTAATGAATTCTAAAAGCCCATAATTTCTATCCTCACTGGGCTCTTCTGGATCTCTATTCCCCAGCAGATCAAATTCATGATTCTCATCCTAACATCCTCACATTCAGATGACTCCATGGCTTCACCCCACCCTACTTTTGCAAGCCTCCTGCCCTGGCTGCTCCGTTCAATCAGCAAACACCCCAGCTTGCTTCATGTCCTCTGCTCGCTCTGTGCCACCATTTGTTGTTGAGCTTTCAGCCTTCTGCCTACACACTCTGCAACTCCATCCCATATTTCTTCTCTCTTCTTTGTCCCTCCCTCTCCACCTCAAAACCCACCTTAAAATCTATATATTCGACCATGCTTTCACTAGCTCACTTTGAGATGTCATTCCAACATGAATGGCACTGTATTAATGTCAATTGTTATGGTTTGCAGGTTTTCGTTCTTAAAATAAAACTATCGGCCACATATTAATATCCCTCACAAGGACCTCAAAATGCTAGCAACTTAGATTGTCCAGCTCCCCTGGCTGAAGCAGGATTTGTAAAATCAGACATTGAATAATATTTTACTTGTGTCAAAGTATGACGTTATGTCAGTTTAATTTGTAATCTGGTGCTTTAACACTAGGTAGCAGAGGTGTGGATTGAAATTGAAAGGGAACTTAAGCAAGAAAATGTACATCCCATCGCTTCAGATACTGATATCATCCACAAAATCATCAAGCATGTCGAGAATGTTAGCAGGACGGTAGCTTACCAACAGACTGAACTGCTTCAAAAAGAATACAATGATAGTATTATGAATGAGATGCAAATGTACAAAGAGGTAAGCGATAGAGTTTTACTGTGTTTTAGATCACTAATTTAACATTTCGTTTTTCAGTTTTCTTTGTTATTAAACCTCATAAAATAATTTGTTACAGTCAATAAGAAATAATTTGCCTGTTTACATTTGCTGCAGAACTCATTTGAGAAGTATGACATTTAAGTTATAAGTGATGCTACTACCACAAAATAGTTTTCTTATTTCATGCAGAGAACTCTTTCTACAACTAGTGTAGTACAATTGATGCATCAGTTTCATGTGATTACAGTAGTATTAACAATATGTGTAATGTACAGATCATTTTGTGTTGGTTTCAATTTTGTGTGTTCATTTTAAAAGATTAAAGACAACTACAAACAGAGAGAATCTGCCATTAAATCATGGAAACATTATGTGAACAGGACATCAAACTATGAGTTTCTGAAGGCAAGCATTGTTTTACTTAGTGATAAAATACCATCATGATATTAGCATTAAATAAGTAATCGCATGTATTTGAAGAAAGATCAAATTAATATTTTGAGTAAAAATGTTTCTTCAGGAAGCCAAGAGAGTTCAGGACGAAGCTTTAAAAGCTTCCAGGATTGAGGTAAAAAATGAGAACGCCACATTTCACCAACCTGAAATCCTAAATTTAAATACAACTGTAAGTAACTCTCAAGCATCTCTTTGGCAATTAGTAATATCATAGAATCATAGAATCGTACAGCACAAAAAGAGGCTATTTGGCCCATCGAGTTTGTGACAGCTCTTTGAATAGAGCAATGTAATGTCAATCCCACTCCCCAGCCTTTTCCCCATAGCCCTGCAAACCCGTCCTCCTCAAATACCTGTCCACCGCGTTTTTAAAAGTAGTTATTGAATCGGCCTCAACCACCCTTTCAGGCAATGCGTTCCAGATTCGAACAACTCGTTGCATGAAAAAATTTCTTCTCACCTCCCCTCTGCTTCTTTTAGAGACTATTTTGAATCTGTGACCTCGAGTCACCGACACACCTACCAGTGGAAACAGTTTTTCTCTTTCTAACCTATGAAATCCCCTCATGATTTTGAAGACCTCTATTGTAAGGTCTCTTTGTAATCTTCTCTACTCCAATGAGAATAATCCCAGCCTCTCTAGCCTTTCCTCATAATCAAGGTCCCTCATTACTGGTATGGTTCTTGTAAATCTCCTCTGCACCCTTTCCAATGCCTTAACATCCTTCCTATAGTGTGGTGCCCAGAACTGGGCCCAGTATTCTAACTGAGGACTAACCAGTGTTTTATATAGGTTAACCATAACCTCCTGACTCTTGTACTCTATGCCCCTACTTATAAAGCCTAGTATCCCATATGCCCTTTTTTAGCTTTATCTACCTGTCCTGCCACCTTCAAGCATTCATTTACCTGCACCCCCAGGTTTCTCTGTTCTTTTAGCCCCCTTAAGATTGTATTACCAGCCTATATTGCCTCCCCTCATTCTTTCTACCAAAATGCATTACCTTGCATTTCTCCACATTGAAATTTATCTGCCATGTGTCTGCCCATTTTACCATTCTGTCTATGTCTTCCTGCAGTTGGCTACTATCCTTCTCACTGTTTGCTACCCTATCTAACTTTGTGTCGTCCACAAACTTGGAAATGGTACTTGCTATACCCAAGTCCAGATCATTTATGTATATTAAGAAGAGCAGTGGTCCTAATACTGATCCCTGGGGGACGCCACTGTACACTTCCCTCCAGTCAGAAAAGCAGCCGTTCACCACAACTCTCTGCTTTCTGTCTCCCAGCCAGTTCTGGACCCATGCTGCCACTGTCCCTTTTATACCATGGGCTTCTGTTTTTCTTACATTGCCTTCTTACCTTCTTACTTTTTCTCACTTTGTCAAATGCCTTTTGAAAGTCCATATAAACTACATCAACTGCACTACCTTTATCCACCCTCTCCGTTACCTCATCGAAAAATTCTATTAGATTTGTTAGACAAGATTGCATTTAACAAATCCATGTTGGCTGTCCCTAATTAACCCATATTCTTCTAAGTGAAGATTTATTCTGTTCCGGAGTAAATTTGTGGCAATCCTTAAAATATGCTGACATAGACTATCACCTTCCAGTTAAGTATTTCCTTAAAAACATTTAACTGGAGGATGATAGTTTTTTTTGTCTAAAACCAGTATTGATATTTATTCATTTACTCCATTTTGAATAATATAGCTACCTACATGACATTACTGTCATTCTACGATTTTAATGCAGTGACATATGTATTCATTGAAATATCAATGCTGATTTGTTTATCGTTTATTTTATCATCCATATCTTTGAGTACTACAGAAACATTGATTTATGCGTGTTTGATACATGTTTTGTGATGTGTGTTTTGTTTTGCCTCAGGGATTTTTTGGACATCTTGCAATGGTAGAGAGCACGCCCCTGCATCTGACGGGAGGCTTTTTGAAAAAGATTGGCCAGACAAACAGGAGAATTTCCATAAAAGAAGGGCCAAAACGTAAACTCATCACATAAAGCAAAGAACCACAGAAAAATTGCGATAAATAAGGAATGAATCAAACATCCATTAAACCATTTTGAAGGTTACATTTTAATTTCTTTGGTTAACCTTTGGCTGCATTTTGTTCTTAAATTCATTTTTCTTTTATTTATGACTTGCTCTTTTACAGATGTAAAGTTTCACGTTGATGGTTATTCTCATTTGTTTTGGTTTCACTGTGTACCATATTTTGTTCCTGCTGCAGACATTATACAATATTCTTTTATCAGATATTCATCAAAGGTTACAAGCCAGGTACCAGGCTAGCTCAGCTGGTAGCATTCTTGCCTCTCAGGCAGAAGGTTTGTGAGTTCAAGCCCCACGTTGAGACTTTGAACTCACCTGAGGGCTGGATACCAAATTTGAGAAACGTCTGCAGGCTGCATAGGAAATATTTTTGTGCTTCCCTTTCAGAAACATAACCCGTAAGAATCATATAGAGATCCTATGTTTTACATTGTGTAACTGTATTACTTAATTTCACTGTATTTTAGTTACAACTCAAACTTTAAATAGGCATTGTGAAAATTCATACAAATTTTAAAGCAGTAATACACTTTTATCAATAAAGTACATATTATATATGCAAGAATAATCATTAAATCCAGAGTAAACAATGAAAATGAAAGAAAGAAATAATGAAATTAATTAAAATGCACATAATTTATTAGGCCTAACAGTGAACAAATTAATACAACACGATGGAAAATGTTTCTCTTGATCTAGAGTTCCAATGTCCTCTTATTTACCACATCTATCTTACGTTTCTTAGTGAGACTCATAGTTCTGTAGTTTTCTGTTGTTCTGTAGAATTGCAAAATATGCACGATACCTTTTAAAAATACTCCTGTATTGCCTTGCTTCCGGTTGTTCTCCATGCTGTCTCTCACAAGGTTATACAAGGCACAAGGCAGTGTGGAGAGTGTTGGGAAGAGGGGAGGAGCGGGAGGTAAAACAATGAGGTCGGAAATGGTTTGCGGGCTGGAGGAAATCATCCCCCAGGCTGGACGTGGCCCATAGGCCAATTGGCCCGCCCATGGCTAGATTAACCCTCAAACCCTGCATTGTGGGTGATGCTGCCCTTCAGATATTAAACCAATCTCTGTGCCTGTTCCGGTGGATGTTAAGCTGGACCCAAAAAAGTACAAACTGTTGATTCTTCGCCCACTAATAGGGAACGTGATCTGGGTTTAGAGCATTGTGAGACAGGTTAGCTTCACACCACTGATGATATGTCGTTCAGTAGTAATCCTGTTTTATCGTAATCCATTGACTCTGCATCCTATCTTTTTCCCTTTTCATCTCTTCGTGTAAAAATAAACCTCTTAATATTTCCCTTTGCTAATTATCTGAAATGGCAGACCTCAAGCCTCAGTGTAAATGATGTCACCCTGTCGACCCCATCGACACCCCTCATAATTTTAAACTTCAGTATCAGGTCTCCTCTCAACCCTCCATATTCCAGTAAAATAGGTGCTTTTTTATTCTCCAACCAAATCCTCTCAAGAATCATCCCAGTACTAGATTCGTGTCCTTAACTACTTCAGAGTTTTAAGGAATCAATGAGGTAGATATTGATAGGCTGTCTTCACTTGTTGGTGAGTCCAAAATGAGGGGCATACATTTAAGATCTAATAGGGAGTTTAGAAGGAACTTCTTCACGCAGACGAAAGTGAGAATATGGAACTCACTGATGGAAGCTGTGGTCGATGCAAAAAGCATCGTTAAATCCATCTGCTATTTTAACCCATTTGATTAATTGGCCCACATTTTTGAAAATTATGCATTTCCTTGGTATTTGTAACCTGAACACTAAGCTTGTCAATGTCAGTAAATTTCATATTAAATTTAATTACAATAAAATGACCTGTCATTCATTAGCCCATCCACTGACCTGTCTGAATAGCCATTCTTCACATATACATTAATGGGTAGAACAAAAACATATTATTTTACGACATACATTAGTTGTTTGGAAGTGGACACAAGGAGAATTATAGCCTGAAATATAAAACACTCGCTAGAAGTACAGGATACATATTTGAGATATGTACCCCCAGATAAATCATTAAAAGTGAATTACCCGATACCAAAGCCGAATATGATAGTAAATGGAATTTATAAACAGTGGCAATGAATATAAAAGGAGGGATATCATGTTGGAATTGGTTAAGTCACAGTAGAGTCTTGTGTTCGGTAGAAGGTCACCCATTAGAAGAAGGATAACATTAAGATGGAAAGAATGCAAGAGATAATAATATTCCTTGCATTTGGTGTAGCGCCTCATCACGTCTTTTTGAGCCGTCTCAAAGCTTTTTACAGAGTACCCTGTAAAGTGAATTGACTGTATACTTTGTGGGAAAAGGGAGGGGTTGTGGTGCAGATTCAGTACAGCCAGGACTGAGCTTGTCCTCAGTCAATGTGCAACATTCAGATGCACTTTCAAGTCCTCCCGAAGTGAAAGACGCTTTATAAATGTAATTTTGCTGTTGTTGAAAATACTACTGTAGTCTCTTCCACCTCTTGGGACATTGAACATTCAGACAAATTGTACTGCTGCCCTGGCTGAGGTCAACACAAAATTAGGGTTAAACGTGAGACCATTGAAATCTCAAGGTCAGTTTCACACTTAGATTATCAGAGCGCACTATCTGTTGAGCCACTTGGGGAAACCCTTTTTATGTTAAATTAAGTTGTCGAGAAAGGGGAAAGAACCGTAGACACAGACAAAGAATTACTTACATTAACAGTGACAGCTCCAAACATACTAAACACTTCAGAATACTCATGGCATTTTCAATCCCAGAACTATTTTAGAGTAATGTACAATCAAAGGATGACACAGTTCTTAATGTCAATTAGATCATTGTAAATTATTTAATTTTACTATAACGTTTTGGAGTTCAGATGGTGACATATTTGCTTTCATGACGTGCATCTTGGATTTATTCACAATGGCACAATCAGACCAGATTATTCATATTGCTTTTGGTTGATTACAAATGACAGCTTTTAGCATCTCTCCACGTTTGTGATGACAGTTTGTAAAATTATGGGTTTGATTAAACAATGATCCTCCAGTTCTTGTTTATAATAAAAATGATTCTGGTTGAAACAGTGTTGCTATCATATGAAGTGAAATCTGTTACAAAACACTTATTCGGGACAAACAAAATAATTTCAAAACTAACGAGCTGACTGACATTCATCCATAATACACTTATTCATACTGATAACAGAACTTTTATACACCATAAAATCAATTCCTTATTATAATTAGAAGATTCTGATTAGTTAAGTCTTTCCAAAGTGGTATTTTGCAGGGACTGAATTATTGGAAGAAACTCGAACTGTAAAATGGTTAATTATGGTGAGAAGTGACTAATATGCAATTAGACCACAATTTCCGTGCCTGTCTAACCACAGCTTTGCTTCAAAAGTGCAGCATTAAACTGCAGGTACCAGCCCAAACTAGCAACCTTCGGAAGAGTTTTTGTTGAGAAGGGAGTTTCTCTGAGTGACCTGGCTAACTATCCCCCAAATAAAATTGGGCGTTTACTTGAAGTTTATGGGGCATTGCTGTGCACAAATTGACTGCCATCTTCGCTTACAGTAGCTACACTTTTCAATATATCCTGTAAAGCACTTTGAGATGTCTCTCTGGCGTGACAGGTGCAATATCAAATCCAAATATAATTATTAGCATTATAACTTATTCCTCAAACTCTACAGCACTTTTATATTAAAACCTTAAGGGTAATCCTATAACCTTAAAACATTGTTTTTGATTGGAGTCGACTGCAGGAAAAATTCTCCTGGAGCTATTCACGCTGATACTACTTCAAAATTAGCTCTTGGACATGGTTTCAGAGCTGAAAGTGTTATCCATAATAGTTAAGTAGGAATTCTACACTTTTAGCAATGATTTAGCATTCTCCATAACATACTTACATTTATATAGCTCCTCTCATGCAGTGTAGCATCCCAGACCGCTCGACAGTGGCGGAGCATGACTGAGAGGGAGGGGGAGGTGACCGTAAGCATGGTCGACTAGGAAGGTCTTCAGGTGCGACCTGAAAATGAGGAAGGAAGGGGCAAGGCGGAGGGATCGAGGAAGTATTCCAGAGCTTTGGGGCATAGTAGATGAATGCGGCCAACAGCGATGGGTACAGGACATGCAGAAGGGTTGTGGCTGAGTTGTGCTTCCAGACAACAGCCTAGCTGAAAGGTGCTATGAAAGTTCAAGTTGTAATTCGGACTATGAAGGGTATTGTTTCTAATTTAATGTTGCAGCATGATTAGCACCTAAGTCCCGAAGTAACCTGCATATATACAATATATATATATATAAGATCTGCTATCTTGCATGACCTGTGACTCCCAAACAATCTCATCGCACATGTATGTCAGTTTTGCTTAAGGTGTACACACAGTGTTTATGGCATGTTAAATGGTTTGTGAGTAGTATCACTGAAATCTACATTCCATATAGGATCCTTTGGTTGCAAGTATAGCTGCAACACATAGAGCCAGTGTATATATATATATAATATATATATATATTTAGAGCAATTTAATGTGACCTGCAATGCTGCAGAGACAGCGTGCTATATGAGTCACTTTCACGTTGGCTAAGGCAATCCTATATGACTTCATAGATAAGTTTCAAACCTGAAAGCACAATTGCTCATTTTTCTCAGCCATGAAATCATTTTTATTCAACAGCAAAGGAAATGCAATCATACAGAAATAATAATGCTCTTTTCTCCATTGACATTTAAATGACTCACAAAAACATTTAAAACAAACACAACCTAAAATATGGGAAAAGCACAAAGCATTTATGAATGGAATTTCAACTCAAACCGTTGAAGAAACACAATAACAAAATATACCTGTAGCCTTTACAGCGTTTATAAAAATAACATTACAATCTCAAAGTCGATGAGGCATTAGAGTTAAGTTACTAACGTGTCTGTGATAAAGGAAGGTGTCTACAAAATGTTCCCCTCGGAACAGTGACACCTTTCTTTACTCTAGAAGCTTACCTGAGTGGTCATTAATGCAATCTGAATACATTTTAGAGAGCACATTTGGGGTTCAGACACAAAAGCTACCTTCATGGAACAAATTAAACTATTTTTAAAAGACATAACTTTAAATGCACGTTTGCAACTATACAGCAACTATACAGCAAGGTCAATTGACAATAACATTGAAATCCCCATATGCTGTTAATGCTGACTTTATTTTAACAGCTGATTAGTGTTAAGTTGAAATATTTTAAAACAAGCTATGAAAATTTCACTACAGATGCTGAACGTCTATGTGTATTCCTGTTGATTACCAGCAAATCCTTAAGTTAAAACATTTACGGTATTTTGGTTTTTCGGAAAAAAACGAAGAGTCTACAAGGTCCATTTAAAAGAGTTTTGTATCATCACAAGAACATTGCTTTGGTGATCAAGGAGTGATTTCTCTGGGCATCGGGTTTAGAGTGCACAGCCAGTGAGTGTAGTGAACACCCTTCCTTTAGCAACACGCCGATTCTGGCATGTATGATGCGCATTCCTCTGAGATTATCTTGCACACATTAAATCCTTAATTTCTTGTCACTTGAACGTGTCAACCCTGCAAGAAAGGAGATATCAGAAAAGGACAAGAAACTCAGAAGCTCTTACTTTTGCATGTTTTAATAATAATAATCCTTGCATTTGATATAGCGCTTTTCACGTCTTCTAGACGTCTCAAAGCGCTTCACAGAATACACTGTAAAGTGAATTGACTGTATATTTTGTGGACGAAAAGCGGCAGCCAATTGCGCACAGCAGTTCACACATCAGAGCAAAGGGTTAAGTGGGTAAGAACAGTTAGTTGATGGATGGCACTCACAGGTAAACACAGCCCAAACTACAATGTCTATTTCATACAAGAGTATAAGCCCACAGTAAAAATGTTTGCTTGTGTGACTTTATCAAATGAAATGATGCTGAACATAGACACATATTAAAAGGACGTGATATTTGACGTTTATTCCATATATAAATGTCAGAATACATCTTAAATATATATTTGGAGAGTCCAGTGCGGCGTGTAACAATGCTTACCTGCTGCTGTGTACTTGGGATACTTTAATGGATATCTGGCTATGATCTGCCTCCTTCCCAGCCCATGGGATCGTGACAGCACACAGTCCACATAAGTATCCCAGAAGACTTGAGCCAGGTCGAGGAACAGAGCGCCGTGTTTGGGTTTGTCGGAGAGTTTCAGGTAGATCATGAAATCCCAGAGCCCACTGACTGTCTCGGCCAGTGGAGGCTTCTTCATCTGAACCAGGGTGAGGGAGGAGCTCTCCCAGCACTGAGTCTCGATCTCCCCCAGGCTCATGGGATCTCCGTTTCTGTTCTCAGCCATCACCACCATCACAATCCACATCAGCCTCAGGTACAACCTGCCACCTAGAGACTGCATGTTACACAGGTACTTGCCTAGCAACACACAAAAACATGAGCTATTAAAAAATTGCATCCATTGCAATGGCAAGTTAGTTACATAATCACGATACACACACATGTTTTGTCTTGCATACAGATCACAGACACACAGAAGTTGTCCAAAGTATTTATTTATTTATAAAATCCTTGCATTTGATACAGGGTTTTATCACATCCAAGCATCTCAAAGCGCTTTAAAGAGGTTTCTATAAAGTGTAGTAACTGTGCATTTGCAGGCCAATCCAGCAAATTGGGCACAGCAATATCTTGCACACAGCCATCAAGTGAATGACCAATTTTATCTTGCCGTCTCTTTTCCATTTTGCCCACAAAATACACAGGCAATCCAATTTACAATATATTCCGTGCAGCACTTTGAGACGTCTCGGCCCCAAGATATCAAATGCAAGGATTATTATAATATTATTATAATAGTGAGTTTTAACGGCCATCTGAACATACAGGCGGGATATATGTGAAAATAAACTGGGGCAAAGTTGACAATTTTGTGAATCAGGATAAATGAATCAGTTGCTGACGGTTTTTAGTAATTACAATGTAGAGATTTTTTTGAAAAAAAAGTCAGGCCTCAGCTACTTTGAAAGTTGCAGAATGTCTCACCGCATTTACATGTAAATTGATCTCTTGCCCTCCTCCAAATGATGTGCTTATTTATATGGGATGGGATGTATTCATTCACAGTGAGCTGTTTATAATATGGTGTGGTGTGCAATGCAATTGCCAATGTTATACCTGAAGTTGGAGCTTTGCTAGTGATGTACTGTTGCTCAGATGGAGTACAGTATTGCATAGTTGGAAGACGATAACTTGGAACAAACCACGATAGTTAAAATGTGAGACTGGAGGTTTAGGAGCAATCACATCAGAGTAAAATAGCAACACCAGCTATACTGTACTTTCCACAGATGGGATTCACCTTCAAACAAATATAAAGTTTGGTTTCACACGACTTTTGCTCAAAGAAGCAAGTTTCTGTTCAAGATATACACGCGTGCTTCTCAATCAGAGATTAAGCCACCATAACTCAAAGCCAATTGTAAATCTAAACGCAGCTATTCCTTCTCCCCCAGTGAACTGCAACTCTGTCCTCATATAATAGCAGCCAGAAGCTAAACACATGTTTTATATATATAATATATATAAATAATATATATACACACATACATATATATACATAGAAGAGTTCTGAAGTGATATTAACTTTCATTTATATTGCAAATTGTGATCCAGAAGGAAGCTGTCGTCTGACTTATATCCTCACAAAACCTAACTGCGAGAAAGCACTCAGTGCAGGTAAACACCTCACTACATTGTGTTAACTTTAGGTTTCTCTCGGGAGAGGGAATGGGGTAAGATCTGAAGGATGTGGTTGTGTTTGCCGGGCTTGGGTTGCTCTCTAAGTGGGCTTCGTGAAGTCAAGTGCATTTTCCTGTACTGTAGAATACAGTGACAGCAACTGCAGACGGATGTGGATAAACGAGAGCAAATCCAGCAGTCAAAAACAAAGTCGGAAATACAATAGTTGTCACCCAATGGAGATTTCACGAGCAAATGATATATTTTTTTAAAAAAGAATATTTTAATTGTTAAAAATATGCATTATGTATATATATATATATATATAGATCTCAGATCTATGCACCGCAGAAAGTTAAGTACATACACTTTAGAGGTCAACAGCAGAATTTAAACTAACTTAAGAGGTTTCTGTCTGATAGCAGCGAACAGCGCCCAAGAAAAGCAAAGCTCGGTCAGGGAAATCGAGCAGTTTCGGTCTTGTCGTGACTTCTGCGAAGCGCTTCGAGACGTCGAGAAGACATGAAAAGCGCTATATCAAATGCAAGGATTATTATTGTATTATTATTATTATTATGTGCAAAACGTCTATTAATAATGTGGCCAACGTTACGAGAATGCAGAAGGTTTTCAGATTTGTTTTTCGCTGCACTCGCAGTCGTCAGTGCCAAATCACCGAAAAAACAGTGTTAGTTTAACCTCCACCACCACAAACCCCCCCACAAATCCCCACAAACCCCCCCACAAATCCCCACAAACCCCCCCACAAACCCCCACAAAACCCCCACAAAACCCCCACAAATCCCCCGACAAACCCCCCCAACAATTTAGGACATCTTGTCAGAGAGTTGTCTCATGGCAGAGATCGCGACCTGTCGAAGGTGCCCCGAGCACAAACATTAACACAATAACACGCGGACACCCATACACACCACACACACACTCACACCACACACACACACCACACACAATCACCACACACACACACCACACACACACACACACCACACGCACCACACACACACACACACACCACACACACTCACACTCAGCACCACACACACTCACACACCCAGTACCACACACTCACACCCAGCACCACACACACACACACACTCACACCCAGCACCACACACACCCACACACCCAGTACCACACACTCACACCCAGCACCACACACACGCACTCACACCCAGTACCACACACTCACACCCAGCACCACACACACCCACACACCCAGTACCACACACTCACACCCAGCACCACACACACGCACTCACACCCAGTACCACACACTCACACCCAGCACCACACACACCCACACACCCAGCACCACACACTCACACTCACACCCAGTACCACACACTCACACCCAGCACCACACACACCCACACACCCAGCACCACACACACCCACACACCCAGTACCACACACTCACACCCAGCACCACACACACGCACTCACACCCAGTACCACACACTCACACCCAGCACCACACACACCCACACACCCAGTACCACACACTCACACACTCACACCCAGCACCACACACACTCACACACCCAGTACCACACACTCACACCCAGCACCACACACTCACACACTCACACCCAGCACCACACACACTCACACACCCAGTACCACACACACACACACTCACACCCAGCACCACACACACTCACACACCCAGTACCACACACACACACACTCACACCCAGCACCACACACTCACACACTCTCACCCAGCACCACACACACACACACTCACACCCAGCACCACACACACTCACACACCCAGTACCACACACACACACACTCACACCCAGCACCACACACACTCACACACCCAGCACCACACACACACACACTCACACCCAGCACCACATAAACACACACCCAGCACCACACACACACACACTCACACCCAGCACCACACACACCCACACACCCAGTACTACACACTCACACACCCAGCACCACACACACACACACCCAGCACCACACACACTCACTCACACCCAGCACCACACACACACACACTCACACCCAGCACCACACACACACCCAGCACCACACACACACACTCACACCCAGCACCACACACACACACTCACACCCAGCACCACACACACACAGCACCACACACTCACACCCAACACCACACACACACACACTCACACCCAGCACCACACACACACTCACACCCAGCACCACACACACACACAGCACCACACACTCACACCCAGCACCACACACACACACACACTCACACCCAGCACCACACACACACACACTCACACCCAGCACCACACACACTCACACACCCAGTACCACACACTCACACACCCAGCACCACACACTCACACACCCAGCACCACACACACACACTCACACCCAGCACCACACACACCCAGCACCACACACACTCACTCACACCCAGCACCACACCACACACACACACACACTCACACTCAGCACCACACACACACACACACACACCCAGCAGCACACACTCACACACACACCCAGCACCACTCACCCACACACCCAGCACCACACACACACACTCACACTCAGCACCACACACACCCACACACCCAGTACCACACACACTCACACCCAGCACCACACACTCACACACACACCCAGCACCACACACACCCACACACCCAGTACCACACACTCACACACCCAGCACCACACACACACACACAGCACCACACACTCACACCCAGCACCACACACACACACACTCACACCCAGCACCACACACACTCACACACCCAGTACCACACACTCACACACCCAGTACCACACACTCACACACTCACACCCAGCACCACACACACCCAGTACCACACACTCACACACCCAGCACCACACACACTCACACCCAGCACCACACACACACACTCACACCCAGCACCACACACACTCACACACCCAGTACCACACACTCACACACCCAGCACCACACTCACACACTCACACCCAGCACCACACACACCCAGTACCACACACACACACACCCAGTACCACACACTCACACACTCACACCCAGCACCACACACACTCACACACCCAGTACCACACACTCACACCCAGCACCACACACACACACTCACACCCAGCACCACACACACCCAGCACCACACACACACACTCACACTCAGCACCACACACACTCACACACCAGTACCACACACTCACACCCAGCACCACACACACACACACCCAGCACCACACACACACACACTCACACCCAGCACCACACACACACACACCCAGTACCACACACACACACACACTCACACACCCAGCACCACACACACACACTCACACCCAGCACCACACACACTCACACACCCAGTACCACACACTCACACCCAGCACCACACACACTCACACCCAGCACCACACACACTCACACTCACACCCAGCACCACACACACACACACACAGTACCACACACACACACACACACTCACACCCAGCACCACACACACACACACTCACACCCAGCACCACACACTCACACACCCAGCACCACACACACCCACACACCCAGCACCACACACTCACACACCCAGCACCACACACTCACACCCAGCACCACACACTCACACACCCAGCACCACACACACACACCCAGCACCACACACACCCAGCACCACACACACACACACCCCGCACCACACACCACACACACCCAGCACCACACACACTCACACCCAGCACCACACACACCCACACACCCAGCACCACACACTCACACACCCAGCACCACACACACTCACACACCCAGCACCACACACACACACACCCAGTACCACACACACACACACTCACACACCCAGCACCACACACACACACACTCACACCCAGCACCACACACTCACACACCCAGCACCACACACACACACCCAGCACCAACTACACACACCCAGCACCAACTAACTCTACACACACACCCAGCACCAACTACACACACCCAGCACCACCTACACACACTACACACACACACCACACCACACTCACACACCCAGCACCACACACACACACACCCAGTACCACACACACACACACACCACACACCAGCACCACCACACACACACACCACACACCCAGCACCACACACACACACACCCAGCACCACACACACACACACTCACACCCAGCACCACCACACACACACACCCAGTACCACACACACACACACTCACACACCCAGCACCACACACACTCACACCCAGCACCACACACACTCACACCCAGCACCACACACACACTCACACCCAGCACCACACACACACACACTCACACCCAGCACCACACACACTCACACTCACACCCAGCACCACACACACACTCACACCCAGCACCACACACACACACACTCACACCCAGCACCACACACACTCACACTCACACCCAGCACCACACACACTCACACTCAGCACCACACACACACACACTCACACCCAGCACCACACACACACACTCACACCCAGCACCACACACACACACACTCAGCACCACACACACTCACACCCAGCACCACACACTCACACCCAGCACCACACACACACTCACACCCAGCACCACACACACACACACTCACACCCAGCACCACACACACTCACACTCACACCCACACCCAGCACCACACACACTCACACTCAGCACCACACACACACACACTCACACCCAGCACCACACACACACACACTCAGCACCACACACACTCACACCCAGCACCACACACACACACACACTCAGCACCACACACACTCACACCCAGCACCACACACACACACACTCACACCCAGCACCACACACACACACTCAGCACCACACACACACTTCCAGCACCACACACACTCACCCAGCACCACACACACTCACACTCAGCACCACACACACTCACACACCCAGTACCACACACACACACTCACACCCAGCACCACACACACACACTCAGCACCACACACCCACACACCCAGTACCACACACACTCACACCCAGCACCACACACACGCACTCACACCCAGTACCACACACTCACACACACTCAGCACCACACACACCCAACACCACACACACACACACTCACACCCAGCACCACACACACACACACACACTTCCAGCACTACACACACTCACACACCCAGTACCACACACTCACACCCAGCACCACACACACTCACACCCAGCACCACACACACTCACACCCAGCACCACTCACACTCACACCCAGCACCACACACTCACACCCAGCACCACACACACTCACACCCAGCACCACACACACACACACACCCAGTACCACACACACTCACACCCAGCACCACACACACTCACACCCAGCACCACACACACACACTCAGCACCACACACACTCACACTCACACACCACAACTCCGCTGTTCACCCGAAGCTCTCCCATCCCCACTCCGGAGCAGGTCGGTCCCTGACAAGACTGGGGATGGAGAGTGTCCAACTTACCTGAGACTGGAGAGAGAGAGAGAGAGACAGACACAGACAGACAGACAGACACAGACAGATAGACACAGACAGACAGACACAGACAGATAGACACAGACAGATAGACACAGACAGATAGACACAGACAGACAGACAGATAGACACAGACAGACATACAGACACAGACAGACAGACACAGACAGACACACACAGACACAGACAGATAGACACAGACAGACACAGACAGACAGACAGACACAGACAGACAGACACAGACAGACAGACACAGACACACAGACACAGACAAACACCTACTTTTTTTCCCCCCCACACTCTGGTCTGGTCTCCCCGGTTGTGTTGGGTTGTGTTGTGTTGTGTTGTGTTGAGGCTCAGGAGGAAGAAGTTGGGGAGTTGGGATTCAGTGGACGCACAACCTGAGGGATTCGGTGCACATATTTATACCGCAGCCCTCCCCCACAGTCTCTCCCACTCCCCTCTCACTCCCCTGTGCGTCAGCCACAGTGCCCCATTCCTCACGTGGCTATTCCAAAAAAAAAAGGCATCTCATCCCCTTTTTGTCCTTCTGCGAGTCAACCCCACACTTGGTTCTATTCCACTTAAGAAGAACAATACTAATAATATTCATAATACTGATAATGATCTTTGCATTTCGAGAGAGCGCTTTCCACGTCCCCCAAAGCGCTCCGCGGAACGCACCGCAAAGTGAGGCGGCCGCGTGTTTGTGGGCGAAGCGCACGGCGGTGCCCTCACAGGCAGCCGTGGGTTGGAAAATGACCGCTTTTGTTATCGCTTTGTCCTTTCGGAGGGATTATCGGAGTCCTCTCGCTCACGGGGTTTCCTTCGATCGCGACCGGGAGAGACCCTTTGCGTTCGACGTAGCGCCTCGTCCCGTCTCGGGAGACGTCTCAAAGCGCTTCGCGGGACACCCGCCGTAAAGCGAATTGACTGCCTATGTTGTGGGCGAAACGCGGCTGCCCATTGCCGCTCGGCAGCTCACACCGTCAGAGCAAAGGGTTAAGTGGGTAAGAACAGTTAGTTGATGGATGGCACTCACAGGTAAACACAGCCCAAACTACAATGTCTATTTCATACAAAAGTATGAGCCCACAGTAAAAATGTTTGCTTGAGTGACTTTATCAAATGAAATGATGCTGAACATAGACACATATTAAAAGGACGTGATATTTGACGTTTATTACATACATAAATGTCAGAATACATCTTAAATATATATTTGGAGAGTAAAGCGAATGGACTGTTTTTTGTGGGCGAAACGCGACAGCCAATCGCGCACAACGGTGTCTCACAAACAGTGTGGATTGAGTGAACAAATTATTGTTATTGTTTAACACGAATTAACATTAAAACCAATGTTTCCGTTTGTTAATGCATGAATTTTTAAGATGGATTAACATGAACATAATGCGCAATGCAGATGTTGCTTCAAATTTATTTTCAATGGAAAATATTTTTGTGAAATAACTTTTTTTTAAAACGTCCAAATACTAAAGAATCCATGTAATGCATGTTCTACTCATTCTGCTGGCTTTTTCATATATAGGATGAAATTTACAATATTTTGTTTCGTGGAACTACTATTATATAATGCAGACAGCATGGGAATATGTTGAAATAAATCTTATGGTTTTGTGGCAGTCGTCTTGTGGTGTTAAGACTGAAATATATCACTTATTCCATGTTTTATCAGGCATTAAACCGAAGACAGTTATATTGCATATTAAATGTCACTTGTTTTGTCAAGGGGATCATTGTCAAGGGTATTTGTCCATGATAATACTTGGGCCTCTTCGTAATGTTACTGACATTCTTTTACAAAACCATTTTAAACAGGACAGGTGTGTTTGTGCAGCAGTGCTTTGTCCTGATCGTAACAGTCCCAAGATCAAAGAGTTAATCATAATAATCCTTGCATTTAATATAGCGCTTAACACATCCTCAAGATGTCTCAAAGCGCTTCACAGAATATACTGTAAAGTGGATTGACTATATTTTGTGTCCGAAATGCAGCAGCCAATTGCATACATCAGTGTCCCACAAACTGTCGTGGATTGAAGTGACCAATTTAGTATTTTTTTTTGAAGGAATTATTACATCTGGAAAAGCGATCCGCCAATCAACTAATAACCAGGTTCCTACTTACTGCTAGATAAACAGAGGCGTGTGGAGCAAGGAAACTTGCCCAACATTTTGCCCTGCCAGGAATCGAACTCGGGTCTCTCGCTTGCGAGGCGAGTGCCCTAACTACTGAGCTGCAGGACTCCACTGAGCTACAGGACTCCAAGTTGCGTTCAATAGCAAGATCTCACCAAAGAGTGCAGGGTAGGCAGTATGGTCAGTTTGATCAATGGCTCATTGAAAGAGGTAGATTTTGAAAAGAAGGGAGAGAAGGTACAAGGCAATGTGGTTTGAACGTAGGAACAGGAGTAGGCCATTCAGCCCCTCGAACCTGTTCCGCCATTCCTAATTAGATCATGGCTGATCTGTACCTCAACTCCAATTACCTGCCTTTCCCTATATCCCTTGATACCCTTACCCAACAAATGCGTATCCACCTCAGTCTTGAAGATTTGAATGGATTCAGGACCCACAACCTTTTGGGGAAAGAGTTCCAGATTTCCACTATCCTTTGCGTGGAAAAAAATCTTCCTGATTTCACTCCTAACTGGCCTCGCTCTAATTTTACAATTATACCCCCTTGTTCTGGATTCCCTCACCAAGAGGAAACTAATAATACTGGTATAGTGGCTTTCGTGTCAGGAGGACGTCCTAAAGCGCTTCACAGGATAAACTGTAAAGTGCAGTGATCAGTGTGTTTTGCGGACGAAAACAACAGCCAATTTGGTCTGAGCTCTCACGAGGTCGATAGCAGTAAGGACTATTACACTGCAATGCTGGGAGAGCGTGCATTGTCACAGGTGCCGTCCTTTGTACGAGATGTTGAAACCAACGGTCTGTCTATGCTCAGGTGAACATTAAAGGATCTATAGCACTATTCAAAAAAAGAGATTCTCTCAAGAGTTCAGTCCAATCCCCAGAAAAAAATGTCATTGATGTACAACTACAAATACAGTCACTGCAGCTTACAGTAATATCCGGGTTAATGCTTTGAGGAGATTTTCACATAAGACACTATATCAAATGCAAAGACCACTACGATAAGGTTGCTGTTGTTGTCTAGAATTTACTAACCATATCTCTATGCACTCACCTCTGCTCTCCAGAAATTTTTGTACATTAGATTGTTCAAATAGTGGTTTAAAATATATCTATGAAACCCTTCAGTCAAATTAGTTTGAGAGTCACTGCATCAGTCACCTCCTGGTGTATTACTGAATGTGTTAACATGGAACAGAATGACACGACTAATTCAGAGAAATGAAAGTTTATTTCAATTGTTCGAGTTCAGTTCTTCACAGGATTTAATGAGTTAATATAATCATCATCCATATTGATAATCCAAATAAATGTTTAAATAATAGTAACAACCGCCCTCCCTAAACACCCAGCTCACCGCCCTCCCTAAACACCCAGCTCACCGCCCTCCCTAAACACCCAGCTCACCGCCCTCCCTAAACACCCAGCTCACCGCCCTCCCTAAACACCCAGCTCACCGCCCTCCCTAAACACCCAGCTCACCGCCCTCCCTAAACACCCAGCTCACCGCCCTCCCTAAACACCCAGCTCACCGCCCTCCCTAAACACCCAGCTCACCGCCCTCCCTAAACACCCAGCTCACCGCCCTCCCTAAACACCCAGCTCACCGCCCTCCCTAAACACCCAGCTCACCGCCCTCCCTAAACACCCAGCTCACCGCCCTCCCTAAACACCAGCTCACCGCCCTCCCTAAACACCCAGCTCACCGCCCTCCCTAAACACCCAGCTCTCCGCCCTCCCTAAACACCCAGCTCACTGCCCTCCCTAAACACCCAGCTCACCGCCCTCCCTAAACACCCAGCTCACTGCCCTCCCTAAACACCCAGCTCACCGCCCTCCCTAAACACCCAGCTCACTGCCCTCCCTAAACACCCAGCTCACCGCCTCCCTACATTCACCACTCCCTCTCGTGCATTTGTTACTCTCTGGTGCCCTCACCCCTCACTCTCCACCCTCATCACTCCCTCTCTCGGCACTCACTCAATCCCCACCCTCATTCCTCCTTCTCCTCCCATAACTCACTCCCTTCACTCTCTGCTCTCCCCACTCACTCTCTCTGCTCTCCCCGCTCACTCGCTCTGCTCTCCCCGTTCACTCGCTCTGCTCTCCCCGCTCACTCGCTCTCTCTCTGCTCTCCCCGTTCACTCGCTCTGCTCTCCCCGCTCACTCGCTTTGCTCTCCCCGTTCACTCGCTCTGCTCTCCCCGCTCACTCGCTCTCTCTCTGCTCTCCCCGTTCACTCGCTCTGCTCTCCCCGCTCACTCACTCTCTCTCTGCTCTCCCCGTTCACTCGCTCTCTCTCTGCTGTCCCCGCTCACTCGCGCTCTCTCTGCTCTCCCCGTTCACTCGCGCTCTCTCTGCTCTCCCCGCTCACCCGCTCTCTCTCTGCTCTCCCCGCTCACTCGCGCTCTCTCTGCTCTCCCCGTTCACTCGCGCTCTCTCTGCTCTCCCCGCTCACCCGCTCTCTCTCTGCTCTCCCCGCTCACTCGCTCTCTCTCTGCTCTCCCCGCTCACTCGCGCTCTCTCTGCTCTCCCCGCTCACTCGCGCTCTCTCTGCTGTCCCCGCTCACTCGCTCTCTCTGCTGTCCCCGCTCACTCGCTCGCTCTCTGCTCTCCCCGCTCACTCACACTCTCTCTGCTCTCCCCGTTCACTCGCTCTGCTCTCCCCACTCACTCACGCTCTGCTCTCCCCACTCACTCACGCTCTCTCTGCTCTCCCCGCTCACTCGCTCTCTCTCTGCTCTCCCCGCTCTTTCTCTGCTCTCCCCGCTCACTCGCGCTCTCTGCTCTCCCCGTTCACTCGCTCTGCTCTCCCCGCTCTCTCTCTGCTCTCCCCGCTCACTCGCGCTCTCCCCGCTCACTCTCTGCTCTCCCCGCTCACTCGCTCTCTCTCTGCTCTCCCCGCTCACTCGCGCTCTCTCTGCTCTCCCCGCTCACTCGCGCTCTCTCTGCTCTCCCCGCTCGCTCACTCTCTCTCCCCGCTCGCTCACTCTCTCTCCCCGCTCGCTCACTCTCTCTCCCCGCTCGCTCACTCTCTCTCCCCGCTCGCTCACTCTCTCTCCCCGCTCGCTCACTCTCTCTCCCCGCTCGCTCACTCTCTCTCCCCGCTCACTCTCTCTCCCCGCTCGCTCACTCTCTCTCCCCACTCGCTCACTCTCTCTCTCTGCTCTCCCCATTCGCTCACTCTCTCTCTCTCTCTCTCTCTCTCTATGTTCTTCCCGCTCTCTCCCTCTCTGCTCTCTCCGCTCACTCTCTCTCTGCTCTCGCCGTTCACTCTCTCTCTGCTCTCCCCGCTCACTCTCTCTCTGCTCTCCCCGCTCACTCTCTCTCTGCTCTCGCCGTTCACTCTCTCTCTGCTCTCGCCGTTCACTCTCTCTGCTCTCGCCGTTCACTCTCTCTCTGCTCTCCCCGTTCACTCTCTCTCTGCTCTCCCCGTTCACTCTCTCTCTGCTCTCCCCGTTCACTCTCTCTCTGCTCTCCCCGTTCACTCTCTCTCTGCTCTCCCCACTTACTCTCTCTCTGCTCTCCCCGTTCACTCTCTCTCTGCTCTCCCCACTCCCTCCCTCTGCTCTCCCCACTCCCTCCCTCCCTCTGCTCTCCCTCCGCTCTCCCTCCCTCTGCTCTCCTCACTCTCCCTCTGCTCTCCTCACTCTCTCTCTGCTCTCCTCACTCTCTCTCTGCTCTCCTCACTCTCTCTCTGCTCTCCTCACTGCTCTCCGCACTCCCTCTCTGCTCTCCGCACTCCCTCTCTGCTCTCCGCACTCCCTCTCTCTCCTCTTCTCTGCTCTCCTCACTCCCTCTCTGCTCTCCTCACTCCCTCTCTGCTCTCCTCCCTCTCTCTCTGCACTCCTCCCTCTCTCTCTGCTCTCCTCTCCTCCCTCTCTCCTCTCTCTCTCCTCACTCCCTCTCTCCTCTCCTCCCTTCCCTCTCTCCTCTCCTCCCTCTCTGCTCTCGCTTCTGCCTCCGCTCACTCACTCTCGCTCACTCACCGCGCCATTTTATCCGAGGTGAACCGGAAGTACATAGGGCTGGCGGGGGCGACTTCCGGTCGGGTTGCCACGGTGACGAGCGGGGAGCGGAAGTGCTGTCATGTTCCGGTTGCCATGGTGCGGGCGGGCTGCGGCCTCCTGAGGCAGGTCAGTAACTGCCGTGTGGGAGAGACTGACCTCAGTCACCGCTGTCACTGGACGTCGGACCGGCCGAGACCCACCGGGGTTTAACAGCGGTCAGCGCTGGCCATCCCGGGGGCCGACAGCTGTGGCAGCTCATCACCACGCTCCACTGTCCCCAGACCAGGCTGAGCTGTGCCGAGCTTCCCATCACTGTCCCCAGACCAGGCTGAGCTGTGCCGGGCTTCCCGTCACTGTCCCCAGACCAGGCTGAGCTGTGCCGGGCTTCCCGTCACTGTCCCCAGACCAGGCTGAGCTGTGCCGGGCTTCCCGTCACTGTCCCCAGACCAGGCTGAGCTGTGCCGGGCTTCCCATCACTGTCCCCAGACCAGGCTGAGCTGTGCCCGGCTTCCCGTCACTGTCCCCAGACCAGGCTGAGCTGTGCCAGGCTTCCCGTCACTGTCCCCAGACCAGGCTGAGCTGTGCCGGGCTTCCCGTCACTGTCCCCAGACCAGGCTGAGCTGTGCCAGGCTTCCCGTCACTGTCCCCAGACCAGGCTGAGCTGTGCCGGGCTTCCCATCACTGTCCCCAGACCAGGCTGAGCTGTGCCGGGCTTCCCATCACTGTCCCCAGACCAGGCTGAGCTGTGCCGGGCTTCCCATCACTGTCCCCAGACCAGGCTGAGCTGTGCCCGGCTTCCCGTCACTGTCCCCAGACCAGGCTGAGCTGTGCCAGGCTTCCCGTCACTGTCCCCAGACCAGGCTGAGCTGTGCCAGGTTTCCCTCCACACGGAAATCCCAGAGATAGATTGTTGGAGTGGAACGCGCGCTCTCTCTCCGCAGGGAAGCTTCCTGCCTACCTGATTCCAGAGAGTATTAGGGGCGCAGGTTGACAACAGCCAACTCTTGGGGACCCCAGACTGTGCGTTGGGGTAACTGCTGGAGTCTAACCAGCTATAACCGCCTAGTTTGCCATTGGTAGCACTGTCCGGAAAGCTTTCCCGCTGCTTGTCCAGCTGGGGCCATCCGACCCGTTAGGGCTTTGGCTTACAGGGTTAACAGGAGCTGAGTGGGATGGTTTCCTACCCTTCCAGGTCCTGTTGATGGGCCAGGCTGGCTGTGCTGTCATCAGCGGTGCCCTGGAGTACTCCCGCCTGGCTCAGGACCCGGACTACCAAGATCGCCACGGAGGATGGACTCGATTCCGACATTCCGTTGCCAAACATGTCACCTTGGAGCCAATTCAGTTCCAAGGAGACTCCACTCACCTTCCCCTTCCCCGGTGTGTACTCAGTCCCTAAAGCTTCAAAGACTTGGTGGAGACTTCTCTCCCTGCTTCTGAAACTTGTTGTACTTTTGGGAATGGACACTTTGATTATACAGGCTCTATCTGCTCATAACTGTAATGGTAGGCTCAAAACATGATAACAAGAAATAAAATTTCATTTTAATCAATGACTTTGTAGGTATTGTTAATTGACAAACATAGTTTGCTTGGGCGAATTTTTATTTTTTTTCATCCAATTTTTATAGTATGGCAACTTTATTGACAATGTCAGACTGTATGTTCGTGGAGGGAGTGGTGGAATGGGACTTGGTCGCTTTGGTGGTGAAGGAGGCAAAGGCGGAGATGTCTTTGTTGTAGCAAAAGCAGACATCACTTTGAAGAAACTGAAAGACAAGCATCCAGAGAAACGCTTTATGGGTGAAGTTGGTGCAAACAGCAGGTAAGGCTTTTTTTTGCCATTTACGGGTATTTGCCATTTGGTGGAGTTGATCAGATTGGGTCTTTTTCTAGTTCCTACTTTCTATGTATTTTAAGAAAATACATGAGCAAAATATCACAAAAATATCGCAGAAAAGTTACTGGTTTATTACCTAAATGAACTGGATCAAGAAGAAAACTCTCGTGGTGCAAGAACCACTAGGTTGTAGTGTTATAAGATGGATTTCTTCATAATACTAGAGCATCATTCAGAGAACTTAGCAGATGAATGCACTTGTGATTTTACTGTTGAAATGTAGATGGGAAATAAGTTCTCGATATCTTGTAACACTTTGTCATTTTGTTCTCCAGCATTCGATCACTGAAGGGAAAAAAGGGGAAGGATTGTGAAATTTATGCCCCAGTTGGTATTTCAGTCACGACTGACAAAGGGAAAGTAATAGGTGAGAATTCTGGTTTACTGTTAATATTGATTAGATTTACAGATTCATTTATTTTAACAACATTTATCTAGTGTGCTTCACATAAGATTATATTTTGATCGCTTCACAGGAATGGTGTCATACACCAAGCAAAAGAGGAGGAGAAGAGGGGGAGGGGTACATCTGATCGAAGTGAAAGGTTTTAGGTGGAATTTAAATACATCCAAGAGAGAATCAGAAGGAGGGATAGAGAGAAGGAGTTCCAGAGGATGGGGATGAGAGCAATGTAGCAAAGGTGAAGAAAAATTTGGTCAAGGACCACATGTGTGGAGAGACGGAGCGCTGAGGATCAAATTAAATGCTAATGTTGCGCACTGGTTCAGTGAGTTTCAGAGAGAAGTCAGGGAAGTTGAGGAGGACAGTGCTGGAAGTGAGGAAATATTGATAGGTGCTAAAGAGGATGGCTTCCATCCTTCTCTATATTGAGCTGCAAGAAATTGAGACTCATCCAGTCCTTGATATTCGACAGGCAGATGGACAACATAAGTGGAAATAAAAACCAGGGTGGAAGTGGAAAAGTTGATTTGGGCGTCATCTGCATACATATGGAAGTTAACTCCATGTTTGCAAATGGAAATAGATGGCTTTTAATTCATCTCTTTTAAGGGCAGAAAATATTCCCTTTGTTGAACATTAAGTAAAATAATTTGTTAACTACATCATAACAACAACAACTTGCATTTATATAGCACTCTTCACGCAGGGGAATATCTCGTTTAACAGTGGCAGAGCCCAACGCTGAGCCGGGGGTGGGTGGGGGGGTGGGTGGGAGGAGGTTACCCTAAGCATGGTCGAATATGGGATTTGTAGACAAGTGAGAGGATCTATAAATCGATTCATTCTGTTTTAGAAAGCCAGTGGAACCTGGCAAGGACTGGTATGATTGGGGTAAAGACTAGTGTGGGTGAGATTCAGGTGGTGGAGTTCTGAATCAGTTGTAGTTTCTGGGTAGGGGAGCTGGGAGACTGGCGAAGAGGGCATTGGAGTCGATGAGGCAGGAGGTAACGACGATGTGGCAATTTGACGGAGGTGGAAGAAAGAGATCTTGGTTAGAGACCGGACATGAGGGAGGAAGGATAGCTGGATACAATTATTATAATAATATAATGATTCTTGAATTTGATATAGTCTCTTATCATGTCATCAAGACATTTCCAAATGCTTCACAGGATTGATAGTAAAGGGTAATGACAGTGTATTTATAAATGTACTTTGTTTATATTTGCCTATGTACGCTTTTCTTTTCCAGGGCACCTAAACAAAGTGGACGATCGGATACGTCTCACTGCTGGTGGTCATGGCGGCTCTTTTACGACTAATTTTCTGCCTTCTAAGGGTCAGGCTAAGATAGTAAGGTTGGATCTGAAACTTATAGCAGATGTGGGATTGGTTGGGTAAGTAACAACTTTACATCCTAATTTTATAAACCCAATATTTCCATACATTTAAAGAAACCAAAAGCTTAGTTGTGTAAACCGTTCTCTGATGGCTGCTAATTCATTTTTATAGCACATTGACAGCTTTGTTGAATTCTTTGTAGAAATTTAAACATTGGTGTTTCTTTGCTTCCGTTTTGGTTCAAAGCTAAAAATCCCAGGTGCTTATTTTCTTTCAAGCAAAGTAATTGAATGTTTATGAACTAATACTTCACAACAGAGCTTCAGATGAAGAACTGTCTTTGATGTATTTGATCTTATCTTTCCAGAACTACCACCCTACTCTCATCTCATTACAGCATCAAGTTATTTCTTAAATGAGTCCAGTGCTCTGATCTCTGTTCCAAATCAATTTTTTTTTAAAATTGTAGTCAGTTAATCTAAGGGTGTAGATACATTTAAAAAAAATCTAGGGGAGTGGTTTACATTAACAGTGGCCTCACCATGCTATAATAAGTAACCCTTGCATTTGATATAGAGCTTTTCATGTCAGGATGATGTCTCAGTGCTTCACAAGATATACTGTGCAGTGTAGTGTTATTTTTAGTTCTGTATTATTAATATTATTAGTAACCGTGAATTTTGTAGATGAAACTGGCAGCGAATTTGTGCACATTGGTGTCTCACAAAATAACCATGAAGTGAATGACCAATTTAATCTGGGGGATTATAGGCCAGGACACCAGGAGAAACTCCTTTTTCTTTCGAATAGTGCAATTGGTTCTTTAGCATCCATTTAAACAAGCAAACAGGATTTTAATTCATCTGAAGGACGAGTTCTTGAACAATGCGGGTGTCAGTCTAGACTATATTAGGTCAAGGTCTCACTGTGGGCCTGGAACCTTGAAACCAAAATCTAAATCTGTGGTGCTAATAATAATAAAATAATCCTTGCATTTGATATAGTGCTTTTCATGTCTTCTAGATGTCTCAAAGCGCTTCACAGAACATGCTGTAAAGTGAATTATTTGGGCAAAACGCAGCAGCCAATTGTGCACAGCAGTGCTCCACAAACAGTCGTGGATTGAAATAATCAATTTATTATTTATTTTTTGAGGGATTATTATCAGTCATGTGGAGTAAAGAAACTTGCCCAAGGTTTCATCCTGCCTGGAATTGAACCCAGGTCTCTCGCTTGTAAGTGCTCTAACCACAAAGGTACAGGACTCCATATTCCTACTAACTGAGCCAGGTTCTTATCCTAGAGTATGGTTCCTTCTTATTTTTTTTTGCAAAGGAACCACTACAGTTATTCACGTGTTGAGCTAGGTTGCCACTTTCACTGTTTCTGATGTTGAAAGTTGATACCAGCCAAGTGCTGTGTGCCACTCTGAAAATAAACAGAGTTCACTGTGTTCAACTAGTTGACAGTGTGTCTCCTAACATTTCTCTGATGCTGGCAGCTTTGTCTTCAGTTTGCTTTGTCGGTCTTAACACCTCACCGAAATTGATAAAACATTGAAAATAATTCCCTTTTTTGTGAATTTTAAGTTTTTATTTTGCTTATAGTATTTTTCTTTCACACCACAGCTCAATTGGCATCTTTTTCAGCCTTAGTGTGGAATTTTCTCCATAATTTTTCACTGGGGATCAGCCAAGGTGATGAAATTGTTGTATGGTGAATTACAAGTCCATATCCTACTGTTACAGTTGAACCCTGTTATAATGTGGTGGTTTCCGTCCATGAAACTGGCCCTATGTTATAATGACGTGCCCTATAAAATGTCGTCCCTGATGCTCTCTCCTGCCTGCACTATGCAGAAGAAACTTGTTGATGTTGCTTCCTGTGCCTGAGCACAATATGCAGAAAGCACGCTGATGCTGTTTTTTGCATGACCCATGTACACAGTCACAGGAAGTTGGACAGTCATTGACAGAAGACGGAGGTGTACTGCTCTTCTGGTATACCATGGGTTCACAGTGCAACCAAGCTAAAATATTATAGCAATTTAATGGGATATAACAGCATTGTAACAGAGTCCGACAGTACTTTATAGTTTGGTATAACGTGAAAAACTCGTCCAAGCGTTCGTGACCTCCTGCCTCGACTTCTCAAATGCCCTCGCCAGTCTCCCCAGCTCCACCATCCACAAAATCCAACTGATGTAAAACTCCGACGCCCGCATACTCACCTGTACTAAACTCTGTACCCCCAACACACCAATTCTAGCCAGGTTCACTGGATCCCCATCGCAAAACAGATCGATTTCAAGATACTCACACTTGGTTTCAAATCCCTTCATGTCCTGTCACCTCCCTACCTCTCCGACCTGCTTATTCCCCAACCCGCTGCCTCCGGACTGGTTCTGCCCTCCTGCATGTCCCTTGTGCCCTCTGTTCGATCATCGGTGGCTGCGCTTTCAGCCACTAAGCCCCAAAACTCTGGAACACTCTTACTCCATCCCTTCGCAATGCGCCTTCCTTCCCTACCTTCAGGTCGCGAGTGAAGACCTTTTTGATCGTGCTTACGGTCACCATCCCCTCCCTCTTGTAAGATCCAGAACCCTTCAGGAGAAATAAACAATGTTTGAAAACTGCGCCTTCGGTCATCTCCCCTTTGCTCGCTGTTGTGCTCCACTGCTGTCAAGCGCTACCTTGTGTGAGGAGCGCTATATAAATGCAAATTCTTGTTGGTGGTTCAGTATGTTGTGTTAACACAGAATTTGGCTGTGAAATAAGTTACTGTTATATCTCTTTAAAATTCACTAAATTAGTTTGGTAGTACTCAAGAAATCATTCTAATTTGGATAAATTTGTCAATGAATTGGTCCATGGATAATGTCCAAACTTATCTAAAATGTGCGCACATGGAATAGAATGATGGAAGCTGTGAAATTAAATATAAAATACGAGTAACTGTTTACATAGTTCCTTGGAGCAAGTGAGGTGTTTCTGATTTGTATAGAATTGGTCACTGAATCACTTAATTGAGTACAATCTTGAAAAAGGCAAAAGATCTTGAAATGGCTCCAGGAAATGTGATTAAATGTTTCTTCTGGGACACATTGTGACATTATCAGTACAATAACTCAGATATTGTAACTGCTACAATACCAGTACATTACAGCATCCTAACATGCTTCAGATACCCATGGCTTTAAAGAGCCGCTAGTTAACAATCTGACACAGAATAATACACAATACAATACAAAATTATATTTGTATAACGCCTTCCACGTCACGAGGACGTCCCAAGATCCTGGAGTCAGGGAATTGGACCCGAGCTGGGGGTCAGGATCGGGGAGGATGGAAGGTAGGAGGGTGGCCGAAGGCTTGGTCGAAAAGGAGGGTTTTGAGATGTGCCTTGAAGGAGGCAAGGGAGTGAGCGAGGTGAAGGGAATGTGGGATGGAGTTCTATAGGGTGGGGGAAGAAAGGCAGAAGGCCTGAACGCTGATGGTGAAGTGGTGCTGGATGGGGGACATGGAGCAGGCCACAGCCTGCTGAGCGGAGGGAGTGGACGGGTTGGTACGGGGTCAGCAGGTTGCAGAGGTAGGAAGGTGCAAGGCCGTGGAGGGCCTTGAAGGTGAGGATGAGGATTTTGAACTGTAGCTTCTGAGGAATGGGTAGGTAGCCAGTGGAGCCGGGCGAGGGTGGGTGTGATGGGGTAACGGAGCCCGGTGCGGGAGATGACGCGAGCTGCAGAATTCTGGATGATCTGCAGCTTGTGGAGGGAAGACTTGGTAAGGCCGACAAGCAGGGAGTTGGTGTAGTCGAGCTTAGATGTGATAACGCCTGGATGAGGATTTCGACAGCATAAGGGCGGAGCCGAGCGATGTTGCAGTGGAGGGGGAAGGCAGAGGGTCATGGTATGGATATGGGGTAGAAAGGACTGTTGAGGGTCAAACAAGACCCCAAGGTTCCGGACTGGCTCAGTGAGGTGGAGTGTACATCCACGGATGGTGATGCTGTCAGTCCCTGAGGTGCGGAGGTGCTGACGGGAGCCAATCAGGAGAGCCTCGGTCTTGTTGACTTTCTACTGAAGAAAGTAGCTCTCATCCAGGACTTGATGTCTGGTAGACATTCAGTCAGGACAGCAGTGGTCCTGGAGTCGAAGGTGGAGGCAGAGATAGAGTTGGGTGTCATCCACATACATGTGGAACTTCACCCCATGTCTGTGGATGATGTCACCAAGAGGGAGCGTATAGATGTTGAAGAGGAGGGGACCAAGGACAGAGACCTGAGAAATGCCGCACAAGACGTTGCGGGGTCTAGAGGAGAAACCGTTCGTGTTGATGAAGTGGAGGTGGTGTGAAAGGTACTATACATTACATTAGAATATATAGCACAGAAATAAGCCATTCAGCCTAAATGGTCTACGCCGGTGTTCATGCTCCACATGAGTCTCCTCCTGCCCTTCCTCAACTAAGCCTTCAAGCATAATCTTCTATTCCTTTCTCCCTCATATAATTATCTCGCTTTCCCTTAAATACATCTAATAGGTTCTGAACCACTCAAGGACAGAACCATGAAGGTTGAGGTGAGAGGGGAGGCGGTGGAGGATGATAGAGTCATCGAATATGGCTCTATATGGCACTTTAATAGTGTTTTTGTAAATAAAAGAGTTCCAGTGATAATTGGTACAGATGTAATATACCAATAAGTTTACATGTGATGACTAAATTCTGCTTATACAATGCTGTATTCCTGTGAGATGCTAAGCAAATAAGTACTACTTTATTTCATCACTACTGTTCATTGTATTTATCTATTGTGAAACATACTGTTATCATAAGGTATTAAATGTACGTGAGTGAGCAAGCGAGCGAGCGAGTAGTTAACTTTTATCTCACTACATTATTGTACTACAACTACAGTAGGTTTAAGTCCATCTAAATATGTATAAATTCACAGTAAAAAAAAACAATTTAAGACAGACTGGTTAATGGCTCATCCAAAGGATGGCACTGCTGACAGTGCCTCAGTGCTGCACTGGAGTGTCAGCGTAGACCACAAACTCTGGATAAGCTATAGACAACTCTTGACCTGACTCAGAGGTGGGAATACTCTGAACTCAAGTCCTAACGGGCCTTGGACCCACAATCTTCTGAGCCAGAGATGAGAATGCCAGCACTGAGCCGTGATGATAGAATTGCATCTTCAGTACTAGTATATTTTTCTATCTCTTATAATGTTAAATGCTTTGTGATAACACTTTTCTTATTAATTACAGTTTTCCAAATGCTGGGAAATCGACTTTATTGAGCCAGCTTTCACACGCTAAACCCAAAATTGCTGATTACCCATGTAAGTGTAACAATGAAAAACCTCTTTTTAAAACATTTTCATTTTCCAAATACTATATAAAAAGGAATGTTCAAAATGGGTAGAGAGGCTGAGTGAGTTCTGAGACTAATAGCCACTAATTGTATAAAACAATGTACCCCAAAAAAGTATATTATAATATAAACACTGTATTTATACATATATATAGTCAGCAGAGAAATCCTGCATTCCTCAATGATTTCAATCCTAATTTCCTCAAAGATTACATTTGTGTTCATGCGTACTTAGCCTATAGTAAAAGAATCGCAAATGTACAAACACACCATGGGATGATTCGTTAGGCTCACAATTGCAGTACAAGCAAACTTTTGGGAGTTACTGTTTGTTTTTTGGTGATACCAACACAAAGATATTTCAGCCTACTATTCCATAGATGTTCTTTACCTGAGATCCCCCCTACAACCCCTTATTAATTCTTTGAGGAGCGTCACTTCACACCAAAGTATTTCTTTTAATAAATAAAAAATTCTTGTTAAATTCTGCAAAACAAAAGTACAGTATTTTGAATTTGTCAGATTTTTTTGTTGTAATTATGTAATGGAAATGTTCGTATTATAAAAATTTTAAGGGAGATGTAAAAGGGCAGGTGAAAGAGTCCTATCAATGCATGTGACCTGCTCCGCCTTTCCCCACCTCTGCAACATTGCCCACCTCCACCTCTGCCTCTCACCACAGGTCGCTGAGACCCTGATACACGCTTTCATCACATCCCGGCTTGACTACGCCAACTGCCTACTCACTGGACTTCCCAACTCTTCCCTCCACAAGCTGCAGATTGTTTAGAAATCTGCAGCTTGTGTTCTCTCCCACACCTGGTTCTGTGAACTGATCATCTCCATCCTTGCCTGGTTTCACTAGCTCCCCATCAGTCAGAGAATCAAGTTCAAAACCCTTGTTCTCACCTTCAAAGCCCTCCATGATCTTGCTCCCCTCTACCTCTGTGACTTCTAACCCCATATCAGCCTGTCCGCTCCCTCTGCTCAGTGGACACCGGCCTGCTCCATCATTGACGGCCGGGCATTCAGCATCTCTGCTCCCACACTCTGGAACTCTATCATGCAATGCCTCCGCCTCACCCCCTCTCTTACCTCCTTCAAGTCCTGTCTGAAGACCTTCCTCTTTGACTGTACCTTCAGCCACACTCCCATCCCTACTCCCTCTGCCCTTCACCTCTCCTGATTCCAGCTCCCAGCTCGGGTCCAAAACCCCTTATGGTCCAGCGCCCTGGGAAATCTTTCTGACATGGAGGATGTTGTACAAGTGTAATTTGTTGTTGTCGATGTTGTGGTTCATATTATTAGCTGAGATTCTAATGCCCATTTTAATTTTCCAAAGACATAGAATTTGGTTGCTACTTATGTAGTTTTTCTTGGTTAGTTCTGTTTCACTATCGAAATGTTTGTTTGTATTCACAGTCACAACTGTCAGGCCAGAAATTGGAAAAATAATGTATGGCGATTACAAACAGGTAAGCCTCTTCTTCACTGTAATAGTTTAACAGTGGTTGAGTTAGGCCCTGTACTCTGTGCAGCTGAGTCTAAATAAAAGCAGGTGATGAACCTGGCTTACAAATATGGCAGTGATTATTTTAACTGGGGGTCAAGGGAATTTTGGATCTCGGATTTCATCTTTTCAAAGTCATTTTATCTAAATTGGCATCTACTAAAGAATATCTGAAAGTCTGCTCCCGGGTCCAAAACAGCAACTTCACAAAATGGGATTCCAAGGTGGCCACCCGCAACATTTTCAGCAAGCTTTCAACGTTGTCATTCTTCAGAAGGCAAGGGAGGGAGATACAGTATAGGGCAATCCGCTTTATGTTGACGCATTGGGGCAGGGAATTTTGTCCAATTTATCCAGGATCCGGTTCTCACCTTTTCTCTTCCCACTGTCTCCTCTGCTAAACGTCTCTTCTCTCCCATTGCCGTTGGAGGGGAAGGGGACCAATTAGAGGCGGCTCCAGGAGGTGTCAATCACCTTGGAGCCGCCGCTCATTGGTCACCTCCCCGTCCACCGGATGCAATCACTGCCCCGCCCAGAGCCACTTGTGAAGTTGCTGTCAATCCCAATGTGACTCCTCCCATGTCCATCCTGGAGCTGCTCCTGACACAGAAGGCTTGACTGAGTACATTCAGCAGCGACCATCGTGGCATTTTGCCCGGATAAACTGGGTTTCCGCAGAATTAACCAGCATATTTAATACGGGTAAGAATACAAATGAATCAGTGCCGGGTGATTTGTCCAATTTACCCGGTGACCGGCGTCCAGCTAAAGCGCATTCCACTGTATTTCAAAACACACTCTAACCTTGTTCCTTGACAAAGGAACAGAATGATTTAGGAATAACATACTTTTGACCACGACAGCAAGTTCTGTTGAGATCAAGACTTGTGGACAGACAGTTTTATGATAAAAAAGGGCAGTGTTCTAGTTAAGGTTAAAAAACTTCATTAGTTGGAAAAAGTGCACAAATATGATCATTTCTCATCACTGGCTTATTTAGTTTTAAGTTTTGCTCATATAGTTTGTGCATGACAAGGAAGCACCAAGTGTATTTTTAAAGAGAACATTTGAAACAATTGAGTTTTCAATTTTTTTTCCCGGAATGAAAATGTACTTAATCCCTCTCATGTTGAAGAGGTGTTTACATCAAGGGAATCTTTTGGAAACGCTCGCTCAGACTCAGTCTATTGGAATGACTCCAAACAAAACTAAAACATTGAACCAAAGGATTTCATTTGATATAAAAGAATTGAACACAAAAAGATCAAAATAGGTGAAGGTCACTTCACCATGTGCAGTGTTTCAACATATTTTTTAACTCATTAGAGACTAGTTCTATGCAATCTTGTTCCTGTAAATTGAAATGTGCATGTTTTTAGCAAATGGCTTGAGTAATTTTACACTGCAAGAGGATGAACATTGTAATTTTATCGACTGTGTCTCTTCAGACCAATAGTTAAATGTTTAATTAAGATAAGGGTGCATATTAATTGTTAGTTTTGACAATGTATTGTCATAATATGATTTTAAGTAAATTTTAAAAAAATAACTTAAATTTCATTCTCAGCCTTGTTTAACTCAAAAGAAGGTACATTGGAACTGAAGATAACTGTCAGCCTGGCTCATTTGCCCTCTCACTTCTGAGTCCCACATAGGGAATTGAACTCACACAGTCTAGACTGACACTCCACTACAGTGCTTGGGTGTGTTGCATTGTTGGAGATGCAACAGATGCAATGTTTCATTTTTCAAATGAGACATTAAACCTAGATCCTGACTATCAGTTCAGGTGGACATTAAATAACCCATGGCACCTCAAAAAGAGAAGTGAGTATCTCCCAGTGTCCTGGCCAACAATCCAAATAAAGCTGGTCATTCATTTCATGGCTGTTTGGGGGACATTGCTGTGCACAAATGGGTTCAACATTCGCCTACAAATACAGTGTCACTACACTTCACAGTGATCCTGTGAGGGGCTTTGAGATTTCTCCTGCTGTGAAAGGCACTTATATGAAATGCAAAGATTATTATTAAAACTGGAGTCCCTTGAAGTCACACAGCATCTTGAGGTCAGTCAATTGATATTTGTATTAGTTGGGGTTTGTTTTATGGTTGCAGGTGTCAGTTGCTGATCTACCTGGTTTGATTGAAGGTGCTCACTTAAATAAAGGAATGGGTCACAAATTTCTAAAGCATGTAGAGCGAACCAAGCAACTTCTTTTTGTGGTAAGTAACAAAATACGATAAGAGTTGATTATTCACAATAATTGGGACCAGCGCAATTGTGGATAAGGAAACAGTGCAGATATTTAGTCGTCATGCAAAATACAAAGGACTACAGCTCTCACCAAAAATATGTTTTTGCGATTGCATGACTATTATGTGAACCCGTTTAATCCCAAAGATGCTACCTGTAATTATCTGCAATCTTCATTGTGCATCAGAAAACTGCAGTGTTTAAAGTCTCTTTGTTTGCTCCACGTCCCCCAACCCACCCGCCCCTCCATTGGCGGGAGAGCCTTCAGCCACTCTGCCCCCAACCTCTGGAATTCCATCCCCCAATCACTCCGCTTCACCCCCTCCTTAGCCTCCTTCAAGTCCCGCCTCAAAACTCTCCTCTTCGATCATGCCGTTGGTCACCTCCCTTGCCCTTCCCTCCCTTCTCCCCGCTGACCCCAGCTCGGGTCTGAAATACTGTCCAGCGCCTTGGGACATCCTCCCGACGTGAAAGGCGCTATACAAATGTAATCTTGTTGTTGTTTGATTTGTTGATCGATCCTTTAGAACGTTAAAATATGGTTCTGCAAACATTGCTATATGAAAAAAATTTCAATTGCAAGGTTTTTGCAGAAATTATAGCTAATTATGTTTTATATATATGAGCCTGTGGTATATTGTCTGTTGGGGAAAATAAGTGCTGTATGAGTGCAGCACTTTGAAGATAAACTGCTGTAATTTGCTTGAATACATAGTACTTTATCTTTCACTTCTGCAATTTCAATAGGGTAAAACAAACTTGTTCAAAAATGGAGCAAGTAATGCATTGTGTCTGCTTCAAAATCACATTAATTGAATTGTTTATCTGATATTTCTTGAAGCTGAGCAATCTAAAAGGTGAATAGTTAGTTGGCCAGTGTAGCTTTTGGATATGATGATCGGTTTTCAGCTTTATTTTGATCTTATACTGGTGCCACTGCACGTGAAAGAAAATTAACATTTATCAAACAGATCACAAATGATATTACATCAGGACATCAGTGTTCCAGTGGTGAAATAACACTAAACGCATGCATTCTAAAAAGGTAAATTCTATCACCTGGTAGATGACAGTAGTGATTCAAAAAGAAACTGAATCTCATACTCAGCCGCAAACTTACTCCCCCTCCGAAATGGCTGGTGATTGTAATGTAAAATAAAGGTGATTTGTGGGGTTGGGGAGGATTCTGGAGCCAATCACAGGGATGAAAATTCCCGATTTCCCAAATAGTCAGTCTGCCCCTACTTAAACTTTACATAGAAATTCAAAAATAATTCAGATAATAGAAATTCATTTATCTCGTGCCCTTCACACAAGGTAGTATGTCAAATCAAGAAAGTACTAATCCCTCTACTGATAGAAGGAATGTTGTATCAATTCCAACAACAACAACTTCCATTTATATAGCGATCCTCACGCAAGGTACCATTCCAGAGCACTTGGACTTCCAGTAGTCGAAGCAAGGTATAAAATGTTCAGCTCTGAAGATATTTTAAAAGAGCCCTCCTGTGTCCAAATGCTAATCTCCATCTAGCGGCAGAAAATAAGTAATGCAGGATTATCATTTAATCAGATCTTTATAAAATACTAGTTGTACCCGTTGCAGCTTCGCTTGCACCAAAGAATCCAATATGGAATGTACATTAACTCCCAGACAGAATTTTATGTTTATACTCATCCGGGAGGACTCCTTTTGGGAGGACTCAGTAGGAAGACTCGGTGCTTTAAAGATATAATTTTGTTGTTGCTGCCGCGGCTTAGCTTTGTCTGTGTTCTTTATTTTGTTGTCGCCGCTTGGCTACCTCCGTGCTATGTGACGCACAATGCCACAGCGTCATCTGGTGTGGCCACCGTGTGTAACTGCAATGTGGGTACATACGTAGGTGCTCTGTGACGCACAATGTCACAGTGCCGCCTTTGACTCAGCGGCCACCAGGTGTAACTGCAGCGGAAAACACAAAACTGAAAATAACTAATGAACAATAAGAGGTACCCGCAAACAAATATGCCCATGTCACTCCCAGATGCAAGACCTTTCAGATGAGGTATGAATCTTGTCTCTACGTCAATCGGTTATTGAGATCTTTCTTGAAGTGCAGACAGACATTGTTGTTTTATTAGTATATAGAAGAAGATAGATACAGGAAGATAGATAGAAGGTCAGCAAGTTGGTAATCAGAAGGCATAGTTTAAGATAATTTCCCCTCTAAAAAAACAAGAGATAGGTTATGAGAAATTAAATAGAGTGTCTGTACAGATTCCACAATAGATTTTAAAAGGAAACTAACCAAATATTTGAACAAAAATGTGAAAAGAAAAGGCAGGATAGTGGGACCAAATGGATACAAAGTAGCCTGGTGTCCTATGCTGAACATTTTTTATATTGTATTAGAAAAGTATTCATAGTTTTGACAAATTTACAAAGAGTAGCATCGTAAAAACCTTTTACGATGACTTGTTCTCCCTAAAAGCATTTGTTTTATTAAATAAAAATGTTCCCAAACAATGAAATATCTTATTTGTAAACTCATTATTCTGGACATTGGTATCTTAGCATGGAACAATACATTGCCCCTTATGTGCTGCTATGTAGTTTGTTAAAGTTGAAAAGCTTTGTCAGTTGGATGTGACGGTACTCTGGGAGGGAGAGATAAACAAGGTCTTCCTGCCGCTGTGCTGGCTCTTAAGTGACATTTTTGGCAATGGAATATTCGTATCGAGTCAATCCTCTGTGACATGATCGGTAGTCCAGTTCCTAAGCCAAGCATGAACCAAGGCACTGCTGATGACTGAACAGCTAGTCTGGCTTGATTGCAGGACTTTGAGCAGCAAGCATTCAACCCGCGTGGCTCCTTGCAAGCCAATGCCCTAACACGTAAGATGGTCCCATCTGGACAAGCCTGCCAGTGTTCTGAATGGCAAGCTTGACCAGATGGGGTCCCCAAGTCTTGGCTCTTACCAACCTGTGCCCAATACTCTCTGAAGTTTAGTAAGCAGGATGCGTTCCTCCAGGGAGAGAGTGTGCATTTCAAGCAGAGACATTTCAATGTGGAAATATATATATATATATATGTGTGTGGAACTCTGTTCGATTTAGATATTCTTAAGGTTGTGTGTTTCAGACACCTGACTGACGAACACAAATAATGAGAAATTTCTCAAAGCAAGTGAACTTTGCAACTAAAATGCTGATTACTATGTGTAATTCACTTTGATGCAGTTCCTATTTGGTTGATTATTTTTAGGTGGATGCGGCTGGATTCCAGCTTTCAAGCAAATTACCTTACAGAAGTGCCTTTGAAGCTGTGCAGTTGTTAACAAAGGTAAGCCAAACTTCTGATCCTAGGTAGCCTTCCTTAAATTCCTTAAGAACAAAATAAATCCAATAAATGTGAAAGGACAGTATGGTTAGAAGTACTGCAGATGCTGGAAATCTGAAATAAAAACAGAAGTCGCTGGGAACACTCAGCAGGTCAGGCAGCATCTATGGAGAGATCAAAGTGAGTAACATTTCAGGTTGATGACCTGTTTCAGTTTCAGGTCAGAAAGGATATTTCAACAACAACTTGGATTTATATAGCGCCCTCCACACCTGATGGCGTCTCAGAGTGTTTTACAGTAACGGATCCCGGCGCTGAGTCAGGGGGAGGGGGAGGAAGGTGACCAAAGACACAGTTGAAGAGAAAGGTCTTCAGCAGAGACCTGAAAGTAGGAAGAGAGGAAGCGAGACGAAGGGAGTGAAGGGATTCCAGCGCCTCGGGGCATAGTGGCTGAAGGCACGGCCGCCGAGGGTGGAGCGGAGGACTCGGGGAACGAGGAAGAGGCCAGACCCAGAGGAACAAAAGCAATGGGTACTGTTTTGAGGAGAGAGGTCAGAGAGCTAGGGGGGTGCAGAGGAGTAGAGGGATTTGATGATCTTGAAGTTGATCCTCTCTGGGACAGGCAGCCGGTGCAGTCTGGCAAGGACTGGGGTGATCGGGGAGCGGAGTTTGGTGAGGGTGAGAATGCGGGCGGCAGAGTTTTGAATGATCTGGATTTTATGGATGTTAGTGGATGGGAGACCTGCGAGGAGGGCGTTAGAATAGTCCAGCCGAGATGTGACAAAGGCATGAACTAGGATTTTAGCGGCTTTTGGAGAGAAATATTGGTGGAGACGGGTGATGCGTCGGAGGTGGAAGAAGGCGGTGCTGGTGAGGGACCGGATGTGGGGGAGGAAGGATAATTGGAGCTCGAACCTGCGCCTAGGTTGCGTATGGGTTTAGAGAGTTTTAGGAGGTCGGGTAGGTGGAGGAGGTGAGAACCGTGAGATTTTAGACGTTGACGAGAGCCAAAGAATATGGCTTCTGTCTTGTCAACGTTCAGCTGAAGGAAATTTGTGCTCATCCAGCCCCTGAGATCTGACAGGCAGGCTGACAGAACATCAGGGGACTGGGGGTCGCAAAGAGAGGTGGACAAATAGAGTTGGGCGTCGTCCGCGTACATGTGGAAATGTACCCCATGTCTGCGATGACATCCCCGAGAGGGAGCATATAGATCAGAAAGAGGATGGATCCTTGGGGTACCCCACAGGTGACCGGGTAAGAGCGGGAGGAGAAGCCGTTTGTGCAGATGTACTGCTGGCGGTTTGTGAGGTAGGACTCGAACCAGGCGAGTGCGGTCCCACTGAGGTGGATGACGGAGGAAAGGCGGTGGAGGAGGATAGCGTGATCGACATCTGTCGAACGCCGCGGAGAGGTCCAGGAGGACAAAGAGGCAGAGGGAGCCCTGGTCACAGATAGAGAGGATGTCGTTTGTGACTTTCACAAGCGCAGTCTCTGTACTGTGGGCGGAAACCAGACTGGAGGGGTTCGAAGAGGGAGTGGGAGGAGAAGTGTGTGTGAAGTTGATTGGCAACAACGCGTTCTAGGACTTTTGCGAGGAAGGGCAGGTTGGTGAAAGGATAGAAAGGATATTTCAATAGCAAAGGGTGGCAATAAGGATTTCAAAGATCATGCTCTAGCAAAAGTCCATATGAAAAATATAATCACATGGTTTTGGGTACATTTCAGTAAAGAATTCTGCTACATTTGTCATTAATCATGAAGATTTTAGTCACACAAATGCTTGAAATATATGCTGCAGAAAATCTGCTTTTTGCTTCTAAGAGGCTTTATGGAGAAGGGGGGTGGGGGCACTGATCCAGGTTAAAATCTATACTGTTAAAAATCTATTGCTTTTCAACAAATCTACAACTTTTTTCGTGAACATCTGCTTTATCTTCTCCAGGTATGGGGAAGTGCCCTCAGCTTGGCACTTTCCACAGAAGTCACAATTTCTCCTCTTTGGAGGCAAACATCTATGGCCTGCCATTGGCTGTTCCAGTTTAATGTGTTCAGACTTTCAACTTAGATTGTAGTATAAATCAGTGGCATAGCTACGAATGGAAATTTGGGTGGGCACCAACTTATGGTGGAGGGTCACCAACTAAATTTCCATTCCTACTTACACCCTTTAGCTCCGTGGAGTCCTGTAGCTCAGTGGTTAGAGCACTTACTTTGCAAACGAGAGACCTGAGTTCAATTCCAGGCAGAGGGCGAAACCTTGGGCAAGTTTCCTTACTCCACACAGAGCCTAATAATAATCCCTCCAAAAAAAAACAATAATAAATTGGTCATTTTCAATCCATGACTGTTTGTGGGACACTGCTGTGCGCAATTGGCTGCCGCATTCGCCCTCAAATATAGTCAATTTACTTTACAGTATATTCTGTGAAGCGCTTTGGGACGTCTAGAAGACGTGAAAAGCGCAATATCAAATGCAAGGATTATTTATTTATTACTGACAATGGTGCTTTACTTTTGTATTTAGGAGCTGGAACTATATAAAGAAGAGCTTTTATCAAAACCCGCACTGCTAGCTGTAAACAAGATGGATTTACAGAACACTGAAGAAAAGTTGAACGAGCTGATAAATCAGTTACAGGCGCCTCAAGGTAATTAGAGCATCAAATGCAACAAAACACTATTTTAGTTTCCATTAAGATGAGTGTTTAATCATTCAATCTGCAAACTGAACAATCTATAATCATCAATGATCTTGATCATCAAAAATATAAAAAGTGCCCTTTTCCATTTTAGTCAATGCTATATCCAGAAGCAATATGCACAGCAACCAACCGAGTATGCCCAGTAACTTCAGAAGTGCTTCAACTGATTTTTAAAACAACTTTAAAGGTAGCTGCCGCTTATTGAGTACTCAATCTCTTTTACAACTGAATAGCTACTCTTGCTAATCTCCCTGATTCCACAAGGCCCAGTTCATCCAACCCTGCCGCCTGCACCAAACTCCGCACTGCTATCATCCCAATCCTTGCCAGGCTCCACTGGCTCCCCATCTCCGTAAATATCAACCTCAAGATCCTCAGCTTCACACACAAGGCCCTTCCCACCCTAGCACCTCCCTGCCTTCACTGACCTGCTCGTAGCTTAGTCAACTGCCTGGCCCATTCGCTCAGCTAGCACAGGCCTGCTCTGCTGCATGTCCCTCCACCCCTCTGCACGTGCCTAAAGCCACTGTGCCTCTAAACTCTGGAATTTGTTGTCTCAGTCCCTCCATCTCACCCTCTCTTTGTTCACCTTTAAATTCCAACCTCTTCAAATACGCCTATGGTCATCTCCCCCTTCCTCCCTTGCTCATCATCCAACCTCACCGCTCTGAGATGCTGTCCTGCATGAAGGGCGCTATATAAATACAAATTGTTGACGAATGTGCAAAGAATTGTTTGCCACAATGGAGTTACTGATGGGATATTCTAACATGATTTCTTAATTAGGAATTCTGGTACTCCATGACGGATCCCCAACTGAGGTTTTTAAGAAATCTATTAAATATACAGTGCCGCAAAATTGACTCAGTAATTACAAGCTAACGTGACTCGCGTAAAACTTGTTTTTTGTCATCAACTTTGCGATCATCCTGTTCAAAGGAATCAATGTATTAACTCAGTGCGTTCGGAAAGTTTTTCTAATAGCTCAGTTAAAATATTGAACCAGTCATCTAAATTGGAAAAGCTTCCTATGGATTTTTAGCAAACTTGATGAGGCACTTAATCTCTCTGGGTTCTTGGTTCTTCTCAATATTTAACAAATTGCATTGATTTATGTGCCCAAGACTTCCTCAGTTTCCTCAGTAAATTAGACTGGATTGGTTTTAAATCAAATTGGGCACATACAATACAAGTCTCCACAGAGGTTAGTTGATTGTAAGGATATTAGATAAAATAATAATAATAATCCTTGCATTTGATATAGCACCTTATCACGTATTCAAGATGTCTCAAAGCGCTTCACAGGATATATTGCAAACTGAATTGACTGTATATTTTGTGGGCGAAACACGGCAGCCAATTTGTGCGCAGCAGTGTCCCACAAATGTCACTCCCTTATATAAAGAAAATATATACATATTATGCGATATATATATAGAATATATAGAAAATATATGGAGAAAAGGGGCTATGGGATTGAAAGATTTTCCATAATCTAGGAAAATGACATGACAGACCGAATTACCTATCCCTTTCCTACAAATATTTTTTGTAGAACTGATAAAATAAACAGTTGTACAAAAAATATTTGGTTAATTAATGGTTAATTGTTTTTGAAAATGAAATTCAGATGAAATTTTTTTAAAACTTTTGGCTTTCATCCAAAACACAGTTATCAGGTATCATTTAAAAAAAATTGTCTTTAAAGATGTACAGTGATTAAAGATAGCATTTCAAATGATATGTTGGAAACCTGGTATTTCAAAGGTCAGTATATAATACCAGATTTCCAACATATCTTGTTGGAAAGATATGGTTTAAGACCTTTGTTTAATAGGTCTTAACAAAGATCTGTTAAACCAAGTTATTACTAAATTGTATTGGAACATCTCAGAATTTGAAAATTTAAATTCCGATTGGAATTGTTAACAAGTGAAGAAATGAAATATTTTTCTCAAATCTACTTCTTTTATTCTGACATTTATTTTTGAACAGATTTCCTTCACTTACTGCCAGAAGATATGGTTCCTACAAATGTGGTCCAGTTTAAACAAATAATCCCAATTTCTGCATCGACTGGACATGGAATTGAAGAACTGAAAAACTGCATTCGAAAATCACTGGATGAGCAAGCTGACTTAGACAATGAACTATATCATTTTGAGAAATTACAGAATTTACGTTCAGGCACTTTGAAGCATATTTAGAAGTTGAAGTCAAATTCACCTTTAAGGGTTAAAGGAGGAACTTCCATTTTTATTAAAGATCAGGCAAAGCTTAGTTAAAACCCCAGAATATTTTGTACCATATTTCAGCAATCATTAATTTAATACATATCTGATGTTTATATCAACAGTGTAATAAACTTAACTTCAATGCCCAAAACATGTCTGTGTTTTGTAATTGCTCGAGCCAGTAACTAAGTGCATTATTTTATTAGAACACCTTTGTACCTAAATCTGTATGAATTAATGTTTTGGTGGATAGGGCTGTGGGTTACTTTTGCTGTCTGTCTATTTCATTTCTGTACGTCTCGTGGAAATCGCCTTTTTTCTCCCAAAAGTAGCGTTTTTTCATGCTTTGGGTTTTGTATTTGTTTATAGATACATTTTCAAACAATGAGCTGCAAAATTAGTGCGCTGTCATAGTAGAAATATTTTGAAGCTGTTACCTCTGGTCCTTGAGTTCTCACATTTAACACTCATTGAATTAATATTTGGCTACCATGAAATTTCAAACAGTTGCTTCCATAATATTACTCCAACAGTAATATTAATAATCTTTGCCTTTGATATAGAGCCTTACTACATCGTGAAACATTTCAAATCGCTTCACAAGATTTATTGTAAAATTTGCCTGGGTTTGTAGGTAAAAGTGGCAGCCAGTTTGCACCCAACGATGTCCCACAAACAACACAGTACAAATTTACGTTTGTACTGTATAGTGCCTTTCACGTTGGGAGGCACTTCACAGTTGACACCCGAATTGAGGGAAGAGGGCAAAGATACTGAAGATAAAGAAGTAGGTCTTGAGACAGATCTTGAACGAGGTGAGTGAGGGAGCAGAGTCGGGATGGAGTTCCAGAGAGCCGAGGCAGATAGAGTGGAAGCCACTTAAGCCGGTCACATCGGGGCCAGTCGTTTTGTCCGTCTTAAACTGTGTCCGAGGCCAAACGGAGTTTCCTTCCCTCTTCCCGCCCAGTAGAGGAGCGGCAATGGCACCTCCTCCCTGGCATTGCCGTTCCCATTGCACGGAAGGGGACCAGTTAGCGCCGGCTCTCAGGTGATCGACAGGCCAAAGCTACTTGTGAATGGATGGGCTCCACCCATTCACAAGTGGCTCCAACTGTCAATCAATTGCAATTTGACTCCTCCCATTTACCTCCCTTGTTTCTACAAGCCCACCCCCCCCTCACTGATTGACAGCCCTGAGCCATTTGTGAATGGCTGGAGTCCACTGTCAATCAATCACAATTTGACTCCTCCCATCTCCAACCCGGAGCCGCTCGAGACAAGCGAGTAGACTCAGCAGTGACCAGCGCGGCATTTTGTCCGGAGGAACCAGATTCTTGTCTGAATTAACCGGCATATTTAAAACTAATAAGAATACAACTGAATCGGGGCCGGATGTTTTGTCTGATTTACCCAGTGTCCAGGGGTAGGGGCGGGTGGAGGGGGGGGGGGGGGGTAGCCAGTGTCCAGTTGAAGCAGCTCCCCTGTAGTTTTGATAGTGGGGCTGGTGGGGCAGGAGAGATGAAACAGGTCGGTACCCCCTGAGCAAAGTGAGCCGATCGGTATAGTTTGAGGAAGTTGCAGAGATAGGTGGGGCAAGATTGGGGAGGGATTTAAAGATGAGAATGAGATCTTTAACTCAATCCATCGGGGGATGGAGAGGTAATGGAGCCAGACAAAAATGGGGGTGATTGGCGCGCGGAGCCGTGTGCGGGTAAGGACACGGACTGAAGGATCAATATTATTTGGGGGAGTGTTGGCCAGGACACCAGGAGAAACTCCATTCTATTTTCAAATAGTGCCATGGATTTTTAACATCCACCTGAACAGTCCACCTCGTTTAGTGTTTTATTGGCTAATTTGTATTACCTAATTTACCTTTCATTTTATTAGGTAACGGTAAAAGAGGGTGATTTACCTGGTTGTGATGATGGAAAGCATTTGCAGAAATTTGAAACAAGTACTTATTTCTATAAGCACCGGCAGCTAATTTTTGTTACAAGACTTTTGACTCATATGTTTGATCACAATGAGCTTCAAGTATTTTACAGGAAAGTTGGTGCAACCTGTGGATTGTAATTTGTACCCACTACAGAATACTTAAATAATACGTTCAGACATGCCACTATGTAAATTTGTAACCCACATTGACATATAAACAGCTGGAATCCAGGTTCACTGAAATTGTTTTTATTAAGGTAATATATCACAATAGTATTTCAGAAAAGCACAGGCATTAATTTTAAACGTTGCATTATATACAACAGTGTGATAATGTACATGGTCAATAAAGGCTTAATACCTTGGGCAAATTAAAACTTTTCCAGGTCATCAGACCAACCCCTGACAAGTACATAGATTGTACAGCACAGAAACAGGCTATTCTGCCCAACACGCCCTAATTACCACCAACTAGGAGGTAATGCACAATGTTAGAGTTACAATCATGTTCTATTCCGGTTTCACAAAAGATTACCAACTGGTAGTAAAACCAATTGAAAAATTAATAAATGGAGATGGGAATGATTTCATACAAAGTTGCCTCAACTGTTTTCACTCACGACATTATTGAAAAAGTATACAGCCAATCTGTTACAATTGCATTCACAGCGCCACAGCCAAAGACAGATTTTTAAGCTGATTTCATTTATAAAAATGTATTTTGGTGAAGGATGTGTTGGAAGTTACAATGGTCACCTTTTTGGGCATGCAGATGTATAACATGATAAATTCCAAACCATATTTTACAATATTATGGTGGGATAAAGAGTAATGTAGGGGTGACTGAGGGTAAAATGGGAGTTTAGCACGCAGCTCTAATACACTCATGTAATAAGCATTTATTGAAACAGAAACCTTTAGCCGTTCAGCTCATATCTAATTGTCTCACAGAAATGTACTCTGTGTCATATTATGGAATATATATCTACATAGCTAGCTACTTATACATACAAACCCACAGCATGTGTGGACACTAGATGCAGATCAATACAAGTTTACATCTGGTGGACAGGTTTGAAAGCAAATGGTGAATGTAGTGCATTGATCTAGTCTATACATAAGGATTTCACTGATGAGGGAATAAAGTCCAAGTGGGACTGAACAAAAGAGCTAAGAATATTCAAAAACAACTTTACAATGTAAACACCCACTGGTTCCAGCTACATGTAAAGTCCTGCTTATTTGGTGAATGTAATGTAGAAAGTAAAAAAAATACAAGTGATGAAACAGATTCTGCCAAGTTTATACTCTCATAAGTAAAGCAATATCTCTTTCCAGACAGCAGTAAGAAATGTGGAGTGAGAAATCTGAGTTATACATTTCCTTCATTGCAATGATGTTGTTTTTTAAAAAAAAATGATTTGGGACATGTACAGCTAAGCACATGGGGAGAACATCAATATCCGCTGTTGGATTTTGCACGACCATCTCTTCAGTAACATTTGAAAACAATCCCTTGATGTTTTGTTTGGCTGTTCAGAATTAAGGACCCTTTGTGGTGAGAATCCAGAATGGATTTATGCTGCAATGTCCTGCCCGCAGCCGTGCAAATCTAACTGCTTCTCAACAGCAAGGCTCCATTCAGGAAAATCTCCACAAAACATGCAATATTGAGAGAATACTCTACCCTTACTCACAGTTCTTTACTGCAACATTTTGAAACTTACTTGTCTTTCGGGGGGTTGAGGGGGTGAAAGAGATGCTTCGAACCACAGAGCAGCAACGTCAACAAGTCTAGGTTATCTTTGCCATCGCAATAAATAGTATAGAAGTGAGAGAAAAGCCTGCTTTTAAACACCTCATACTACCCTGTATTCTAATGTACCCTGTAATAGAATATTAGCACTTCTCCAGAATCACATTCAACTGAGATAGGGCACCACTCAATACTTTTCACTCATTTCAAAATATAATATATATATACACACACACAATTGTATTCAAGTGGCCTCTATTAATGTGACATTCAAAACGTAAATGTTTGTGATGAAAACATATACAGTACTCAGGATATTTACAAGAGTAGTGCAAAAGAAACTGATGATGGATGAAGCAGCCAATAATTTGGGGCTGACCTGCTTATGTTTCATCTGAAAAATAAACCTCAATGGATCGTGATTTTATATTTAAATGATATATGAATACTACCAAAGACAATTTCTGATGAGTAACCATTTTTCTGAATCCCTTGTGCCTTTGTCATAGGAAAAGGTGAGAACATTGACAAACATGGATCACGAGAAAGCCATTTGGCCCATCAAGCCCCACCCTCGCACACCATGTACAATTGACCCCGTCACTGACTGTACTTAATTTGAAGGGAATCACTTCACAATGATCTGGGGCTAAAACCCCCAATAAAGGGCTGACTTCTGGGCTGTCAAGTTGCCCCCCCACCTGACGTTACTTTCTGCATATTGTACGCATGTAATACATATTATATATGTGTAATGCTGTGTAAAGAGTGCCACTGTGAAGTGACATCAACAGTGCTTTCCGCATCTAGCACACGTGCAATGGCAGGAAGTGATGGCACGTGATAGCCAGAAGGCTACCCGGTCAGCCCCAACTTGACCATAATTCCTGTCCACTGTCCACCCGCTTCATAAGGGAATCAGGGTGGGCCATCTAACCAGGTCATCCTGAAGTACCTGATCCACATTGCATATACAAAGAGCCCACCATAATCCTATCTCTGCTCTTCTACTCACAGCTCTGCGGCTTTCCCCTGACATGTTCCGTGTCTGCCCATGCCTGGTGATGCCTATTTCATGGTCACAAACTCATCTTAGAACCTTGTATTCCTTTTAAAGCAAATGTTTTACAAATGATTAGAAAAACCTCGTATTAGTAAAACGCAGTTCAGTTCCAACTCTCCCGAACAATATAGCATTTGGAACATTTTGTTGTTTCTGCAAAATAGTCTTGCATCACTCGCTTAAAGAAACATTGTCACCAAAAGCACAAACAGAAAGGTCTCCTCAATCTGCAAATGAAAGCAAATTTTAGTATTTTGAAGCTCACACATGCCTTTATTTTGGCTTGTTCTGCTCCCTCTACCTTTTCCTAATGTTTTTTTTTATAAAAGAGTAACTGTAAATGTCAGAATACCAGTGGTCAGTTATGGAATATTTCTCAACTCATTTCTGGTTTGGGAATCCAACATTTAAACAAACATTACGTGATGGGGAGTGCACTGCAGACCAGAGCCTTGGGCTGTCCTCCCAAAAGGTAATTTTGTATTGTATTTCACAACTTGCCCAGGTCTTTGTTTTGTGCAGAATAAAAGTCACCTATCAATTCAGGTATTTTCAGTTCAATGTGTGGAACCGGATTTATTCAAACCTATTTGTTCCAGATTTATGTTTAAAGCCTGTTGGTGCAGTGATGTCCTAACATGAAGACCATGTTTGGAAGTTACTGTTTAAAGTGTCACTTCAAATCACTGAGCAAAGAAGACACGTGGAGATGAGCAGCATATTGAGGAAAATGGTTCCAGATGCAGATGTAGGTTCCAGGAGTAGGAGATAAAGCAATAAGAAACCAAGATATGAGGGATGAAACACACTTAATTTGTGGAGCTATTTTCCCCTGCATTAATTGAACCCAATATTTTCATTTTACCACCGACCTCAGCTCAACATTTATACATGATATTTTGAATGTCACCTGCGCATTAAGTGGTTGTCACTGAAATTTTTATGTTGGATTAATTATAGAATGTATCCTGCATTTTGTAAACTTTTTTTTTCCTGGTGCCTGGGATTACAAATTAAAATGTTATGAAAAATCCTCATTTGTACCATGACGTTTCACAAAAAAACAAAGTTAAAGAAGAATCGCAATCATTCCTAGTAACGGAAAAACTAAAACTAGTTCAGTAAATAGAGGAAGTAAACTCATAAACAGGCTACATTATAAAGGAGTTGATTGTAAATATTTTTGTTCGTATTTGATCCATACTATATATCACACAAACCCCTATTATTAAAAAATAAGGCAGTGTTTGAAACTGGAGTGACCACTGATAACACTCAAGTTTTAAAAGAAAACAGTTCAGTGCAATAACAAATTGAAGCCCATCGTTAACATTTAAAATTAAATAATAGTGCATATTGCAGCAAAAAGGACAGCTTGTGCAGTATTATGTTGATGTTACTAAGGATTTTAGGTGAGGGTGATTGGAAGTCCTCTAATATTTATATTTTATCATTCTATTCAGTTGACATAAGTATTCTTTTTAAATGAGCACTTGCCCTGCTAAACCATGAGAGACCACATGTCATTGTGTAAACCCACATTATGACAAGTGCTTCAGTGCTTTAGAGATGGACTCCAGCTCTCGCACGGCTATACTGATGTTGGACCTCAGAGAGCCATTGCTGAATTCGTTACTGTCCTTACCAAAAGCACAACTCCCTGACGTAGAGTATGATCAAGTTACTCATTCATTTTTGCCTTGGTGGAGAATGTAAATTTGAACAGATGTACCACTTTGGTTATGTTTAATTGATGTCTACAACTTGAACAATGTAATGTTCAGTACCTAAATGCAAACCTACACTGCAAGATATTATAAAGCTGACAGCAACAGTACAGTCCAATCTATTACCCAGGTCCAGAATGTTTTAAAAAGGCTGTCTGACCATTTTGGTTTCACAAACCTTATTTCGCTCTTACAACCAGTTCAACTTGTAGAATGGACACAGGCACAGTCATGCAGAGCTCTATGTGCACTTTACAAATTTCATGTTAATCTAATAACTCACATTTTCAACAGTAATTTTGACTTTTTGTGGTAACATAACCAGCTATTCTAGGTCAGTAAAATATTGTAAATTATTATGACCTTTGTTGTAAAAGTGATTTGGTCCTTTACTGTAAGACACCTGGTCTAATCAATCAGAATAAAACGGATCTGAAGTCAGACACTGAACTGTACTTGTACTGACTTACCAAGGTAAACATCCATTGGCTGTTGTTTGTCAGACAACAGTTAAAACTGTTGATATTTACACTAGAAGACATTCAGAGCAAGCAGTTTAGAAAGTATCAAACATATTATCAAGAAGAGATCATTTTGGTCTTCAGTTTACACGCAACAATTTGTTCACAAGTATCGTTTCAAATGCAAATTATTTGTATCAGTTAAATCCTAAGGAGCCGTTGGTAAAATCATTCCTCTTTTGGCTCTGCACGCATCCATTTGTTATTTTCGCTACAGAATATTGCAATCGAGTTTATTATTTTAAAAAAAAGGTTTCATGCATGCAGTTTTTGTTCAGCACAGTGAATGTGTACTCAGATCATCAGACTGAATCTTATGTGGGAATAAAAGGTCCATCTTGATCTTTCTCTTCTGCAGGAACAAGCGTCGCAAATGATGAAAATTAGTGGGGGTTTTTGTCTTTCTTCAGAACCAATCCACGTTTCTCGGTTGTTTCAGTGCTATATGATGCTCATGCATGCTGATTCTTCATTGTCATACACTGTCTCTTCTGTATTAGCAAGTCAGAGGCTTACAATGAGTTCTTGCAATGTAGCCTCTTAAAGCAATAGCTTTACTCTGAAGACAGCAGGTGCATGTAAAGTTTTTCTTTCAAGAACCTTGTTGATGCACTGTCCAGTTGTTGATTAAAAGATGTCTATATAACTCTGCCATTTATAAAACAAGCAGAACAATGGGAATCTGAAGTAGCTCAGACTCACTGATCAGATCTAAATGGATGTCTCCCAGAGCTGTGGAAGAAACAAGAATTAATAATAATAATAATAATCCTTGCATTTGATATAACGCCTTATCACATCTTCGAGAGATCTCAAAGCGCTTCACAGAATATACTGCAAAATGAATTGATTGTATATTCTGTGGACAAAACACAGCAGCCAATTGTGCACAGCAGTGTCCCACAAACAGTCGTGGACCGAGTGACCAATTATTATTAACAAAAACTTTTGAAGGGATCCACCAATCAACTAACAACCGGATTCCAACTTACTGCTAGGTAAACAGAGGCGTGTGGAACAAGGAAACTGTCCAACATTTTGCCCTGCCCGGGAATCAAACCCGAGGATCCTCTCGCTTAAGAGGTGAGGGCTCTAACCACTAAGCTACAGGACTCCATTAAGGAGGTTTTAAAAATGCTCTTTGTACAGATGAACGTTTATATCATTTGCGTAAATTCAACTTCCTTGGGTCTCCATAACAGCAAATAAATACTTCAATCCCCCGGAGCTCCTTTGAAACACTGATCTCAGCTTCCAATTCTGTGAAATCAGGTGACTTCTGAACGGATTTGCAGCCCTGAGTTGGCGGAATCTGCTGTTTACAAATCTGTTTGTAAACCTCGCAAAACACTGCACTAATAGACTTACAGATTTGACTTAAATATGCTAAGTCAGTTACAGTATTTTCATCAAATGGATTCATAGCACTTTGGTTCAGGTTTCAATTCAAATTTACTGATAAGACATGAAATGGATAATATCTGGGTCCATGTTTACCAAAGTTATTAAAAATATTATTATGTAAAAGGATGGTACTATTACTGTGACAACCACTTAATGCTCACTTACCCGTGCACTTTGTCGACCAACCTTCCCCTCTTCATCTGGAAGAGGTGGCATTGGGTATGGACATTTCCTACTGGAAGCAATGGACCCATTGGATGAAGAATGTGACTTGGCAGGAGATAATGTCCTGAGATGAAACCACAAAAATCAACACAATCTACAGCATCCTAAAGCTGCACAGTAGTGACTAACAGTCTGTACCAGTGCTGGTTCCAGTCCAATTGATGGGGGAAGGGTGGGGGGTGGGGAGTTGTCTATGATAATATCTGGGAAGCATTTGGTTCACTTTTGGACTCGTGCCACTATCTGTCAGTGATCACCTGATAATGAATGAAACTCCTGAGGCAATGAGGTGACACAGTCTACTGAGTTACATTGATATAATGTCACAGGGTGCCTGGGAAGTATTTAATTTCCTGTGTGAGGGTATCCAATTCTGGCTGCCTTGTTGCAAGAAGAGAATAAACTAAGATGCTTCTCTTGATAATAATAATCCTTGCATTTGATATAGCGCCTTATCACGTTTTCTAGATGTCTCAAAGCACTTCACAGAATATACTGTAATGTGAATTGACTCTATATTTGTGGGGGAAAAGCGGCAGCCAGTTACGCACAGGAGTGTCCCACAAACAGTCGTGGATTGAGTGACCAATTTATTATTATTTATTTTTGTTGAAGGAATTATTACCTCCAGAAAAGCAATCTGCCAATTGACTAACAACCGTGATCCTACTTACTGCTAAGTAAACAGAGACGTGTGGAGTAAGGAACCTTGCTCAACGTTTCACCCTGCTGGGAATCAAACCCAGGTCCTCTCGCTTGCAAGGCAAGTGCTCTAATCACTGAGCTACTGGACTCCACTTAAGTAATGACTAGAGAATGATGAAGGATGGGGCTCTCTCATGTACATCCTTGTGTCTGGTTATAAAATAGCTGGTAGCAGCTCTCAAAATAGCCCTCTCAAGTCAATGGTTTTACATGGGGGGTGGGTGGGGGGAGAGTGAGAGGGAGAAACCGAACCTAAATGAAAGAGAGGGAAAGTTTTGATGTATTAAATTATATATCACACCAGACCAGACTGGTACATCCTAGTACTAACTGATCATTGAATGCTTTATGCTCACATCAGGCATTACAAAAGGTATTAAAGCAATAGTTTGTGCTAACATGCATCCTGCGAAGGCCAACCCGTTCCAAGGCATCGAGACAAACTGAGCAGCAGACATTGCACAAATGCAACCACATTGGGCACGAGCTCTGAACAAGACAATGGAACCAGCTCAAAAGAAACTCCAAAGAAAACGTTTCATTCGGAACAAATATCCAAGACAAGCAGAAGAAGCTGCAGCAGAAGCATTAATGTCTGGTATTTTTCTTGCCTGTCAGCTAGCATCTAACCTAAACGCTGTTGAAATTCTGGAAATGGAGTGATAAATAATTGTTAAAAAGACAGTGTATCTTCTTCTTAGCCCGCATGTGATTAAAATACTGGGGTAAAGTGACGGGAGAGGGGAGATTAAAAAAAAATTGAGTAATATAATACTTTTTCAAACATAATCAAAATTATGGAAGGCTGGAAAATAATTCTGGAATGTATTGGAAGCTATGGTAACTAAATTGAGAAGATCCTTGCAATACATTCTACGCTGCTGCCTGTGTGTGTATAATTTGTGGGGGATAAAGCATTGATGAGGAACACTGCAGCAATGTTATTCTCCCACAATACTGTCTCGGTTATGCTGCTGTGGAGAGGCATCTATCATACACTAGGAACGTACTGGAGTGGGGGGTTTGGGGGGAAAATCAATACTGGCAATCAATACTAGCCACTTGCTAGAGCAAGTGGAGCAAGGGATCAAATTTGTCCTCCTATAATAGCTAATGATGGTGCATTGCTTAGGATGACTTGGGGAATATAGGAAGGATTTGATACACAAAGGCACAAAACCACCAAAAAAAAGATCCTTGGCGTGTAATTTCTAAATTCATAGGTAACGTTTTATTTCTGAATGCTAAATTCTCATCCTTCATGACAGAGCCATTTTTCCAAGATGTATTTGCCTGAAAGAGATACGAATGAATCCTAATCTTGTTGGCGGGAGGACAAGACTGTTGTAAGATCCACAATGTTTCTCCGGGAATGGTGGAATGGTCTGATCCGAGTAAGAGAGGGTCGCTGGGATCAGATTATTCTGCCTTCTCTGGTGGAACTCACCTCCATCCACGGTTGTAAGCGATAACCCTTGACCTTGAATTCAGAACAGTTGAGATGGGAGTCAAGCCTCACATGGCTGGATGTTTGCCTGATATTGCTTTTGTTAGGGGAAAGCTAGGAAGGAATACAGTGAATGGATGGTCACTGCACAGTAGAGATTCTGAGTATAAATGTAAGTGCCACATTTAGTGGATGATTCAGTTTCCATGGGACAGAACTATTTGAAGAACGTTGCCTCTTTGCTATACTACCGCAGCTCACCATCAGGTGTGGGGGCTTTTTCTCCCTCCCAAGAACAGCGGTTAAAAATGTTATACTATTTCGGATTGCCACTAACCTGGAGACCTGCTGTTTTAGCTCCATTTCCCTCCTCGCCTATTATATAACAATGTGCTTCCTTTCCTTTCCATTCACATTTTCAAGACGGAGGTAGATAGATATTTTTTAGGTCAGGGTATTAAGGATTTGGAGCAAGGGCGTGTAATTGGACTTGAGGTACAGATGAGCCATGATCTTATAAAATGGCGGAATAGGCTCAAGGTGCTAAATAGCCTACTCCTGTTTCTATGTTTCTAATAGTATAGGAATACATTGAGTGAGCTTGATACTGCAGTGGCTTTGAAAAAACAGTCAATGGGATTCATAGGGCATTCTGTTTATGCCTCTAAAGAACTTTTTTTAGAATAACCTAACAACAATTGTCTGAATACTGAGGTATTCTGTTATTTATTTGCCCAGAGTGTTGGCCTCGTTAATTTCACTCTGATTATTTTGTAATATCCTACTTCTTGCCGATAGATCTCAGGTGATGGCAAGTTATCAAATCCCAGCCAGGTTGACATTAATGGATACTACAATTGATCTCAGCTTCTCTGGTTTGGTGCTATTGGGGGCGGGGGAGAGAAGATAAGCCAAGGTTCCTATCCTTGCTGACTATCTAGTGACCACTACTAAAAAGTTCAGATTATTGATTTGTTAAAATATTGAATGTGCTGAGAGTACACATTCAATCTTTCTTTCACAAATTCGAGAATTGCACAATTCTTGTTGAGAATTCGACCACAAGATTCTGCAAATTAAACCCAATGCCTACCCTCTTCTGAAACTGTGTTGACCATCATTTATTATGTTATTTTCAATACAGATATTCTTTCATTCTGCCTCTGACAATTGATTCCCTATCCTGTTTTGAGATATTATTATTATTATTATTATTATGTGTTTGATCACTGAATAATGCTCTTCAAACACCTCGCATCATTTTATTCGAAAAGAGAAGTGAGTTAGTTTCTCACTCCTGGTGTCCTGGCCAACATTCCCCCTCATAAAATTGATCATTCACTCCACAAATAACCATTTGTGGGATATCGCTGTGCTCAATTGTGCTGCTGTGTTTGCCTACACATACACAGTCATTCCTCTTCACAGTAAATCCTGTGAAGCACTTTGAGACGTCCTTCCAATGTGATAAGGCGTATACCAAATGCAAGGATTATTATTATTACTAAAGGATCTGTAGTTTCCAGGTTTAGTCATCCTTCTTGACTATGGAAGCACATTTGTTAGTCTCTAGTCTGTTGGAATCTCCTCGTTGTTGACCTGCCCCCAATTGAATTAGTGTTTCACACATGTTTTTGGTGTCTGTAAAGTAAGTATTCTGGGGTGTAATTTACCTTTCCCTGGCGTTTCCAATCCATGATTCTATCTGGAACCCCTGAGTCACTAAAATCCAAGATAGTTCAAGATCTGACAGACAAATTACTGGAGAGCATGTTTTAGTGTTCTCATGGTGAAAGGTAAACCCTCAAATAAATGGTTACTTAATGTTTAGTATCTCTTCATTTTTAAATGCTTTTGGGTTTCTTCCAAGTTTAATTTTTTCCTTATTTCTTCTAACCTCTTACTATTATAGAATTGTTTGGCTGTATATATTCTGTAGTTTCTTTCCAGTTCCTTCTTGATTCCTCTAAGATCTTATATTAAACGTCTTCCACAGTGTTGTACTCAGCCTGATATACTTCATTTTCCCCCACAGGCTTTGTAAATTCTTGTGTTTTTCCTTAACTTTCCCATTGATCCAATTCAAACATTTTGGTTTCAATTGCCCCTGTGGTACTTGGGTATGTAAAATGCAAGAATTATTATTGTTATGCACTCGTTCTAACACTTCAAATAATGTTTTTGAAGGATGTCCATTTATCCTCGACAGATTTATCCTCAGGTAGTGCCTCTCAGCATACACCACTAAGATCATCCCTCATTTCCTAAAGTTTTCTTGTGTAAAGTTGCATATTTTAATAATCCTTGCATTTTATATAGCACTTTACCATGTCTTCAAGATGTCGCAAAGCGATTCACAGAATACACTGTAAAGTGAATTGACTGTGTATTTTGGTTTGTTTCCTAAATCATGAAATTTATTTATGAAATTTATGAAAAAGACTTATCTATAATAAGCCTGTTGATATCCATGCCCCTAATTCGTTGTAGCTGAAATTAAGGACTGGCATGGGAATAGAGACCCATGATATCAAAAAAGCTTAATGTTGGACCTAATTATTTTATGAATTTTAGCAGCAAATATTAAACTGAATTTACAGCAACAGCAACTTGCATTAAATAGCATCCTTATAGGTAGCGTCCTGGAGTTCTTCACTTTATGGGCTTTCTGCTGACATTTGCTCAGTACCCCACCCATTCTTTCCCTTCAGTTGTGGTTGGAACTTGTTACTTGTCTCCCTCAGAGGAGTTTCAATACATAAGGCAAAATCTATTACAATACAAATTGTAGGTCTGTTGAAAGGAAAATGGCTGATGGGCTTTTCTCATTCCATATTTCCTTAATTTTCAACTAGTTTGGAGAATGTGTACAACTATAATACTCTTGAAAACGTTTTGAAGGCGAGTCTTTG